CACAATACCCCATAATGACAAAGTCAAAACATGTTTTTAGACATTTTATTTACATAAGTATTTACACCCCTGAGTCAATACATGTTAGATTTACCTTTGGCAGTGCAACATTTGCCCATTATTCTTTTAAAAATTCTTCAGGCTCTGTCAAGTTGGTTGTTGATCATTGCTAGACAACCATTTTCAAGTCTTGCCATAGATTTCCAAGTAGATTTAAGTCAAAACTGTAACTCGGCCACTCAGGAACATTAATTGTCTTCTTGGTAAACCTGTGCTTAGCTCCATTCCATTTATTTTTTATCCTGAAAAACTCCCCAGTCCTTAATGAGTACAAGCATACCCATAACATGATGCAGCCACCACTGTGCTTGAAAATATGGAGAGTGGTACTCAGTAATGTGTTGTACTGGATTTGCCCCAAACATAACATTTTATATTCATGACATAAAGTTAGTTGCTTTGCCACATTTGTTGCAGTATTACTTTAGTGCCTTGTTGTTTTGGAATCTTTTTATTCTGTACAGGCTTAATATTGTGGAGTAACTACAATGATGTTGATCCAACCTCAGTTTTCTCCTGTCACAGCCATTCAACTCTGTAACTGTTTTAAAGTCACCATTGGCCTCATGGTGAAATCCCTGAGCGGTTTCCTTCCTCTCCAGCAACTGAGTTAGGAAGGACGTCTCTATCTTTGTAATAACTGGGTGAATTGATACACCATCCAAAGTGTAATTAATAACTTTACGATGCTCAAAAGGATATTCAATGTCTGCTTTTTTTTTTTTTACCCATCTACCAATAGGTGCCCTTCTTTGCGAGGCATTGGAAAACCTCCCTGGTCTTTGTGGTTGAATCTGTGGTTGAAATTCACTGCTCGACTGAGGGACCTTACAGATGTGTGGGGTACAGAGATGAGGTCATTCAAACATCATGTTAAACACTATTATTGCTATTTATTATGTGACTTGTTCAGCTATTTTTTTTTCCTGAACTTATTTAGGCATGCCATAACAAAGGGGTTGAATACTTATTTACTCAAGACATTACAGCTTTTCATTTTTTATTAATTTGTAAAAATGTTAAAAAGCATCATTACACTTTGACATTATGGGGTATTGTGTGTAGGCCAGTAACAAAATAATCTCAATTTAATTCATTTTAAATTCAGGCTGTAACACATCAAATTTGGAAAAAGTCAAGGGGTGCTAATACTTTCTGAAGGTACTGTAAGGTACTATAAAGTATGAAAAAAATAAAGTAATGTTTGAATTAAACAAACGTATATTGGTGGAAAATATAATTGAATTGTTGACAGCACACTATATTATGCAACATAAATTGGTTAAACCGAATGTCATGCCTCTTGGGGTCAATTCATCCATATTCAGACTAAAGGTCGCCTTTACAATAATGCATGTAATAGTATTATTTAAAAAAACGGCGCTTTGTCAATTATCTCAAAAGGTAGTCTGAACATGTGTGAAACATGGTGGGAAAAACTGCATTATTTCCAGTTTAAGATAACCGTTTTAGGGGACACTACTGTTGTGATATCATTTATTACAACTCATACCATTGCTAGTTCTGCTCTTCAATGAAATAATGCGAGAGGCCTCGGGTTGAGAAAGGTGAAAACTAAAGTGGTAGATGTACTGAATTATTGCGCGTAATAACGGGTTTAATACACAAACCTTTGAATACACAAACCTTTAATACACAAACGCCTTGATAAGTTCCTTTCCTGAGGATGGCTCACCCCTCACAGTTTTGGGGGATTTCAACCTCCCTACGTCTACATTTGACTCATTTCTCTCTGCCTCCTTCTTTCCACTCCTCTCCTCTTTTGACCTCACCCTCTCACCGTCCCCCCCTACTCACAAGGCAGGCAATACGCTTGACCTCATCTTTACTAGATGCTGCTCTTCTACTAATCTCACTGCAACTCCCCTCCATGTCTCCGACCACTACTTTGTTTCCTTTTCTCTCTCGCTCTCCTCCAACACTACTCACTCTGCCCCTACACAGATGGTAATGCGCCGCCGTAACCTTCGCTCTCTCTCTCCCACTACTCTCTCCTCTTCCATCCTATCATCTCTTCCCTCTGCTCAATCCTTCTCCCTCCAATCTCCTGATTCTGCCTCCTCAACCCTCCTCTCCTCCCTTTCTGCATCCTTTGACTCTCTGTGTCCCCTATCCTCCCGGCCGGCTCGGTCCTCCCCTCCAGCTCCGTGGCTTGATGACTCATTGCGAGCTCACAGAACAGAGCTCCGGGCAGCGGAGCGGAAATGGAAGAAAACTAAACTCCCTGCCGACCTGGCATCTTTTCACTCCCTCCTCTCTACATTTTCTTCATCTGTTTCTGCTGCTAAGGCCACTTTCTACCACTCTAAATTCCAAGCATCTGCCTCTAACCCTAGGAAGCTCTTTGCCACATTCTCCTCCCTGCTGAATCCCCCCCCCCCCCCCCCCTCCTCTCTCTCTGTGGATGACTTCGTCAACCACTTTGAAAAGAAGGTTGACGACATCCGATCCTCGTTTGTTAAGTCTAATGACACTGCTGGTCCTACTCACACTGCCCTACCCTATGCTTTGACTTCTTTCTCCCCTCTCTCTCCAGATAAAATCCTGCGACTTGTGACTGCAGGCTGCCCAACAACCTGCCCGCTTGACCCCATCCCCTCCTCTCTTCTCCAGACCATCTCCGGTGACCTTCTCCCCTACCTCACCTCGCTGATCAACTCATCCTTGACCGCTGGCTATGTCCCTTCCGTCTTCAAGAGAGCGAGAGTTGCACCCCTTCTCAAAAAACCAACACTCGATCCCACTGATGTCAACAACTACAGACCAGTATCCCTTCTTTCTTTTCTTTCCAAAACTATTGAGCGTGCCGTCTTTAGCCAACTCTCTTGCTATCTCTCTCAGAATGACCTTCTTGATCCAAACCAGTCAGGTTTCAGGACTGGTCATTCAACTGAGACTGCTCTTCTCTGTGTCACGGAGGCTCTCCGCACTGCTAAAGCTAACTCTCTCTCCTCTGCTCTTGTCCTTCTAGACCTGTCTGCTGCCTTTGATACTGTGAACCATCAGATCCTCCTCTCCACCCTCTCCGAGCTGGGCATCTCCGGCGCGGCTCACTCCTGGATTGCGTCCTACCTGACCGGTCGCTCCTACCAAGTGGCGTGGCGAGAAGCTGTCTCCGCACCACGTGCTCTCACCACTGGTGTCCCCCAGGGCTCAGTTCTAGGCCCTCTCCTATTCTCCCTATACACCAAGTCACTTGGCTCTGTCATATCCTCACATGGCCTCTCCTATCATTGCTACGCTGACGATACACAACTAATCTTCTCCTTTCCCCCTTCTGATAACCAGGTGGCGAATCGCATCTCTGCATGTCTGGCTGACATATCAGTATGGATGACGGATCACCACCTCAAGCTGAACCCTGGCAAGATGGAGCTGCTCTTCCTCCCGGGGAAGGACTGCCCGTTCCATGATCTGTCCATCACGGTTGACAACTCCGTTGTGTCCTCCTCCCAGAGTGCGAAGAGCCTTGGCGTGACCCTGGACAACACCCTGTCGTTCTCCGCTAACATCAAGGCGGTGACCCGATCCTGCAGGTTCATGCTCTACAACATTCGGAAAGTACGACCCTGCCTTACACAGGAAGCGGCACAGGTCCTAATCCAGGCACTTGTCATCTCCCGTCTGGATTACTGCAACTCGCTGTTGGCTGGCCTCCCTGCCTGTGCCATTAAACCCCTACAACTCATCCAGAATGCCGCAGCCCGTCTGGTGTTCAACCTTCCCAAGTTCTCTCACGTCACCCCCCTCCTCCGCACACTCCACTGGCTTCCAGTTGAAGCTCGCATCCGTTACAAGACCATGGTGCTTGCCTATGGAGCAGTGAGGGGAACGGCACCTCCGTACCTTCAGGCTCTGATCAGTCCCTACACCCAAACGAGGGCATTGCGTTCATCCACCTCTGGCCTGCTGGCTCCCCTTCCTCTGCGGAAGCATAGTTCCCGCTCAGCCCAGTCAAAACTGTTCGCTGCTCTGGCACCCCAATGGTGGAACAAGCTCCCTCACGACGCCAGGACAGCGGAGTCACTCACCACCTTCCGGAGACATTTGAAACCCCACCTCTTTAAGGAATACCTGGGATAGGATAAAGTAATCCTTCTACCCCCCCCCCCCCCCCCCCCCAAAAAATAAAAAAAATAAAAAATAATAATAATAATAATAATAATAATTTGTAAAGTGGTTATCCCACTGGCTATAGGGTGAATGCACCAATTTGTAAGTCGCTCTGGATAAGAGCGTCTGCTAAATGACGTAAATGTGCCCTTGAGCAAGGCACTTAACCCTAATTGCTCCTGTAAGTCGCTCTGGATAAGAGCGTCTGCTAAATGACTAAAATGTAAATGTAAATGTAATGAACTACTCTATTGGTAATTACTCTGGAACATAGGGCATATTGTTATGAAATATAAAGGACGTGTTGCATTGTAAACTTACATTGTACAGATTCATTGTAGTCCTGTGTGGCTCAGTCCCTAGGGCATAGCGCTTGCAACGCCGAACGTTGTGGTTCCGAGTCCCGCTGTGACCACCCATACCTAAAATCTCTACATGCATGACTGTAAGTGGTTTTGGATAAAAGTTTTCGCTAAATGGCTTATATTATTGTATGCTGTATTTAATGTTTCTTCCCGCTTAAAACCACAACTCCCATGGGTCCCCTCTCCCGCACTAGAGGAGATTTTTTTAAAAAGTACATAAGTCTAACATTATTAACTTTTCAGACAGATTTAGGCTATTCTACAAGGAACATGCAGTAGCCTATCTGTTTATCCATGTAGCTACGAGTGACATCTAGTGGAAATGTATTTCTGCACCTGTTTCCTCAGTGTGTATGTAATAATTATGTCGTCCACTGGAGGGCAGTGGCTGATGGATAACCTCCTTCATGGAGCGCTCTTCAACCGGATGTGTGCACGTCGTTGTCATATGAGTTCATGGTTCACGTTTTATCACATTGCCGTGGCAGCGTTTCTAGCTACAACATGGGAATTGGGAACGACAAGTGACAGTGTGATGACTGTATGTGAAGTTTAGTGTGAACGACAGTGTAGAAAATAACAGTTTTATGTACTGGATCTTATCCTAGATCTGTATTTCTGCCGGAGGTTGGCGGGGGCAAACAGCAGTCACGATGGTGAAAGAGCAGTTTAGAGAGACTGATGTGGCCAAAAAAATGTAAGTATGTCCAGTTAGCTAGCTTGCTGGTTCACTGCTAGCCATTATCCATAAATATTTCCCCAGTCCTCTAGCTATGAGTATTGTTTGTAAATAACTACGTAAAGCCGCTTGCAATTTGTCACATGAGCTTGCTTTCATAGCTAGCTAGCTTTTTGCAATTGCATCATTGATTGAACAGTGTCAGCAATGCTGGTGGTAACCAGTTTAGATAGCTAGCTAGCTAAACATACAATCATAACACATCACATCCCCACCTGGCTAATAGTGGTAGTATATCGAACTCATCTTGCCATGATCACTGACACTCTTGCTAAGTACATAGTGATAAAGCATGAGGTGTAGAGAGGAATCTGCATTCCAATCAAGTACGAAGTAGCCTCAAGTAGACATATAGCAATGCAATGCTGACCATACATTACAAATGACTCCCAATTGACCCCTAAACTATAGCTTGTTATCATAGGCAGTTCTTGCTTGGGTAGGACCTATTTGCTAGTTGACATACTAGCCAGTGTCTAATTTTCCCCTATGCTGAGTTGGCTGTCAATTCCGTCTATCTCTATGTAAACAGAAGCCACATCTGTTTTGGGATGAAGTCGGCTGAGCAGATGAGACAGCAGGCTCATATCCAGGTGGTCAGTAAGAACCTGTACAGCCAGGACACCAGCCATACCCCGCTACCATACGGAGTACTGGACCATCGCATGGTAAGAACCTGTACAGCCAGTACACCAGCCATACCCCGCTACCATACGGAGTACTGGACCATCGCATGGTGGGGCTAACACATTCGTACGCATACACGCGTACATACACACAACACCCTATATGGAGTACTGGGCCATCACATGGTACGTACTGACAACACTCACACACCTCAATGCAGGGATGGGATGTGCCACTGTACTCCACATTTTGTATATATCCAAACTGATACATGGAGAAGACTGAAATACTGCAGAATTTTTCCCGGAAAACTGCCCTTTTCGTCTTCTCATGCTAGGTAGCAGTAGCCATTATGGAATGGCATGTCACGTTGAACAACAAAGGAGCTGATTGGCTTACACTGCCATTCCAAAATGGCGGCGGTGGCTACTGCTAGCTAGCATGAGGACGAATTAGCAGTATTTCAGTCTTCTCGATGTATCAGTTTGGATATAGGTAAAATTTGTAGTACAGTGGCACATCCCCTCCCTGCATTGAGGTAAGTTTTCCGACTCATATCCCGCGCCAGCTCCGAGGTGTCTTAATTAAACCATGATTGCGTTCCGACCCCAGTGCAGCTCAGTGTAAACAAGCGTAACGGTAGGGTCGGAATCTGCTGGCTATGTTTGGCATAGCACAGAGAATTCGACCAACCTTAAAGGAAAACCCCACCTAAAAAACCATCTTTTGATATTTTTTTTATTAGTCCATTGTTGATCTAGTCCCAAAATGTTTTGCATGTCAGCAATCAAGTTTTCAAGACATTCTGAAAGTATTTTGAAAGATGTATGTCTTAAACTGGACTGCTGACATGCAAAACATTTTGGGACTATATCAACAATGGACTAATGAAACAAATACCGAAAGATAGTTTTTGGGTGGAATTTTCCATTAACTTGAAATCTTTTAAAATGTCTGTGTCCACAAGCGTAACGGTAGGGTGGGAATCTGCTGGCTACGCCAAATAGTACCTATCCTGTAACGGCTAATGGAGCATCACATTAGCGCGTTAGAATCTGCTAGCTAAACCATCGCATGGTATGTACTGACAACACACGCGTGTATACACACAGACACACACACACACACCCACCCAACACACTTTCTACAAGAATCCAGGGCTGGTTTCTCTGAACAAGATCAAGCCTCACCCTGTACTAAAAAGCATGCTCAAAGTGCTTTAAAGTGGTGTTTAGTCTGGGTCTGGGAAACTGTCCCCAAGTGTATTGGTTGTTTTGACCCAACTGTCATGTTATATTCCAGGGAACCAGTGAGAAGGATCGTCCATGTGAGACGTGTGGGAAGAACCTGGCTGACTGTCTGGGACACTATGGATATCTGGACCTGGAGATGCCCTGTTTTCATGTGGGCTATTTCAAAGCCATCATTGGAATCCTACAGGTAAGTTCACTCTCTCTCTCTCTCTCTCTCTCTATATATATATATATATATATATATATATATATATATATATATATATATATATATATATATATATATATATATATACATGCATACATACATGCATACATACATACATACATACATACATACATACATACATACATACATACATACATACATACATACATACATACATACATACACACACACACACTACCAGTCAAAGGTTTGGACACACCTACTCATTCCAGGGTTTTTCTTTATTTTTACTATTTTTTACATTTTAGTCATTTAGCAGACGCTCTTATCCAGAGTTAGTGAGTGCATACATTTTCATACTGGCCCCCCGTGGGAATCGAACCCACAACCCTGGCGTTTCAAACGCCATGCTCTACCAACTGAGCTACACGGGGGGCTACATTGTAGAATAATAGTGAAGACATCAAAACTATGAAATAACACATATGGAATCATGTAGTAACTAAAAAAGTGTTAAACAAATCAAAATATATTTTATATTTGAGATTCTTCAAATAGCTTCCCTTTGCCTTGATGACAGCTTTGCACACTCTTGGCATTCTCTCAACCAGCTTCACCTGGAATGCTTTTCCAACAGTCTTTATGGAGTTCCCACATATGCTGAGCACTTGTTGGCTGCTTTTCCTTCAGTCTGCCGTCCGACTCATCCCAAACCATCTCAACCGGGTTGAGGTCGGGGGATTGTGGAGGCCAGGTCATCTGATGCAGCACTCCATCACTCTCCTTCTTGGTAAAATATCCCTTACACAGCCTGGAGGTGTGTTGGGTCATTGTTCTGTTGAAAAACAAATGATAGTCCAACTAAGCCCAAACCAGATGGGATGGTGTAGTGTGCCTTTAATTCTAAATAAATCACAGACAGTGTCACCAGCAAAGCACCCCCACACAATAACACCTCCTCCATGCTTCACGGTGGGAACTACACATGGGGAGATAATAATAATAATAATAATAATAATAATAATAATAATAATATGCCATTTAGCAGACGCTTTTATCCAAAGCGACTTACAGTCATGCGTGCATACATTTTTTTTTGTTTTTGTGTATGGGTAGTCCCGGGGATCGAACCCACTACCTTGGCGTTACAAGCGCCGTGCTCTACCAGCTGAGCTACAGAGGACCACAGATGATCCGTTCACCCACACCGCGTCTCACAAAGACACGGCGGTTGGAACAAAAAATCTCAAATTTGGACTCTAGACCAAAGGACAAATTTCCACAGGTCTAATGTCCATTGCTCATGTTTCTTGGCCCAAGCAGGTCTCTTCTTATTGGTGTCCTTTAGTAGTGGTTTCTTTGCAGCAATTCGACCATGAAGGCCTGATTCACACAGTCCCCTCTGAACAGTTGATGTTGAGATGTGTCTGTTACTTGAACTCTGTGGTCCTCTGTAGCTCAGCTGGTAGAGCACGGCGCTTGTAACGCCAGTGTAGTGGGTTCGATCTCCGGGACCACCCATAGACAAAAATGTATTTATTTGGGCTGCAATTTCTGAGGCTGGTAACTCTAATTAACTTATCCTCTGCAGCAGAGGTAACTCTGGGTCTTCCATTCCTGTGGCGGTCCTCATGAGAGCCAGTTTCATCATAGCACTTTATGGTTTTTGTGACTGCACTTGAAGAAACGTTCAAAGTTCTTGACATTTTCCATATTGACTGACCTTCATGTCTTAAAGTAACGATGGACTGTCAGCTTATTTGAGCTGTTCTTGCCATAATATTTACTTGGTCTTTTACCAAATAGGGCTATCTTCTGTATACCCCCCCTACCTTGTCACAACACAAGTGATTGGCTCAAACACATTAAGAAGGAAATAAATTCCACAAATTAACTTTTAAGAAGGCAAACCTGTTAATTGAAATGCATTCCAGGTGACTACCTCATGAAGCTGGTTGAGAGAATGCCAAGAGAGTGCAAAGCTGTCATCAAGGCAAAGGGTGGCTATTTGAAGAATCTCAAATATAAAATATATTTTGATTTGTTTAACACTTTTTTGGTTACTACATGATTCCATATGTGTTATTTCATAGTTTTGATGTCTTCACTATTATTCTACAATGTAAAAAATAGTAAAAATTAAGAAAAACCCTTGAATGAGTAGGTGTGTCCAAACTTTTGACTGGTAGTGTACATACATATATACATATACCTGTAACTGACAAAATAAAGGAAACACCTGAGTAACTGAGGGATGCAATGTAGGCTATATAGAAAGCAGGTGCTTACACACAGGTGTTGTTCCTGAGTTAATTAAGCAATTAACATCCCATCATGCTTAGGGTCATGTATAAAAATGCTCAGTTGCCCATTATTTTGGCCACCAAGGCTAGAAGAGGAGATCTCAGTGATATTGAAAGAGGGGGTCTCAAAGGAGCATATTGGATTTAAAGGGTGTGTGGGTGTCTCAGTCAGCAGATCGCTGCCCAAGTTAACACGTATGGGAGATTCTGGAGCGGCGCTTGAGACAGTGTTTTCCACAACCAATCAACAAAACACCAAATTATGGAATTTCTCATGGAAGAATGCAACACGCATCCCTCTGATTGAGTTCCAGACACTTGTAGAATCAACGCCAAGGGGGAAGCTGTTCTGGCGGCTCGTGGTCGCCCAACGCCCACTTTATGTTGATGTTTACTTTATTTAGGCAGTTACCTGTATATATTTATCTTCTCTCTGTCTCTCTCTCTACAATGGAGCAAACTAAATATGACATTACTGGACTGCACTCTGAGTAGCCTACATCACAACCTTGATCATCCTCATTCAATTATCATAGTTACTTCTTTGACTCTTTTGCTATGTGATTGTTGTTCAAGCTGGCCCATCATAACATCATGTGATTGTTGTTCAAGCTGGCCCATCATAACATCATGTGATTGTTGTTCAAGCTGGCCCATCATAACATCATGTGGTTGTTGTTCAAGCTGGCCCATCATAACATCATGTGGTTGTTGTTCAAGCTGGCCCATCATAACATCCTGTGGTTGTTGTTCAAGCTGGCCCATCATAACATCATGTGGTTGTTGTTCAAGCTGGCCCATCATAACATCATGTGGTTGTTGTTCAAGCTGGCCCATCATAACATCATGTGGTTGTTGTTCAAGCTGGCCCATCATAACATCATGTGATTGTTGTTGCAAGCTGGCCCATCATAACATCATGTGGTTGTTGTTCAAGTTGGCGCATTATAACATAATGGGTGTTTCTCAAAAATGCATACTACCGTGCTCCAAGCACGGGAGGGTCGGAGTATGAGTCCAAATCAAAGTATGCGAAACAGAGCACGGAGGGCACTTCTCGAATGCATACTCCGTTTGTACATATTTTGAAGCATTGCATCGATGCAAGCTTCAACGGAAAGTATGCAAAGAAGTATGACGCAACCATGTTAAAAAAAAAAAAAAAAAGGATGCACATTTTCTTGAAATCAATGGTGGCCATTATTTGAGCTGAAGCGAGAGAAAATACACTCTTACTTTAGAAAGACATGTTGCCTATCCACGTCTCATATGTTGCCTGACATGATACGTTAATAAATACATGCTGTGTTAATTTTGGCATGGTTACCAGCCAACAAGCCCATAGTAAGTCAACCGGGTTAACTGGCTAGCTACTAGTACTTTTAGCTAGCCAGATAGACATGAAGAATTGTTAGCTAGCTATCCACGAAGAATTGACATCTCCCTTGGATAACATTGGTTTTAGGTCATTTTTGCCTGTTTAACTAGCTAGCTGGCTAGCTAGATTACAACAATTCACAGCTAGCTGATAATTATGAAGTAAATCGTTTGCTTTGTGTATATCTTGTTTGGTCTCTATTGTTGCCATTGTCCTGGCTGGGAGAAGGTTCAGTGAATGGGGAGATGCAGCGTGAGGTAATACATTAGGGGGAGTGCGAGTGCTTCTCAAATGTTTTATGCATTCTCCACACTCTCGTCCTCACAAGAACGTACTCAAGAGAATACACTTGGAGCATGTGGGTGTGGAGCACGGTAGTATGCAAATTGAGAAAGACCCAATGTGATTGTTGTTCATGTTGTTCCATTATAACATCATGTGATTGTTGTTCATGTTGTTCCATTATAACATCATGTGATTGTTGTTCATGTTGTTCCATTATAACATAATGTGATTGTTGTTCCATTATAACATCATGTGATTGTTGTATCCCTCCAGATGATCTGTAAGACGTGTTCTCACATCATGCTGACCAAAGAGGAGAAGCTGCAGTTCATGGATGTGTTGAAGAGGCCAGGCCTAGCGTACCTCCAGAAACGAGGACTGAAGAAGAAGATATCCGACAAATGCCGCAAAAGGACATTGTGTCTCAATTGCTCCACGTTAAATGGTAGACTGTTTGAGGTTGGATATTGACATATTGTTAAGTTGTATTTGAATTGAGTTGGGTTTAGTTGAGTTGAAAGCATAGCCCAGGTGGTGGTTGGAGTGACTGATGCTATCTTCGTTCTACTCTTTTAACAGGACTGGTGAAGAAGTGTGGCCTGCTGAAGATCCTCCACGAGAAATACAAGACAACCAAGAAAGTGGTGGACGCTGTAGTATCTGACTTTCTCAACTCCTTCGATATCGCAATAGAACACAACAAAGAAGTGGAGGGCTTGCTCAACAGGGCTCAGGTGAGTCACGATGAAGGCAACTAGGGCTTGCTCAGCAGGGCTCAGGTGAGTCACGATGAAGGCAACTAGGGCTTGCTCAGCAGGGCTCAGGTGAGTCACGTTGAAGGCAACTATGGCTTGCTCAGCAGTCACGTTGAAGGCAACTATGGCTTGCTCAGCAGGGCTCAGGTGAGTCACGTTGAAGGCAACTATGGCTTGCTCAACAGGGCTCAGGTGAGTCACGTTGAAGGCAACTATGGCTTGCTCAACAGGGCTCAGGTGAGTCACTTTGAAGGCAACTAGGGCTTGCTCAGCAGGGCTCAGGTGAGTCACGTTGAAGGCAACTATGGCTTGCTCAGCAGGGCTCAGGTGAGTCACGTTGAAGGCAACTATGGCTTGCTCAACAGGGCTCAGGTGAGTCACGTTGAAGGCAACTATGGCTTGCTCAACATGGCTCAGGTGAGTCACGTTGAAGGCAACTATGGCTTGCTCAACAGGGCTCAGGTGAGTCACGTTGAAGGCAACTATGGCTTGCTCAGCAGGGCTCAGGTGAGTCACGTTGAAGGCAACTATGGCTTGCTCAACAGGGCTCAGGTGAGTCACGTTGAAGGCAACTATGGCTTGCTCAACAGGGCTCAGGTGAGTCACTTTGAAGGCAACTAGGGCTTGCTCAGCAGGGCTCAGGTGAGTCACGTTGAAGGCAACTATGGCTTGCTCAGCAGGGCTCAGGTGAGTCACGTTGAAGGCAACTATGGCTTGCTCAACAGGGCTCAGGTGAGTCACGTTGAAGGCAACTATGGCTTGCTCAGCAGGGCTCAGGTGAGTCACGTTGAAGGCAACTATGGCTTGCTCAGCAGGGCTCAGGTGAGTCACGTTGAAGGCAACTATGGCTTGCTCAAAAGGGCTCAGGTGAGTCACGTTGAAGGCAACTATGGCTTGCTCAGCAGGGCTCAGGTGAGTCACGTTGAAGGCAACTATGGCTTGCTCAACAATGCTCAGGTGAGTCACGTTGAAGGCAACTATGGCTTGCTCAGCAGGGCTCAGGTGAGTCACGTTGAAGGCAACAATGGCTTGCTCAGCAGGGCTCAGGTGAGTCACGTTGAAGGCAACTATGGCTTGCTCAGCAGGGCTCAGGTGAGTCACGTTGAAGGCAACTATGGCAACTTCTAACAGTTTGCATGTCTACTTTCTAGAGGTCATATGAGGATTTTAATGGTTTGCTTTGTATAGTTTTCCCTTAGCAGCGACTGACAGCACAGAGTTCATACAGGGTTAGTATATGGGATACTTGTCGGAATTGAACCCACAACCTTGGTATGACTAGAGCCACACTCTTCTTACCAACTGGGCCACACAGGACCACACAGGTTTTAAAAACGTACGGATCATGTCCTTCACCCCGATGGAGAACCTGAGTCCTCTGGTGGTGCTGAACCTCTTCAAAATTAGTCTGTCTGTATCCGGGAAACTGGCCCTTTAAGGTTTTAAATGCTGACTGATTGACCCTTCATGACCTGTGATTTCCAGGAGAACCTGAGTCCTCTGGTGGTGTTGAACCTCTTCAAAATGAGTCTGTATCCGGGAAACTGGCCCTTAAGGTTTTAAATGCTGACTGATTGACCTTCAGGTCCTGTGGTTTCCAGGAGAACCTGAGTCCTCTGGTGGTGTTGAACCTGTTCAAGAGGATTCCAGCGGAGGACATTCCCCTGCTCCTGATGAACCCTGAGGCAGGGAAGCCTGCAGACCTCATCCTCACTCGTCTGCTGGTACCTCCACTCTGCATCCGCCCCTCTGTCATCTCAGACCTCAAGGCAGGTACTAATGAGGATGACCTCACCATGAAGCTCACAGAGATCATCTTCCTCAATGACGTCATCAAGAAGGTGGGTACATTACGTTTTTTACATTTTAGTCATGTATGATGTCATCGAGAATGTGGGTGTCATGGGATTGGGAGGGTAGCAGGAAGTGTCGATGAATTTGTGATTTAATTGTTTTATGAATAGGGCCGGGAGTTTTTCCAGGAACTGATCAGGAAAACCTCTGGGCCCTAGTAGGCTATTACTAACTAGTTGGTCAGCTCAGGAAAACCTCCTGGGCCTTTTTTTATGAAAGTAATAACACAAGACAGAAAGGCGATTTGTTGCAGTTATTGTGTTGTTGTCTAATGAATGATAAATGAATTGATCCGCCCTCCTCCCATGCTGTCCCACAGCACCGTATGTCAGGGGCCAAGACCCAGATGATCATGGAGGACTGGGACTTCCTCCAGCTGCAATGTGCTCTCTACATCAACAGTGAGCTCTCTGGCATCCCCCTCAACATGGCCCCTAAGAAGTGGACCAGAGGCTTCGTTCAGAGACTCAAGGGCAAACAAGGTCTCGCTTGTAGAAATAGAGTGATTTCTATTCTAATGATTTAATAGTTACCTGTCGTCTGTTCTGATTTCTAGTTCTGTGGTCACTCTCACCATCTTATTATTGATAGTTGACACTGAACTCGTCAATGTCATGTCTTTTGTCATAAACAATTGAAACTATTTTTTTCAGTCGATTTTAGTTTATTTACACAGCTGACTCAGAAACAGAAAGTGTCCTAATTGATTGTAGAGCCATTTAATCACAAAGTATACAGTGGAATGTTGTTCTCCACTGCTGCCTTGGATTGATAAGAATTTGGATTAGGTAGTGATACTTTGTGGTGTCTCTCTCAGGGCGATTCCGTGGAAACCTCTCGGGGAAAAGAGTGGATTTCTCTGGGAGAACGGTCATCTCTCCGGACCCCAACCTGCGGATCGATGAGGTGGCAGTCCCTGTACACGTAGCCAAGATCCTGACCTACCCAGAGAAGGTAAGACTCCTATTGGTCACACTTTAAACTAACTAAAACGTATAAAGGCTTTATAAGAATTAAGGCTGTCTACGTTAACGTGTTAAGGCGCACATTTTTTTTTTATGCTGTTAATTGCTTTGACGCTTTTAATCGCTTCTCCGTTTCTTTACCGCACGGACCCTTTTTAAGCGCACGTGTTTCAGCACGGACCCTTTTAAGCGCAACACGCTCTGTGCGGTGAACAGTCAGTCTGCGCTCGGTCTCAGTAGCGCTGCCTGTCTCTATTGTGGTGCTCTATGCACGCAGCTTTGAGCGACCGTTTTGCAGGAAACCCAACAGAAAGTCCTACCATAAACACATTCCCAGGCCTTTCTTTAGATAACAGCAAAAACATAATTTGTACAGAAGTAGCAAACTAGTTATGCTAACGTTAGCTAGCTAGTCAAAATAATGTTAACATTTTTTTTTTTTTTTTTTTACATTTTTAGTCATTTAGCAGATGACCTCAGACCTGGCTGACCTGTTGTTATTGTCTTCTGTGGAAGTCAGAACGTTGTTGGACAGGTTCCAAAGCCCTTTGTTCTATGTATCCATAGAGCTAGTTCTTTTTTTCCTATTGTCCAACCCTCCAATCAGAAATTGGGAGAACACTCATATAGAACGCCTGAAGCTTTAACTAAGTGTTAAACTTCCAGAATATTGATAAGAGGAAGTACTTCTACTTAACCACTGGGAGCATTAATAGCTGCATGTTACAGTGACTTTTGTGTTGTTTATTGTGAAAATGCCATTAAAACATTTTGATACAGATTATTTTGGATTTCTTTCCTTTACAATCAAAACAAAGTAACTCAATGCACTGCTTTTTAATGGGTTTTTTTCAAATTTAAGGCCAAATTGCGGTGAGTCGCGATGAACTAATTCCATTAACTCGATTTTAATTATTTTAATCATTTGACAGCCCTAATAAGAATACATCAATTGTTCATAAGCGCTACATAGATGCTTTACAAATCATGATGGATCACAGGGGAGGTTGAGGGCCTTTTTTAGCCAGCTTACCATTAAGAAGTAACATACACAGTACACTATTGTAAATATCCCATCTGTGGGTGTCCTGTTGTATGCCCTGAGACCTCTAACTTGTTGTGCCCCCAGGTGAACAAGGCCAACTTGGAGATGCTGAGGAAGCTGGTGCGTAGCGGTCCGGAGGTCCACCCTGGAGCCAACTTCATCCAGCAACGACACACCCAGATGAAAAGGTGAGGACAGTTATATTTGACATGTTGGTCATTTTAAAAAGCATGAGCTTGACCTACAACCCAAAATGTTGAAGAAGGCACTACCTGCCAAAACGTTGGTTAGGTTTACCCATTGAATTGTTGAAAGCATATATATATATATATATATATATATATATATACACAGTGGGGAAAAAAAATATTTAGTCAGCCACCAATTGTGCAAGTTCTCCCACTTAAAAAGATGAGAGAGGCCTGTAATTTTCATCATAGGTACACGTCAACTATGACAGACAAAATGAGAGAAAAAAAATCCAGAAAATCACATTGTAGGATTTTTAATGAATTTATTGGCAAATGATGGTGGAAAATAAGTATTTGGTCAATAACAAAAGTTTCTCAATACTTTGTTATATACCCTTTGTTGGCAATGACACAGGTCAAACGTTTTCTGTAAGTCTTCACAAGGTTTTCACACACTGTTGCTGGTATTTTGGCCCATTCCTCCATGCAGATCTCCTCTAGAGCAGTGATGTTTTGGGGCTGTCGCTGGGCAACACAGACTTTCAACTCCCTCCAAAGATTTTCTATGGGGTTGAGATCTGGAGACTGGCTAGGCCACTCCAGGACCTTGAAATGCTTCTTACGAAGCCACTCCTTCGTTGCCCGGGCGGTGTGTTTGGGATCATTGTCATGCTGAAAGACCCAGCCATGTTTCATCTTCAATGCCCTTGCTGATGGAAGGAGGTTTTCACTCAAAATCTCACGATACATGGCCCCATTCATTCTTTCCTTTACACGGATCAGTCGTCCTGGTCCCTTTGCAGAAAAACAGCCCCAAAGCATGATGTTTCCACCCCCATGCTTCACAGTAGGTATGGTGTTCTTTGGATGCAACTCAGCATTCTTTGTCCTCCAAACACGACGAGTTGAGTTTTTACCAAAAAGTTATATTTTGGTTTCATCTGACCATATGACATTCTCCCAATCCTCTTCTGGATCATCCAAATGCACTTCAGACGGGCCTGGACATGTACTGGCTTAAGCAGGGGGACACGTCTGGCACTGCAGGATTTGAGTCCCTGGCGGCGTAGTGTGTTACTGATGGTAGGCTTTGTTACTTTGGTCCCAGCTCTCTGCAGGTCATTCACTAGGTCCCCCCGTGTGGTTCTGGGATTTTTGCTCACCGTTCTTGTGATCATTTTGACCGCACGGGGTGAGATCTTGCGTGGAGCCCCATATCGAGGGAGATTATCAGTGGTCTTGTATGTCTTCCATTTCCTAATAATTGCTCCCACAGTTGATTTCTTCAAACCAAGCTGCTTACCTATTGCAGATTCAGGCTTCCCAGCCTGGTGCAGGTCTACAATTTTGTTTTTGGTGTCCTTTGACAGCTCTTTGGTCTTGGCCATTGTGGAGTTTGGAGTGTGACTGTTTGAGGTTGTGGACAGGTGTCTTTTATACTGATAACAAGTTCAAACAGGTGCCATTAATACAGGTAACGAGTGGAGGACAGAGGAGCCTCTTAAAGAAGAAGTTACAGGTCTGTGAGAGCCAGAAATCTTGCTTGTTTGTAGGTGACCAAATACTTATTTTCCACCATAATTTGCAAATAAATTCATTAAAAATCCTACAATGGGATTTTCTGGATTTTTTTTTCTCAATTTGTCTGTCATAGTTGACGTGTACCTATGATGAAAATTACAGGCCTCTCTCATCTTTTTAAGTGGGAGAACTTGCACAATTGGTGGCTGACTAAATACTTTTTTTCCCCACTGTATATATATAAACTCAGCAAAAAAAAGAAACATCCTCTCACTGTCAACTGCGTTTATTTTCAGCAAACTTAACATGTGTAAATATTTGTATGAACATAACAAGATTCAACAACTGAGACATAAACTGAACAAGTTCCACAGACATGTGACTAACAGAAATGGAATAATGTGTCCCTGAACAAAGGGGGGAGGGGGGTCAAAATCAAAAGTAACAGTCAGTATCTGGTGTGGCCACCAGCTGCATTAAGTACTACAGTGCATCTCCTCCTCATGGACTGCACCAGATTTGCCAGTTCTTGCTGTGAGATGTTACCCCACTCTTCCACCAAGGCACCTGCAAGTTCCCAGACATTTCTGGGGGGAATGGCCCTAGCCCTCACCCTCCGATCCAACAGATCCCAGACGTGCTCAATGGGATTGAGATCCGGGCTCTTCGCTGGCCTTGGCAGAACACTGACATTCCTGTCTTGCAGGAAATCATGCACAGAACGAGCAGTATGGCTGGTGGCATTGTCATGCAGGAGGGTCATGTCAGGATGAGCCTGCAGGAAGGGTACCACATGAGGGAGGAGGATGTCTTCCCTGTAACGCATAGCGTTGAGATTGCCTGCAATGACAACAAGCTCAGTCCGATGATGCTGTGACACACCGCCCCAGACCATGACGGACCCTCCACCTCCAAATCGATCCCGCTCCAGAGTACAGGCCTCGGTGTAACGCTCATTCCTTCGACGATAAACGCGAATCCGACCATCACCCCTGGTGAGACAAAACCGTGAGGACCTGCCTTACAACAGGCCTATAAGCCCTCAGTCCAGCCTCTCTCAGCCTATTGCGGACAGTCTGAGCACTGATGGAGGGATTGTGCGTTCCTGGTGTAACTCGGGCAGTTGTTGTTGCCATCCTGTACCTGTCCCGCAGGTGTGATGTTCAGATGTACCGATCCTGTGCAGGTGTTGTTAAACGTGGTCTGCCACTGCGAGGACGATCAGCTGTCCATCCTGTCTCCCTGTAGCGCTGTCTTAGGCGTCTCACAGTACAGACATTGCAATTTATTGCCCTGGCCACATCTGCAGTCCTCATGCCTCCTTGCAGCATGCCTAAGGCACGTTCACGCAGATGAGCAGGGACCCTGGGCATCTTTCTTTTGGTGTTTTTCAGAGTCAGTAGAAAGGCCTCTTTAGTGTCCTAAGTTTTCATAACTGTGACCTTAATTGCCTACCGTCTGTAAGCTGTTAGTGTCTCAACGACCGTTCCACAGGTGCATGTTCATTTAAGTGTTTATGGTTAATTGAACAAGCATGGAAACAGTGTTTAAACCCTTTACAATGAAGATCTGAGAAGTTATTTGGATTTTTACAAATTATCATTGAAAGACGGTCCTGAAAAGGGGACATTTATTTTTTTTGCTGAGTTTATATAGTGTAACTTTCTTTCTTTTGATACATTTTAGTCATTTAAAGGGATACCTTGGGGATTTTGGCTTGAGGCCCTTTATCTACTTCCTCAGTCAGATGAACTGGTGGATACCAGTTGAATGTCTCGGTGTCCTGGACCCTGGTTCATCTGACTGAGGAAGTAGATAAAAGGCCTCATTGTCAAAATCCCAAAGTATCCCTTTAATAGATGCTCTTATCCGTTGTCCATCTAAACTTAAACTTTGGTTATAGGCCTAGATCTAAAGTTAAACTTTGGTTATAGGCCTAGATCTAAAGTTAAACTGTGGTTATAGGCCTAGATCTAAAGTTAAACTTTGGTTATAGGCCTAGATCTAAACTTAAACTGTGGTTATAGGCCTAGATCTAAACTTAAACTGTGGTTATAGGCCTAGATCTAAACTTTGTATGAAACCACATGTTTAGGTGTACCGTGCCTTGCAAAAGTATTCATCCCCCTTGGCGTTTTTACCTATTTTGTTGGAATTATAACCTGTAATTTAAATGGATTTTTATTTGGAATTCATGTAATGGACATACACAAAATAGTCCAAATTGGTGAAGTGAAATGAAAAAAGTAACTTGTTTCAAAAAATTTTAGAAAAAAATAACGGAAAAGTGGTGCGTGCATATGTATTCACCCCCTTTGCTATGAAGCCCCTAAATAAGATCTGGTGCAACCAATTACCTTCAGAAGTCACATAATTAGTTAAATAAAGTCCACCTGTGTGCGATCTAAGTGTCACATGATCTCAGTATATATACACCTGTTCTGAAAGGCCCCAGAGTCTGCAACACCACTAAGCAAGGGGCACCACCAAGCAAGCGGCACCATGAAGACCAAGGAGCTCTCCAAACAGGTCAGGGACAAAGTTGTGGAGAAGTACAGATCAGGGTTGGGTTATAACAAAATATCAGAAACTTTGAACATCCCACGGAGCACCATTAAAACCATTATTAAAAAATGGAAAGAATATGGCACCACAGCAAACCTGCCAAGAGAGGGCCGCCCACCAAAACTCACGGACCAGGCAAGGAGGGCATTAATCAGTGAGGCAACAAAGAGACCAAAGATAACCCTGAAGGAGCTGCAAAGCTCCACAGTGGAGATTGGAGTATCTGTCCATAGGACCACTTTAAGCCGTACACTCCACAGAGCTGGGCTTTACGGAAGATTGGCCAGAAAAAAGCCATTGCCTAAAGAAAAAAATAAGCAAACACGTTTGGTGTTCGCCAAAAGGCATGTGGGAGACTCCCCAAACATGGAAGAAGGTTCTCTGGTCAGATGAGACTAAAATTGAGCTTTTTGGCCATCAAGAAAAATGTCTGCCGCAAACCCAACACCTCTCATCACCCCAAGAACACCATCCATGGCAGCATCATGCTGTGGGGATGTTTTTCATCTGCAGGGACTGGGAAACTGGTCAGAATTGAAGGAATGATGGATGGCGCTAAATACAGGGAAATTCTTGAGGGAAACCTGTTTCAGTCTTCCAGAGATTTGAGACTGGGACGGAGGTTCACCTTCCAGCAGGACAATGACCCTAAGCATACTGCTAAAGCAACAGTCAAGTGGTTTAAGGGGAAACATTTAAATGTCTTGGAATGGCCTAGTCAAAGCCCAGACCTCAATCCAATTGAGAATCTGTGGTATGACTTAAAGATTGCTGTACACAAGCGGAACCCATCCAACTTGAAGGAGCTGGAGCAGTTTTGCCTTGAAGAATGGGCAAAAATCCCAGTGGCTAGATGTGCCAAGCTTATAGAGACATACCCCAAGAGACTTGCAGCTGTAATTGCTGGAAAAGGTGGCTCTACAAAGTATTGACTTTGGGGGGGTTGAATAGTTATTCCACACTCAAGTTTTCTGTTTTTTTGTGTCTTATTTCTTGTTTGTTTCACAAGAAAAAATATTTTGCATCTTGAAAGTGGTAGGCATGTTGTGTAAATCAAATGATACAAACCCCCCAAAAAATCCATTTTAATTCCAGGTTGTAAGGCAACAAAATAGGAAATATGCCAAGGGGGGGGGTGAATAAATTTTGCAAGCCACTGTATCCGTTCTAAGAGTATTCCTGGTGTGTGTGTGTGTGTGTGTGTGTGTGTTTGTCTTCAGGTTTCTGAAGTACGGGAACCGAGAGAAGATGGCCCAGGAGCTGAGGTTTGGAGACGTGGTGGAGAGACACATGATCGATGGAGACATCGTCCTCTTCAACCGACAGCCCTCTCTACACAAACTCAGCATCATGGCTCATATCGTGAGTGATCTCTCTCTCCACATCACACACCCATCCTTCACTTTGGCTCTCCGTCTGGAAACTGTTAGGTTATGCACTGTGCTGACTCCATTTCAACGTTGTGTAGTCAGGAAGGGAACCTCCCTGTCAGAAGTTGGAGATTTTATGTGATGTATCTTAGGGTTGTCTGTTTATACCAGCTTTGTCATGTAGTTATTACTGTTTTGGATGTATCGAGAGTCCACTTTTATTTCAGGCACACCTCAATGAAATCCTTATTGTATTCATCTTTGTCTGTCCTTAAAGGCCAAAGTGAAACCTCACAGAACGTTCCGGTTCAACGAGTGTGTGTGCACGCCATACAACGCTGACTTTGACGGGGACGAGATGAACCTTCACCTTCCCCAGACAGAGGAGGCCAAGGCTGAAGCCCTGGTGCTGATGGGGGTTAGTATCCCCTGTCCTACTTCACCTTTAAACTCCTACAGCACACCACACACCCCTACACGTTGTTCCCTCACCCCTACACGTTGTTCCCTCACCCCTACACGATGTTCCCTCACCCCTACACGTTGTTCCCTCACCCCTACACGTTGTACCTCACCCCTACACGTTGTTCCCTCACCCCTACACGTTGTTCCCTCACCCCTACACGTTGTTCCCTCACCCCTACACGTTGTTCCCTCACCCCTACACGTTGTTCCCTCACCCCTACACGTTGTTCCCTCACCCCACGTTGTTCCCTCACCCCTACACGTTGTGCCTCACCCCTACACGTTGTTCCCTCACCCCTACACGTTGTTCCCTCACCCCTACACGTTGTGCCTCACCCCTACACGTTGTGCCTCACCCCTACACGTTGTTCCCTCCCCCCTACACGATGTGCCTCACCCCTACACGTTGTTCCCTCACCCCTACACGTTGTTCCCTCACCCCTACACGTTGTTCCCTCACCCCTACACGTTGTTCCCTCACCCCTACACGTTGTTCCCTCACCCCTACACGTTGTTCCCTCACCCCTACACGTTGTTCCCTCACCCCTACACGTTGTGCCTCACCCCTACACGTTGTGCCTCACCCCTACACGTTGTTCCCTCCCCCCCTACACGATGTGCCTCACCCCTACACGTTGTGCCTCACCCCTACACGTTGTTCCCTCCCCCCTACATGATGTGCCTCACCCCTACACGTTGTGCCTCACCCCTACACGTTGTGCCTCACCCCTACACAATGTGCCTCACCCCTACACGATGTGCAGCACTCCCATTTACATCAATTAATAATTTACATGAAAGTCCAAGTTGCATGCAGTCTGCCAGCATTTACCTCTTCACCCCACAGTCCACCCCTACACCTACAGCACCCCACAGTCCACCTCTACACCTACAGCACCCCACAGTCCACCTCTACACCTACAACACCCCACAGTCCACCCCTACAACACCCCACAGTCCACCCCTACAACACCCCACAGTCCACCCCTACACCTACAACACCCCACAGTCCACCCCTACACCTACAACACCCCACAGTCCACCCCTACACCTACAACACCCCACAGTCCACCCCTACAGCACCCCACAGTCCACCCCTACACCTACAACACCCCTCAGTCCACCCCTACACCTACAGCACCCCACAGTCCACCCCTACACCTACAACACCCCTCAGTCCACCCCTACACCTTCAACACCCCACAGTCCACCCCTACACCTACAACACCCCTCAGTCCACCCCTACACCTTCAACACCCCTCAGTCCACCCCTACACCTACAACACCCCACAGTCCACCCCTACACCTACAACACCCCACAGTCCACCCCTACAGCACCCCACAGTCCACCCCTACACCTACAACACCCCTCAGTCCACCCCTACACCTACAGCACCCCACAGTCCACCCCTACACCTACAACACCCCTCAGTCCACCCTACACCTACAGCACCCCACAGTCCACCCCTACACCTACAACACCCCTCAGTCCACCCCTACACCTTCAACACCCCTCAGTCCACCCCTACACCTACAACACCCCACAGTCCACCCCTACACCTACAACACCCCACAGTCCACCCCTACAGCACCCCACAGTCCACCCCTACACCTACAACACCCCTCAGTCCACCCCTACACCTACAGCACCCCACAGTCCACCTCTACACCTACAACACCCCACAGTCCACCCCTACAACACCCCACAGTCCACCCCTACACCTACAACACCCCACAGTCCACCCCTACACCTACAACACCCCACAGTCCACCCCTACAGCAACCCCACAGTCCACCCATACACCTACAGCACCCCACAGTCACCACCTCAACCCCACAAACCCACAAAGACAAAAGACACCTACACACCCGCACCTACAACACCCCACAGTCCACCCCTACACACCCCACAGTCCACCCCTACCTAACCACCCACGTCACCCCTACACCCCACAGTCCACCCCTACACCTTCAACACCCCACAGTCCAACCCTACACCTTCAACACCTACAACACCCCACAGTCCACCTCTACACCATCAACACCCCTCAGTCCACCCATACAACACCCCACAGTCCACCCTACCCCTACAAACACCCCACAGTCCACCCCTACAACACCCTCATCACCCCTACAGCACCCCACAGTCCACCCTCTACAACCATCACACACCCCTATCCACCTACAACACCCCATAGTCCACCTCTACACCTACAACACCCCACAGTCCACCCCTACAGACACCCCACATCCACCCTACACACCCCACAGTCCACCCCTACCTACAGCACCCCACAGTCCACCCCTACAACACCCCACAGTCCACCCCTACACCTTCACTACAACACCCCACAGTCCACCTCTACACACTACAACACCCCACAGTCCACCTACACCAAACCTACAACACCCACAGTCCACCCCTACACTTACACACCCCACAGTCCACCCCTACACTTACACACCCCACAGTCACCCCAAAACCCTACAACACCCCCCCAGTCCACCCCTACACCTTCAACACCTACAAACCCCACAGTCCACCCTACACCCAACACCTACAACACCCCACAGTCCCCCCTACACCTTACACCTACAAAACCCCACAGTCCACCCCTACACCTACAACACCCCACAGTCCACCCCTACACCTACAACACCCCACAGTCCACCCCACACCTACAAACACCCCACAGTCCACCCCTTACACCTACAACACCCCACAGTCCACCCCTACACCTCCTACACCTACAAAACCCCACAGTCCACCCCTACACCTACAAACCCCCATCACCCCTACACCTACAAACCCCACAGTCCACCCTACACCTACAACACCCCACAGTCCACCCCTACACCTTACACAAAACCCCACAGTCCACCCCTACACCTACAACACCCCACAGTTTCCCCCCTACCTACAACACCCCACAGTCCATCCCCTCACACCCACAGTCCACCCTACAACACCCCACAGTCCACCCCTACACCTCAACACTACAACACCCCACAGTCCACCTCTACACCATACACCCCTCATCCACCCTACAACACCCCTAGTCCACCCTACACCTACAACACCCCACAGTCCACCCCTACACACCCCACAGTCCACCCCTACACACCCCACAGTCCACCCCTACACCTACAACACCCCCGTCCCCCCTACACCCACAGCACCCCACAGTCCACCCCCCTACACCTACAGCACCCCACAGTCCACCCTACACCTACAACACCCACAGTCCACCCATACAACCCCCATATCACCCCTAACCTACAACACCCCACAGTCCACCCCTACATACAACCCCACAGTCCACCTACCCTACAACACCCCACAGTCCACCCCTACACCTACAACACCCCACAGTCCACCCCTACACACACCACACCCCCGTCCACCCCACACACTACAACACCCCACAGTCCACCTTCCCTCACCCCTACAACACCCACAGTCCACCCCTCACACCCCACAGTCCACCCCACACACCCCACAGTCCACCCCTACACCTACAACACCCCACAGTCCACCCCTACACCTACAACAAACCCCACAGTCCACCCCTACACCTAAACACACCCCACAGTCCACCCCTACACCTACAAACCCCACAGTCCACCCCTACACTACACCCCACAGTCCCCCCTACACCTCAACCCCCACGCCCCTACACCTACAACACCCCCAGTCCACCCCATACACCACAACACCCCACAGTCCCCCCTACACCTACAACACCCCACAGTCCACCCCTACACCAACAACACCCCAGTCCACCCCTACAGCACCCCACAGTCCACCACCTACAACACCCCACAGTCCACCCCTACACCTACAACACCCCACAGTCCACCCCTACAAACCCACAACACCCCACAGTCCACCCTACACCTACAACACCCCACAGTCCACCCCTACACCTACAACAACCCCACAGTCACCACCCTACACCTACAACACCCCACAGTCCACCCCTACACACTACAACACCCCACAGTCCACCCCTACAACACCCCACAGTCCACCCCCTACAGCACCCCACAGTCCACCCCTACACCTACAACACCCCACAGTCCACCCCTACACCTACAACACACCCCACAGTCCACCCCTACACCTACAACACCCCACAGTCCACCCCTACACCTACAACACCCCACAGTCCACCCCTACACCTACAACACCCCACAGTCCCCCCCTACACCTACAACACCCCACAGTCCACCCCTACACCTTCAACACCTACAACACCCCACAGTCCATCTCACCCCTACACACACTCCACCCCACACTTACAACACCCCACAGTCCACACCCACTACACCCCTCACACACACCCCACAGTCCACCCCTACACCTACAACCCCACTCCACCCCTAACTACAACACCCCACAGTCCACCTACACCTACAAAACCCCACAGTCACCCCTACACCTACAACACCCCACATCACCCTACACCTACAACACCCCACAGTCCACCCCTACACCTACAACACCCCACAGTCCACTTCAACAGTTCTCCTCTCTGTCACTCAGTCTTTAAGCCCAGGTTTAAACAACACTAAACCTGCAGAGCCAAGGTTCTGCTTTCACACTGACCGTTACTTTTCTAATTTCTCTTTCTGTGTCCCTCCAGACCAAAGCCAACTTGGTGACCCCCAGAAACGGAGAGCCTCTGATTGCTGCTATTCAAGACTTTCTGACAGGTCAGCCATTGTGTCAACGCAATAGGCAGTCATTGTTTGTCGCAGCAGGGCCTGACAGCCGATCAAATGGCTCATTTGTCAGATGATTGAGGCCTTTGACGTCTGGATTATCGAGTGTCTCAAATTTGTTCATTGTTAGGTGGAGAAAATATCAAGGTGCTGACATTGTGACGTGTGTTCAACGTGATGGAAAATGTCTCCCTGGACTGCTCTGATCTGTTCATTGCATTTGATTTGTGTCACAGCTGGTCTCATCTGCCTTGAAAAGAAAACTGTGTCATCTTCATTATGCAGTTGCTTTGCTTGTGTTATCCAGATTGGGGCACTTACCTTTTGTTAAGTCAACACATTGATGGGATTCTTTATACTGACATTATTATCCACTCTGGTTTTGACATTTGAGACTGAATTCAGGAAGATGAGCTTCTGTCAAATCTTCAAGATTGGCTGTTTTTTTTATTTTTAATGTATTTATTTTTAGTATTTTTTACATTTTGTAAAAGTACAAACCCAGGGCTTTGAAATGGTATATCATGAAACATCGGAAAGTTATGCTTCTTTGGCATTTGATAAACTTGTTATCCCAATGTGGAGACAGGTAGGAGAAAAATGCCCTTGAATGTTTTTCACACTTTCTAGAGAGCTCTTCTTCGTTAACGTCCATTCAGCATCGTTCAAACCCTCTTAAGCCTTAGCCCCACCCATTTTAATTAAGAACATTCACATGTCAATTCATGAGTCAGCATGGCATTGTCCTCCAGAAAGTCGTCTCTCTATCAGTGGCAGTCGGTGACGTTTAAAATGAGGGAGGACGATTTGTTTTGAATTAGCATGGCCTTATTTCTATTACAGCATATTGGATGACTCTCGTTCATATTCCATTCACCCAGCTCAATGTAACATCGATAGGTTTAGGCTACTACATGATACTCTAATTTCCCTGTACCCATCATGAGGTTGCTACAACCTAGACGATGAATGAAAGTTTACAACGTAGGTGCACACAGGTCGAGACAAAAATGTAACTAATCAAGGTGACAGACAATGACACATTCAATACCGCCTTGCACACTCTTGCCTGCATCTAGCTGATCCAGGGTGTAATCATTAGTCCAAACAGTTGCAAACAAGAGTTTCTATTGGACAAATTCAGTTATGTTTATATGTTTCGTTCCGTTTGCTTCCGTTTGCAAAAACAATTTCAACAGAATTGGCGCAAATGAATACAGCCCTGATCACAAGCAAACAGTTCACTTTCATAGCTGCCACATACAAGCAGCATGAACATTTTGCTCGTTGTATATATAATTCCTTCTTGCGTCTATGTGTTCTCCTCCTCACCTTTTCCCTTCGCTTGTGGACCTCAGTGCACAACACAGCCGCTGTCTGTGACCAGGCGACAAAACCTTTCCAAGCCAAACCTTCATATCATAGCCGCTAACCGCTACACACGTAGTCACCATATTAGCTAACGACGTTAGTAACGTCATTGTCAACATAGCTACTAGAACTAACACGTTAGTAAACCCGCTACAATCATGCAGTGCAGTCAGCAAGCAGTTTAGCAGTTACACCGGTGGGCCGCGGTGGCAATAAATTAATAAAACCAAAAGCTTACCTTGACTTGGACGAGTTCCAGTGTTTGATTGTAATAGCCAGCTAGCTAACATCGCATCCTTTTCTGTTTGAGCCAGGTGTTTGAGTAGGCTAAACTAGCTAGCTGCATTTGCTAGCTAAGTGAAATTGAAAAAAAAGACAACTACAGTACCAGTCAAAAGTTTGGACACCTATTCATTCAAGGGTCTTCATTTATTTTTACTATTTTCTACATTGTAGAATAAAAGTGAAGACATCAAAACTATGACATAACACATATGGAATCATGAAGTAACCAAAAAAGTGTTCAACAAATCAAAATATATTTGAGATTCTTCAAAGTAGCCACCCTTTGCCTTGATGACAGCTTTGCACACTCTTGGCATTCTCTCAACCAGCTTAACCTGGAATGCTTTTCCAACAGTCTTGAAGGAGTTCTCACATATGCTGAGCAGTTGTTGGCTGCTTTTCCTTCACTCTGAGGTCCAACTCATCCCAAACCATCTCAATTGGTTAGAGGTGGGGGGATTGTGGAGGCCAGGTCATGTGATGCAGCACTCCATCACTCTCCTCCTTGGTAAAATAGCCCTTACACAGCCTGTAGGTGTGTTGGGTCAACGTCCTGTTGAAAAACAAACCAGATGGGATGGCGTATCGCTGCAGAATGCTGTGGTAGCCATGCTGGTTTAGTGTGCCTTGAATTCTAAATAAATCACAGACTGTGTCACCAGCAAAGCACCATCACACCTCCTCCTCCATGCTTTACGGTGGGAACTACACACGCGGAGATCATCCGTTCACCCACACCGCGTCTCACAAAGACATGGCGGTTGGAACCAAAAATCTCAGATTTCAGACTCCAGACCAAATGACATATTTCCACCGGTCTAATGTCCTTTGCTCGTGTTTCTTGGCCCAAGCAAGTCTCTTCTTATTATTGGTGTCCTTTAGTAAAGGTTTCTTTGCAGCAATTCGACCATGAAGGCCTGATTCACTCAGTCTCCTCTGAACAGTTGATGTTGAGATGTGTCTTACTTGAACTTTGTGGTCCTCTGTAGCTCAGCTGGTAGAGCATGGCGCTTGTAACGCCAGGGTAGTGGGTTCGATCTCCGGGACCACCGATACACAAAAATGTATGCACGCATGACTGTAAGTCGCTTTGGATAAAAGCGTCTGCTAAATGGCATATTATCATTATTATTATTATTATTATTATTATTATTATTATTATTATTATTATTATTATTATTAAACATTTATTTGGACTGCAATTTCTGAGGCTGGAAACTGTAATGAACTTATCCTCTGCAGCAGAGGTAACTCTGGGTCTTCCTTTCCTGTGGCTGTCCTCATGAGAGCCAGTTTCATCATAGCTCTTGATGGTTTTTGCAACTGCACTTGAAGAAACGTTCAAAGTTCTTGAATTTTTCGTATTGACTGACCTTCATGTCTTAAAGTAAAGATGGACTGTCGTTTCTCTTTGCTTATTTGAGCTGTGCTTGCCATAATATGGACTTGGTCTTTTAAATAATAATAATAATAATATGCCATTTAGCAGACGCTTTTATCCAAAGCGACTTACAGTCATGCGTGCATACATTTTTTTTTTGTGTATGGGTGGTCCCGGGGATCGAACCCACTACCTTGGCGTTACAAGCGCCGTGCTCTACCAGCTGAGCTACAGAGGACCAAATAGGGCTATCTTCTGTATACCACCCTTACCTTGTCACCACAACTGATTGGCTCAAACGCGTTAAGAAGGAAAGAAATTCCACAAATTAACTTTTAACAAGGCACACCTGTTAATTGAAATGTATTCCAGGTGACTACCTCATGAAGCTGGTTGAGATAATGCCAAGAGTGTGCAAAGCTGTCATCAAGGCAAAGGGTGGCTATTTGAAGAATCTCAAATATAACATTTAATTTGATTTGTATATCACTTTTTTGGTTACTACATGATTCCATATCTGTTATTTCATAGTTTTGATGTCTTCACTATTATTCTTCAATGTAGAAAATAGTAAGAAATTAAGAAAAAACATTGAATGAGTAGGTGTGTCCAAACTATAGCTATCTTGCTCTCTCACTCTCTTCCTTCTCCTTCATTTTTTAACAAATTAATCTGTTCAAAACTGTTCAAGTATTGTCTTTCTCTCTCTGAGTAAACTACTCACCACATGTTATGCACTGCAGTGCTAGCTAGCTGTAGCTTATGCTTTCAGTACTAGATTAATTCTCTGATCCTTTGATTGGGTGGACAACATGTCAGTTCATGCTGCATAAATTCTGATAGGTTAAAGGACGTTCTCCGGAAGTTGTCATAATTTCTCTTCAAGTCTATGGAAGGGTGTGAAAACCATGAGCCTCCTAGGTTTTGTATTGAAGTCAATGTACCCAGAGGAGGACAGAAGCTAACTGTCCTCCGGCTACACCATGGTGCTACCCTACGGAGTGCTGCTGAGACTACTGTAGACCTTCATTGCAAAACAGTGTGTTTTAATAAATTATTTGGTGACGTGAATATATTTAGTATAGTTTCATCTAAGAAGGATAACTTCTTGAAAGTTTTCACTATTTTTAATTTGATAATTGGTGGTCCTCTGTAGCTCAGCTGGTAGAGCACGGCGCTTGTAACGCCAGGGTAGTGGGTTCGATCCCCGGGACCACCCATACACAAAAATGTATGCACGCATGACTGTAAGTCGCTTTGGATAAAAGCGTCTGCTAAATGGCTTATTATTATTATTATTATTATTATTATTATTCACTGGGGATGGTCCTCCCTTTCCTCTATGATCTCCCTCCATTATCTCAACCAATCATGGAGCCTGTCTTTCTCCCTACAGAGCTCAGTGCTTTCTCCTTGGCTAAACTAGGCTCTTAATATAATATTCATATTTACGGATCCCAGACAAGTTTGTAATTAAGTCATATGAAAGTTCACATGTTCAAGAAGTATTTTCTGCAACAAAAAATTATAATATATTCTTCTTTTTTTTTTTTTACGGCTCTACTGTGAAGTAGGAAATAGCGTCAAACGCCTACGATCCTGAATCCGGTCATATTTGTAGGAATGTCAAAAATGACATCTCTGTATTTATCGTATTTGGAGAAAGTGTAGCCTAATATTTCTTAGGCTGTTTCTTAGGAGCACAATAGCTGTACGTTTCAGACTCCACGTTTCACCCCTACTGTCCTCCTCTTCTCCTCTCTCCTTTCTTCACAGGAGCCTACCTGTTGACCCTAAAGGACACGTTCTTCGACAGGTCTAAAGCCTGCCAGATAGTCGCCTCTATCCTGGTTGGGGTGGATGAGAAGATCAAGATAGCTCTCCCGCACCCGGCCATACTCAAGGTATGGTATGGCTCTCCTTGGTTGGCTGAATTTAGTGATGGACTGTTTATTGGATTTTGGGCTGATATCTGTTCTCTGTCATGAGAAAAAAATATATATATCACTGGGAGTCATGTAGAGTGTGACTTTCTTTAGTAGTTAAATATCAGTTGGTCTGCAACTCGTCAATCATTTGGGTGTTGGTCTTTTAACTGTTGTCTGTTGTTAGTCCATCATGACTCTGTTGTCTGTTGTTAGCCGATGACACTGTTGTCTGTTGTTAGCCGATGACTCTGTTGTCTGTTGTTAGCCGATGACTCTGTTGTCTGTTGTTAGCCGATGACTCTGTTGTCTGTTGTTAGTCCATCATGACTCTGTTGTCTGTTGTTAGCCGATGACACTGTTGTCTGTTGTTAGCCGATGACACTGTTGTCTGTTGTTAGCCGATGACTCTGTTGTCTGTTGTTAGCCGATGACTCTGTTGTCTGTTGTTAGCCGATGACTCTGTTGTCTGTTGTTAGCCGATGACTCTGTTGTCTGTTGTTAGCCGATGACTCTGTTGTCTGTTGTTAGCCGATGACTCTGTTGTCTGTTGTTAGCCGATGACTCTGTTGTCTGTTGTTAGCCGATGACTCTGTTGTCTGTTGTTAGCCGATGACTCTGCTGTCTGTTGTTAGCCGATGACTCTGTTTGTCTGTTGTTAGTCCATCATGACTCTGTTGTCTGTTGTTAGCCGATGACACTGTTGTCTGTTGTTAGCCGATGACTCTGTTGTCTGTTGTTAGTCCATCATGACACTGTTGTCTGTTGTTAGCCGATGACACTGTTGTCTGTTGTTAGCCGATGACTCTGTTGTCTGTTGTTAGCCGATGACTCTGTTGTCTGTTGTTAGTCCATCATGACTCTGTTGTCTGTTGTTAGCCGATGACTCTGTTGTCTGTTGTTAGCCGATGACTCTGTTGTCTGTTGTTAGTCCATCATGACACTGTTGTCTGTTGTTAGCCGATGACACTGTTGTCTGTTGTTAGCCGATGACTCTGTTGTCTGTTGTTAGCCGATGACTCTGTTGTCTGTTGTTAGCCGATGACTCTGTTGTCTGTTGTTGGTCCATCATGACTCTGTTGTCTGTTGTTAGCCGATGACCTGTTGTCTGTTGTTAGCCGATGACTCTGTTGTCTGTTGTTAGCCGATGACTGTCTGTTGTTTCCATGATGTTGTTGTTGTAGCCGATGACTCTGTTTGTCTGTTGTTAGCCGATGACTCTGTTGTCTGTTGTTAGCCGATGACTCTGTTGTCTGTTGTTAGCCGATGACTTGTTGTCTGTTGTCATACTGTTGTTGTGTTAGCCGATGACTCTGTTGTCTGTTGTTAGCCGATGACTCTGTTGTCTGTTGTTAGTCCATCATGACTCTGTTGTCTGTTGTTAGCCGATGACCTGTTGTCTGTTGTTAGCCGACTTCGGCAGACTCTGTTGTCTGTTGTTAGCCGATGACTCTGTTGTCTGTTGTTAGCCGATGACTCTGTTGTCTGTTGTTAGTCCATCTGACACTGTTGTCTGTTGTTAGCCGATGACACTGTTGTCTGTTGTTAGCCGATGACACTGTTGTCTGTTGTTAGCCGATGACTCTGTTGTCTGTTGTTAGCCGATGACTCTGTTGTCTGTTGTTAGCCGATGACTCTGTTGTCTGTTGTTAGCCGATGACTCTGTTGTCTGTTGTTAGCCGATGACTCTGTGTCTGTTGTTAGCCGATGACTCTGTTGTCTGTTGTTAGCCGATGACTCTGTGTCTGTTGTTAGCCGATGACTCTGTTGTCTGTTGTTAGCCGATGACTCTGTTGTCTGTTGTTAGCCGATGACTCTGTTGTCTGTTGTTAGCCGATGACTCTGTTGTCTGTTGTTAGCCGATGACTCTGTTGTCTGTTGTTAGCCGATGACTCTGTTGTCTGTTGTTAGCCGATGACTCTGTTGTCTGTTGTTAGCCGATGACTCTGTTGTCTGTTGTTAGCCGATGACTCTGTTGTCTGTTGTTGTGTTAGCCGATGACTCTGTTGTCTGTGTTGCCTCATGACTCTGTTGTCTGTTGTTAGCCGATGACCTGTTGTCTGTTGTTAGCCGATGACTCTGTTGTCTGTTGTTAGCCGATGACTCTGTTGTCTGTTGTTAGCCGATGACTCTGTTGTCTGTTGTTAGCCGATGACTCTGTTGTCTGTTGTTAGCCGATGACTCTGTTGTCTGTTGTTAGCCGATGACTCTGTTGTCTGTTGTTAGCCATCAGACTCTGTTGTCTGTTGTTAGCCGATGACTCTGTTGTCTGTTGTTAGCCGATGACTCTGTTGTCTGTTGTTAGCCGATGACTCTGTTGTCTGTTGTTAGCCGATGACTCTGTTGTCTGTGTTGTTAGCCGATGACTCTGTTGTCTGTTGTTAGTCCATCATGACTCTGTTGTCTGTTGTTAGCCGATGACTCTGTTGTCTGTTGTTAGTCCATCATGACTCTGTTGTCTGTTGTTAGCCGATGACACTGTTGTCTGTTGTTAGCCGATGACTCTGTTGTCTGTTTGTTAGCCGATGACTCTGTTGTCTGTTGTTAGCCGATGACTCTGTTGTCTGTTGTTAGCCGATGACTCTGTTGTCTGTTGTTAGCCGATGACTCTGTTGTCTGTTGTTAGCCGATGACTCTGTTGTCTGTTGTTAGTCGATGACTCTGTTGTCTGTTGTTAGCCGATGACTCTGTTGTCTGTTGTTAGCCGATGACTCTGTTGTCTGTTGTTAGCCGATGACTCTGTTGTCTGTTGTTAGCCGATGACTCTGTTGTCTGTTGTTAGTCCATCATGACTCTGTTGTCTGTTGTTAGCCGATGACTCTGTTGTCTGTTGTTAGCCGATGACTCTGTTGTCTGTTGTTAGCCGATGACTCTGTTGTCTGTTGTTAGCCGATGACTCTGTTGTCTGTTGTTAGCCGATGACTCTGTTGTCTGTTGTTAGCCGATGACTCTGTTGTCTGTTGTTAGCCGATGACTCTGTTGTCTGTTGTTAGCCGATGACTCTGTTGTCTGTTGTTAGCCGATGACTCTGTTGTCTGTTGTTAGCCGATGACTCTGTTGTCTGTTGTTAGCCGATGACTCTGTTGTCTGTTGTTAGCCGATGGACTCTGTTGTCTGTTGTTAGCCGATGACTCTGTTGTCTGTTGTTAGCCGATGACTGTTGTCTGTTGTAGCCGATGGCTCTGTTGTCTGTTGTTAGCCGATGACTCTGTTGTCTGTTGTTAGCCGATGACTCTGTTGTCTGTTGTTAGCCGATGACTCGTTGTCTGTTGTTAGCCGATGACTCTGTTGGTCTGTTGTTAGCCGATGACTCTGTTTGTCTGTTGTTAGCCGATGACTCTGTTGTCTGTTGTTAGCCGATGACTGTGTTGTCTGTTGTTAGCCGATGACTCTGTTGTCTGTTGTTAGCCGATGACTGTGTTGTCTGTTGTTAGCCGATGACTCTGTTGTCTGTTGTTAGCCGATGACTCTGTTGTCTGTTGTTAGCCGATGGACTCTGTGTCTGTTGTTAGCCGATGACTCTGTTGTCTGTTGTTAGCCGATGACTGTTTGTCTGTTGTTAGCCGATGACTCTGTTGTCTGTTGTTAGCCGATGACTGTGTTGTCTGTTGTTAGCCGATGACTCTGTTGTCTGTTGTTAGTCCATCATGACTCTGTTGTCTGTTGTTAGTCCATCATGACTCTGTTGTCTGTTGTTAGCCGATGACTCTGTTGTCTGTTGTTAGCCGATGACTCTGTTGTCTGTTGTTAGCCGATGACTCTGTTGTCTGTTGTTAGCCGATGACTCTGTGGACAGGGAAGCAGATCTTCGGTCTGATTCTGAAGCCCAGTAAGGCCTGTCCAGTCAAGGCCAACCTGAGGACCAAGGGGAAACAGTACAGCGGTAAAGGAGAGGACCTCTGCAGCAACGACTCCTGTGAGTTCCTCCCCATGCCTCTCTAGAGTCTTCATCCATAAAATACAGATCATCTGATTTCAATTATCCAGATTTATAATATAATTGTATTACTATAATCAGATTCAACTATTCAGATTCATTATTCAAAATCTTTGAATTTCGTCCTTCCTTTCTCTCTCTGTGTCTCTGTCTCTCTCTGTCTCTCTGTCTCTCTCTGTGTCTCTGTCTCTCTCTGTCTCTCTCTGTCTCTCTCTCTCTCTCTCTCTCTCTCTCTGTCTCTCTCTCTGTCTCTCTCTCTGTCTCTCTCTGTCTCTCTCTGTCTCTCTCTGTGTCTCTGTCTCTCTCTGTCTCTCTGTCTCTCTCTGTGTCTCTGTCTCCGTCTCCCTCCCTCAGTCGTTGTGATCCAGAACAGTGAGTTGATGTGTGGTACCATGGATAAGGGCACGTTGGGCTCTGGCTCCAAGAAGAACATATTCTATATCCTGCTGAGAGACTGGGGGCAGCTGGAGGCAGCCAACGCCATGTCTCGCCTGGCCCGCCTCGCGCCTACATACCTCTGTGGGTCCACCGCACATACTGACATGTTCTCTTCTGTTAATACTTCAAAGATGCTATACTTGATGCTTTACTGAACTGCAGTATACTGATGCTGTACTGTGATCTAATGCTATATAATGGTAATTTACTGTAGGTTTGCATCCCTTTCTGCCTCATTCATTTCTGTTAATGCTTTGAACATGCTCAATACTAAATGCCTTCTCATACTTTACCAGGCTTTATTTTGAGTTTTCCCGCTGCCAAGCATTTGGCTATAGTGTTCCCTACTGAACATGACCGTTATAAACCCTTTGCAGCCAACCGGGGTTTCTCCATCGGTATTGGTGATGTGACCCCAGGCCAGGGTCTGCTGAAGGCCAAACAGGACCTGCTGGACGGGGGCTATGCCAAGTGTGACGAGTACATCGAGGCCCTGAAGACTGGCAAACTGCAGCAACAGCCAGGCTGCACTGCTGAGGAGACCCTGGAGGTACACACTAGACCAGATAAAGCTCTAAGCCTATTAGCTTTTCTCAATTATGAGCTGATATTTGTGGTATCCCCAAATCAAACAGCCACCGTGAGCTTTGTCTATTGTCTGGCTGATGTCTGGTGGTTCTTCTATACCAGCTACTGTATATATTGTCTGGCTGATGTCTGGTGGTTCTTCTATACCAGCTACTGTATCTATTGTCTGGCTGATGTCTGGTGGTTCTTCTATACCAGCTACTTTAGTCTGGTGGCCTTTTGAAACCAGGTACGTCATCATCTCTGCTTCAGACTGATACGAGGAGGAAAGAGAGCAGGTTCTTTTTTTAACGGGGGTGGTCTGTTTTGGAGGTTTATCTGTTGTCACGCTGATGCCTTGTGGTCGTTCCATAGCAGGTCCATCTGTGGTTTAGAGTGATAATGATGTGTGTCTCTCTCTCAACAGGCCCTCATCCTGAAGGAGCTATCTGTTATCAGAGACCATGCCGGCAGCGCCTGCCTCAGAGAACTGGACAAGAGCAACAGTCCTCTGATTATGGCTCTGTGTGGCTCCAAAGGTAGGTCAACTAACCAGTCCTATGATTATGGCTCTGTGTGGATCCAAAGGTAGGTCAACTAACCAGTCCTATGATTATGGCTCTGTGTGGATCCAAAGGTAGGTCAACTAACCAGTCCTCTGATTATGGCTCTGTGTGGATCCAAAGGTAGGTCAACTAACCAGTCCTATGATTATGGCTCTGTGTGGCTCCAAAGGTAGGTCAACTAACCAGTCCTCTGATTATGGCTCTGTGTGGCTCCAAAGGTAGGTCAACTAACCAGTCCTATGATTATGGCTCTGTGTGGCTCCAAAGGTAGGTCAACTAACCAGTCCAACTAACTAGTCCTCTGATTATGGCTCTGTGTGGATCCAAAGGTAGGTCAACTAACCAGTCCAACTAACTAGTCCTCTGATTATGGCTCTGTGTGGATCCAAAGGTAGGTCAACTAACTAGTCCTCTGATTATGGCTCTGTGTGGCTCCAAAGGTAGGTCAACTAACCATTCGCGGAGGATTAAACGCTGCCTTTACCACACATACTCTCACACACACACACACACACACACACACACACACACACACACACACACACACACACACACACTCTCACACACATACACTAATCAAATGTCAGGAGCTCTGCCTGTGCCCACTTCTAATAATAAGGACTAAGTGGTTCTTATTCACTCCAACTAAGACTTCCTGATTCGCTCTGATTTGATTTGCCATTAGAGCGCCATTGTCATGGAAACAGCTAGGCTATACTCTAACGTATGTTTTGATGGGTTATTATGGGTAGTATCTGACCTGTAGCTGACCGACCTGTATGCAAATACAGACATGGCCTTATTTCCTATTTCCATGTTTTTAGGCTCTTTCATGATCTGTTTATTGTAGGATGTATATTCCTTTTTCTATTTCAGAAATTTAGTCTGTGTCCGGGAAACCGGGCCATGGGTTTAAGGACGGGGTCAGCATCAGGCGGACCGCGGGCCCAGAACGTTTTTAGTAAAAATTGACTGTAAAATCACCAGGAATTCAGCTAAAAATGAGTTTAATTTAGGAAATACAGTGGGGGAAAAAAGTATTTAGTCAGCCACCAATTGTGCAAGTTCTCCCACTTAAAAAGATGAGAGAGGCCTGTAATTTTCATCATAGGTACACGTCAACTATGACAGACAAAATGAGGGAAAAAAATCCGGAAAATCACATTGTAGGATTTTTTATGAATTTATTTGCAAATTATGGTGGAAAATAAGTATTTGGTCACCTACAAACAAGCAAGATTTCTGGCTCTCACAGACCTGTAACTTCTTCTTTAAGAGGCTCCTCTGTCCTCCACTCGTTACCTGTATTAATGGCACCTGTTTGAACTTGTTATCAGTATAAAAGACACCTGTCCACAACCTCAAACAGTCACACTCCAAACTCCACTATGGCCAAGACCAAAGAGCTGTCAAAGGACACCAGAAACTAAATTGTAGACCTGCACCAGGCTGGGAAGACTGAATCTGCAATAGGTAAGCAGCTTGGTATGAAGAAATCAACTGTGGGAGCAATTATTAGGAAATGGAAGACATACAAGACCACTGATAATCTCCCTCGATCTGGGGCTCCACGCAAGATCTCACCCCGTGTGGTCAAAATGATCACAAGAACGGTGAGCAAAAATCCCAGAACCACACGGGGGGACCTAGTGAATGACCTGCAGAGAGCTGGGACCAAAGTAACAAAGCCTACCATCAGTAACACACTACGCCGCCAGGGACTCAGATCCTGCAGTGCCAGACGTGTCCCCCTGCTTAAGCCAGTACATGTCCAGGCCCGTCTGAAGTTTGCTAGAGTGCATTTGGATGATCCAGAAGAGGATTGGGAGAATGTCATATGGTCAGATGAAACCAAAATAGAACTTTTTGGTAAAAACTCAACTCGTCGTGTTTGGAGGACAAAGAATGCTGAGTTGCATCCAAAGAACACCATACCTACTGTGAAGCATGGGGGTGGAAACATCATGCTTTGGGGCTGTTTTTCTGCAAAGGGACCAGGACGACTGATCCGTGTAAAGGAAAGAATGAATGGGGCCATGTACCGTGAGATTTTGAGTGAAAACCTCCTTCCATCAGCAAGGGCATTGAAGATGAAACGTGGTTGGGTCTTTCAGCATGACAATGATCCCAAACACACCGCCCGGGCAACGAAGGAGTGGCTTCGTAAGAAGCATTTCAAGGTCCTGGAGTGGCCTAGCCAGTCTCCAGATCTCAACCCCATAGAAAGTCTTTGGAGGGAGTTGAAAGTCTGTGTTGCCCAGCGACAGCCCCAAAACATTACTGCTCTAGAGGAGATCTGCATGGAGGAATGAGCCAAAATACCAGCAACAGTGTGTGAAGGCTTACAGAAAACGTTTGACCTGTGTCATTGCCAACAAAGGGTATATAACAAAGTATTGAGAAACTTTTGTTATTGACCAAATACTTATTTTCCACCATAATTTGCAAATAAATTCATTAAAAATCCTACAATGTGATTTTCTGGAGAAATAAAATCTCATTTTGTCTGTCATAGTTGACGTGTACCTATGATGAAAATTACAGGCCTCTCATCTTTTTAAGTGGGAGAACTTGCACAATTGGTGGCTGACTAAATACTTTTTTTCCCCACTGTATGTTCCCAAGTATTCCCACGAATAAAGAAAATTGGTGCATTCACTTTATGATAGCCAGTGGGACAACCACTTTACAATTTGTATTTGTTAATTTTTTTGGGGGTGAGTTAAGGGGGGGTAGAATAATTACTTTATTCTATCCCAGGTATTCCTTAAAGTAATGTAATCAAGGTATGAAATTATTTTGTGGCTAATAATAATAATAATAATATGCCATTTAGCAGACGCTTTTATCCAAAGCGACTTACAGTCATGCGTGCATACATTTTTTGTGTATGGGTGGTCCCGGGGATCGAACCCACTACCTTGGCGTTACAAGCGCCGTGCTCTACCAGCTGAGCTACAGAGGACCACAGTTGTCGTCAATTTGCAGTGTTCAAAATTATTATAATTATGTTCCGCCCCCCCCCCCCCCCCCCCCCCGACCATTCACTCCTACAAAAATCAGCCGTGTGCCTGAGTCTAGTTGCCCTGCCCCTGGTTTAAGGTAAGTAAATTAGTGGAATTGAAATGGTAATGCCCTTAAATCCTTTTACCATTATGTCTCTTCCCCCCCTGCTGTAGACTCTTTCATCAACATCTCTCCAGGTTCCTCCCCATCGTGTAACTGGGACAGGACGGCCGCTAGTCCCGTGTCGCAAGCGTCCGTCTGAACCAACATCGGTACCTGGAAATCGTGCGTTACGAGAATCGGATGGGGAGCACAGCGCTTCCTTCAGGCGCCTGAACGCCGCTTCGGTCTCGTCCGTCCATATCACTGTTTTCGGGAGGCGGGCCCTGGTTAGATCGGTGAGGGGGGGAGGCTATAGCCGAAAAGTTGGGGGAAAAAAACCGACTATAGTATCCCGCCAGCCCCAGGAAGGACTTGACCTGTGTCTTGGTGCGTGGAACGGGCCAGTCACGTACCGCGTTGGACCTTCCTCTCCTGGGGCTTGATGTTCCACCGTCCGATCGTTATACGGGTAGCGCCCGTAAGAAGCGATCCCATGACCACTTTGTCTATGATGGAGAGGGTGGATACGTCGGTTAGGAGCCATGCCCTGGTGATGCGCAGTAGGTCGCTCATCTGGGCTCGAGGGGAGGCGTCGGCCACGAACCTCCAGCCGTGGACCAGTTGGGCCCGGTGGGCCAGTCTGTATCCGTAGCGGCTGAGTGTCTCCCGTTTTAAGACGTCGTAGTTAGCCGCCAGTTCGGCGTTGAGGTCATAATACACCTTTTTGGCGTTTCCGGACAGGAACGGGGCCAGCAGGCTCGCCCACTTTGCTTTTGGCCACCCTTCCCGGAGCGCTGTCCGTTCAACCGTTCAGGGGCAGGTTTCGATGTCGTCGTCCTCCGTTAGCTTTATTAAAAACTGGTCTGGATGCGATTCGGTTGGCGTTCCTCCTTGTAGCTTCCTGATTTCCTCAACCAGGCGGACATTTTGTAGGCGCAGTTCCTCCAGCGTTCGTTCCTGAACCGGTAGTTGGACCCGGACGAACTGAGCTATCAACTCGTCCAGGCTGATGCTGCGTTAAACGTCAACCCTGATCTGAACCACGTCAAATGCCCGCATTCTCCACCACTTGGTGCCAGACCAGGGGTTTTGATCAAAACGTTTACACCGATCAGACACGGACACCAGGCCTCAACAAGTCTCCCCCCCCTCTCTGCGGGACGCCACACTGTAGAATGTGTGGGATTTTTGTTTACGGTGGTGATTCTGTAATGCTAATGGTCTAAGTTCTTCATCCCTTTTCATTTTCCCTCCTAGGATCCTTCATCAACATCTCCCAGATGATTGCCTGTGTGGGCCAGCAGGCTATAAGCGGCTCTCGAGTACCCGACGGCTTTGAGAACCGCTCGCTGCCACACTTTGAGAAGCACTCTAAAGTAAGATCCTCTGAGAACCACGTAACGCCTTTTATTAACCAGCTGAAATCACCATTAGATCTGTCCAGAGTCGCAGGGCATGGGGTTGATTCATTCATGAAGAGGTGAGGGCTGGTTTGGTTACTGGCTAGCTGGGGATGGGAAGGTTGAGGAGTGTGTTTTCCTTCCTAGCAGTAAACAGCATCTCCAGCTGACTCAGTCAGAGCCCTGTTTCATTTTTGTCTAACAGGGTATGAATCCCAAATGGCACCCTATTTTTTTTAAAATATTTTTTTTAAGTAATTTAGCGGACGCTCTTATCCAGAGCGACTTACAGTTAGTGAGTGCATACATTTTCATACTGGCCCCCCGTGGGAATCGAACCCACAACCCTGGTGTTGCAAAGGCCATGCTCTACCAACTGAGCTACAGAGGGCTATTCCCTACTTAGTGCACTACTTTTGACCAAGGCTCTGTGGGCCCTAGTCAAAAGTAGTGCACTATACAGTATAGGGAATAGGGTGCCATTTGGGACACATCCATGATGTAACCTCTCTCTCTGTGTCACAGCTCCCTGCAGCTAAAGGCTTTGTGGCTGACAGCTTTTATTCAGGCCTGACTCCCACAGAGTTCTTCTTTCACACTATGGCTGGTCGAGAGGGCTTGGTGGACACCGCCGTTAAAACAGCAGAGACCGGATACATGCAGGTAACACACACACACACACACACACACCTCTGGGCTGCTGCACCGTACCCTGCACAGCCCCTCTGCTTGTATTAAAGAAAACGAATCTAAATCTATCAGGTTCCCTCTTGAGTAGCGATCAGGGTTATATCCTAGGGTTAGTGTTGTTATGTTGTTGATGTGTTCAGGTCAGAACAGCTCACCACAGCTCTGACTAATGACACATAGCAGATGAAAGATGAAAGGTGTTGAGTGGTCACACACATACACAACACACACACACACACACACACACACACACACACCGTTACACAATAATCTGTTGAGTCATCCTTTGATCTGTTCTTCTGTGGTGGATGTGTTGTGTGTCAACAGAGGCGTCTGGTGAAGTCGTTGGAGGACCTGTGTTCCCAGTATGATCTGACGGTACGGAGCTCCACTGGTGACATCATCCAGTTCATCTACGGGGGGGACGGCCTGGACCCGGCCGCCATGGAGGGCAAAGATGAACCGCTGGAGTTCAACAGAGTTCTGGACAACATCCGGGTGAGTCACACACATGTGCGGCAAGACTTAATCTCACACACACACACACACACACACACAGAGGGAGACGCAGAGAGAGAGGGAGACGCAGAGAGAGAGGGAGACGCAGAGAGAGAGGGAGACGCAGAGAGAGAGAGAGAGAGGGGACGCAGAGAGAGAGAGAGAGAGAGACGCAGAGAGAGAGAGAGAGACGCAGAGAGAGAGAGAGAGACACACAGAGAGAGACACACACTCAGAGAGAGACACACACACACACACTCAGAGAGACACACACACACACACACACAGAGAGAGAGACACACACACACACAGAGAGACACACACACACACACAGAGAGACACACACACACACACAGAGAGACACACACACACAGAGAGAGAGAGACACACACACAGAGGCACACACATATAGAGGCACACTTACACACACAGAGACATACACACAGAGAGAGAGACACGCACACAGAGACACATGCATGGACAGACACATGCAGATGCTCACACACACACATTATTCACTTAGACCTCACCTGTTGTCACTGGCAACAAGAACATATGCACATTTCAAACTGCCATCTGGTAGAGATGTTGAGACAGTGGGCTATAATTAACTTCTGCTTGGCAACACACAACTTTGAGTATTTCTTCGAATTTTCTTTAGATGCCAGACTTCAGAATTTGAAGACCGTGAAATGAGATTTTTACCCACAGTGCATATCATCATCTCAATGTATGTGTTAGTGATGCGCAGGTCAGCTGTTTGTTCACCCGCCCACAATTACTAATAACACATCTGCACTCCTCCCTCTAAGCTAGCCCTCTCCCTGAGGCCGCCAGCCCGCGAACCCCTCCGAGAGATCGAGAGGACCGCCCCCTCACCAGAGCGCGAAGCCACCGAGATCGGAGCCCGAACGGAGACACTCCTCCAGCCGCCCCGAGCCCTCCCACCATCCGAGGAGCCTCCCGCCTCCCGCGAGCGCCCCCGAGCCGCGTGAGCCCCCCGAGCCCCGTCCGCCGTCCCGCGAGCCCCTCAAGCCGCCATCAGCCTCCCGTACCGCCGCCAGAACCCAAGCCCGCACAACCCTACTCACGCCCAACTCCGCGCCTATAACCCCGCAAGCCCCAGACAACCGCACCCCTACCTACCGAAACCAGCCACACGACACCCCCGCCAGCCAAGCTCCCCGATCAGTCACGCACACCCGTCACCGACCGACCCAACCATCCACAACCCCACGAGACCCAGACGCAGAGGAGCAACCCCCGTAGCCCCAACCGAAGACGACACCCAAAGAAACAAAGAACACACAAAGTTCAAGACAAAGAAAACGCACCCTACCAGCCACCCACCAAAGCCCCCCACCGTCCCCCCAGAAACCCCCCTACCTAACCCCCCTCATCCCGCCTCCCCACCCTCCCAGCCCCCCCCATCCCCCCCCACCCCAACCCCCCCCATACCCAAAACCCCCCACCCGACCCACCCACCCACCCCACCCCCCACCCCCCCTCAGCCCACACCCCCCCACCCCACCCCCCCTCCACCCAGAAACCCTCCACCGACCCACCCACCCCCACCGCATCCCCTAGCCACCCCATCCCCTCCCCACCCCAGCCACCCCCACCACCCCATCCCCCCCCCCCATCCCCCACCCCACCCGCCCCCCCAGACCCCATCCCGCCCCCCTACCCCCATCCCCATCCCCCCCTATCCCCCTCCCTCCATCCCGCAATCACGCCCCCCCCACCCCACCCCCCACCCCCAGGCCTCACCGATCCATCCAACCGACCCCCGCCCCCTCTACCCGCCCCCCCCAGCCCCTCCCTCCTCCTCCATCCCCATACCTCTACCCCCCCTTTCCCCCCCTCTACCCCCATCCTAGCCCCTTCTATCCCTCTCCTCTTCCCTCATACCCTCCTCCTTCTCCCTCCCTTCCCTCCTACCCTCTATCCCTCCATTCCTCTATCCCTCCTCCTCCCCTCCATCTCCTCCTCCCCCAGTCCTCCATCTTCAGGCCCCCTCGTAATGATGGTTCCGAACGGCAGTCCATAAGAAGAGAGGATTTCATGAAGAGGAGTGACTTCAAGTGCTGCAGAGACAGCTTCCTCGAGGTAAATAACAAACTATCACTTCCGCTTGACTGCTTCTATGTCTGCGAATCAAAATGGCACCCTATTCCCTACATAGTGCACTTTAACCAGAGCCCTGGTCTAAAGTAGTGCACTACATACCGTAGAGAGTAGGGACCAAACTATGTTATTGGTTTTAGATCTATTATCAACAGCAATGTTCCAGCGTATAGACCTATATCAATCATCAACAGCCAATCAAATGTCAAGACAGATTTCTTAATTCAAACCAATAATACCAGCAGTTACACTCCGGCGTATAGACCGAGACTAGGTGACGTTCCAAATGGCACCCTATTCCCTATGGGGTGCACTACTTTTGACCTGGGCCCATTGGGCTCTATATAGGGACTAGGGTACCATTTAAGGCCTATCAACAGCCACAGCCAACAACAGATCTTCAACCACCGTTCAAATATTATACATCTAGTTTGACCTCTCTCACTACCAAATATTATAGATCTAGTTTGACCTCTCTCACTACCAAATATTATAGATCTAGTTTGACCTCTCTCACTACCAAATATTATAGATCTAGTTTGACCTCTCTCACTACCAAATATTATAGATCTAGTTTGACCTCTCTCACTGCCAAATATTATAGATCTAGTTTGACCTCTCTCACTACCAAATATTATAGATCTAGTTTGACCTCTCTCACTGCCAAATATAATAGATCTAGTTTGACCTCTCTCACTACCAAATATTATAGATCTAGTTTGACCTCTCTCACTACCAAATATTATAGATCTAGTTTGACCTCTCACTACCAAATATTATAGATCTAGTTTGACCTCACTCACTACCAAATATTATAGATCTAGTTTGACCTCTCACTACCAAATATTATAGATCTAGTTTGACCTCACTCACTACCAAATATAATAGATCTAGTTTGACCTCACTCACTACCAAATATTATAGATCTAGTTTGACCTCTCACTACCAAATATTATAGATCTAGTTTGACCTCTTTCACTGGTCCGAGACTCTCCATCATTCATCAAGGCAGGCAATTGAAGACAATATTACCATTTTACCTTCTGAGCTCTATTTGCCAGACTTGACTGCCTTACCTTACCTTACCTTCCATAATAACGATCACACACGCTAGCTGCCTGAGCAGAGCTGTCATCCGTGCTCTAGGATTCCTCCTTTAACACTAGAACCGCCATAGGACAACGCCCACTGACGTTTGATTTTGTAAATTTAAAAAAAATCTGCCCCCCCCCGCAAAAAATGTCCTGCTCTTTCCCTGACTTTTCCTAAATGTTTGTATTTTATGACAAATGGATTGAATGAGCGATAATTGTGCAAGTTACTTCACAATCTAATTTAAATTAGGCCTAACTGTGTAATGAGGGTGAAGAGGATGATTTAATTTAGAAAGACAGTAGTGTAATGATGAGTTTGTGTAATGCCTATTTATCAGCGTTGGTGCTCATGTTAATAATTTGACCGCACGCCTTGCCGGTTGGTACCATTTTTCTTTTACGTTTTACTTTGTAAAAAGAAGCTATTACAGGACTGTTTTATTTACTGTAACTCTTTTACTAAACAAATGTATTGTAAGGGAAAACGAAAACATGCTATGTGTTGCAGTAGGCCTTTAAAATAATGCCAAACATGTCCTCGACTCTATCCAAGTTGATACCGGAAACAAACGCTGGCAGTCAGCCTGCACCTAAACTATACCGAAACTAATTTCACACATAATAAGAGTTAGCCTATAGACAAGATTAAATTGGCAATCTGATGAGTGACAATATCAGTTGTCAAATTGTACATGAAGAGATGGGCGGATCTTGTAATTGACAGATGGCGGGAAAGGAGCATTGCTTTTATCAAATCCTCCTTCAGTCACATGCAGGTAATGGTGATTTCTATATACACTGAACAAAAAAATATAAACGCAACATGTAAAGCGTTGGTCCCATGTTTCATGAGCTAAAATAAAAGATCCCAGAAATGTTCCATACGCACAAAAAGCTTATTTCTCTCAAATTTTGTGCACAAATTTGTTTACATGCCTGTTAGTGAGTATTTCTCCTTTGCCAAGAGGATCCATCCATCTGACAGGTGTGGATTATCAAGAAGCTGATTAAACAGCGTGATCATTACACAGGCGCACCTTGTGCTGGGGACAATAAAAGGCCACTCTAAACTGTGCAGTTTTGTCACACAGTACAATGCAGCAGATGTATCAAGTTTTGAGTGAGCCTCCAACGTCGTTTTAGAGAATTTGGCAGTACATCCAACCGGCCTCACAACCGCAAACCACTTGTATGGCGTCGTGTGGGTGAGTGGTTTGCTGATGGCAACGTTGTGAACAGAGTGCCCCATGGTGGTGTTGGGGTTATGATATGGGCAGGCATACAGTGCGTTCGAAAAGTATTCAGACCCCTTTACTTTTTCCACATTGTGTTACGTTACAGCCGTATTCTTACAATGGATTAAATAGTTTCCTCACCAATCTACACACAATACCCTATAATGACAAATCAAAAACAGGTTGACTCTAATCTTTGTAGTTGTTTTATTTCTGATATATTTTGATGAATATTTCTTCATGCAATTAATCCTTTACAATAGTTTATGCACTATTTATCCAGCGTTTTATTTATTAAGCATGTTGGCGCACCTTGCTGGTTGATATGCATCTGATGCATATGCTAAAGGGGACGCCCAGTCATGTTCTCTAGCGGGATTCCTCCTTTAATGACCTGTACCATGAGTACTGCGACTAGAAATGCATCTTTTAACATAAAAATGCATCTTTTAACATAAAAATGCATATTTTAACATAAAAATGCTTCTCTAAACATTAAAAGCATCTCTAAACATGTATTGGCATTTATAATGTCTGTTGTTCTGAAAGTTTTCATATATATATAGTGTTACTGTTTCTTCATCAGTACATGCCCTGTAGTCCAGAGGGTTATTTCAAAGCATATTACGTCTGTTGGTGATTAGTCTCCCTAGGCAGACGGGTTACCTCCCACTTTAACCTCTTAAGGATCGGACCCTTTTTTTCAATTTTAGCCTAAAATGACATACCCAAATCTAACTGCCTGTAGCTCAGGACCTGAAGCAAGGATATGCATATTCTAGATACCATTTGAAAGGAAACACTTTGAAGTTTGTGGAAATGTGAAATTAATGTAGGAGAATATAATACATTAGATCTGGTAAAAGATAATACAAACCAAAAAACATGCGGGTTTTTTTCCAGTTTTTTTTCATCATCTTTGAAATGCAACGAAAGGCCACAATATAATATTGCAGTTTAGGCACAAATTAGATTGTGGCCACGAGATGGCTGCAGTGTGTGTGCAAAGTTTCAGATTGATCCAGTGAAGCATTGCAATACTGGACTATTTTGTATGAAGTCTGCCCAAATGTGCCGAAATGGTCAATTGATACATTTTCAAGTACATAACTATGGAGAACATATATTTTGTATTACCATATCATTTTTGTAAGTTTCCACACTCCCAGGAATGTCATACATGATGGATCATTAGGTTAGACACTAACTTTCACACATCTAGATGGCCGGGTGGGGTGGGAGTGGAGCCAGAGACAGCAGGGGTTCAAACTGTAGAACCCAGTTCCTACATTTGAATATAAAAATGGATTTTATCAAACAAAACCATGCTACATTTCATCTTTGGGACCCTTAGGATGACAAATCAGAGCAAGATTACTGAATGTAAGTACATTATTTACATTCAGAGGTGAATGTATCAAACCAGTTGCCGTGATAGGTTTTTTGTTGTTGTGCACTCTCCTCAAACAATAGCATGGTATCTTTTCACTGTAATAGCTACTGTAAATTGGACAGTGTAGTTAGATTAACAAGAATTTAAGCTTTCTGCCCATATAAGACATGTCTGTCCAGGAAAGTTTGCTGTTACTTACAACAGTCATGCTAATCACATTAGCGCACGTTAGCTCAACCGTCCCGTATACGGGACACCGATCCGGTAGAGGTTAACAATGTTCCATCATACACGCTCGGGGTCTGGGAGCTCTGTCACTGGTTGGTGACGACAGAAGCCTGAGAAATATTGTCACCTCATTATTGTTGGAATGTTCCCCTTTGTATATAAACTTGTATATAAACAGTCAAGGACTGCTATGACGACTTCTGGTTTGAAATGAATTGGCCCATCCAGAACTCTCATTATAAGTTAATTAACTGATTTCAAGATAGCAGCATAATCACCTTTTCATTCATTAGTTTATAGATTTTTTTGTTTCTAGTTATTACCATATTTTAATGATGAGTAATGTGAACGCGCGCGCGTGCACACAGAGTTGATTCATGAACGTGTGATGAGATTGATGCAGTTTGCTCTGTGGGTTCTGTCTACTTTGTCCCCCTTGTCAAGGCATTGACAGACACTGGCTCAGAGAAGTATATGGAGGTACAGTTTCTAATGTGCATCATGTCTAGGTAATGGTGTGAGACTAACCACGTGACAACAGCACCATTTTGAACACTGCATTCAGTCAGTTGGTCAAATCTAAAGTTTTGGCTTTTCAATGTGTGTACTCATGTTTGGATTAAAGTACTAATCATGCAAGTGTTGAATTGTAGTAGGGGTTTGATTTGATCACAGAAATGCTGTACATATTTTAAATACATTTATTGTAGAATGCATCCACAGTTGATTTAATGTATTTTACTAATCATGTAAGAGTTGCATCGTCAACAGAATGTTTTTGGCAGGTTTGATAAATGGATTGTAGAAGGCATCCACTGTGAAATGGAATGAGTGTTTCCTGTTCTGTGATGTTACTGTCTGTCTTTCACAACCTGACATAGAGAGGGGGAATGAGAGGGAGAAAGAGAGGAGAGGGAGAAAGAGAGGGGGAAAGAGAGGAGGGAGGAGAGGGAGGAAAAGAGAGGGGAAAGAGAGGAGAGGGAGAAAGAGAGGGGGAAAGAGAGGAGGAGGGAGAGGGGGAAAGGAAGAGGGAGGAGAAGAGAGGGGAGAAAGAGGGGGAAAGAGAGGAGGAGGAGAGGGGGAAAGAGAGGAGGAGGAGAGGAGAGGGAGAAAGAGGAGGAGGAGAGGGAGAAAGAGAGGGGGAAAGAGAGGAGGAGGAGGAGGAGAGGGGGAAAGAGAGGAGATGGGGAAAGAGAGGAGGAGGAGGAGAGGGGGAAAGAGAGGAGGAGAGGGGGAAAGAGAGGAGGAGGAGGAGGAGAGGGGGAAAGAGAGGAGGAGGAGGAGAGGGGGAAAGAGAGGAGGAGAGGGGGAAAGAGAGGGAGCCATCAATTTACAACCATTACAACCATCCCTTTAGAACCACTTTACAATCATTACAACCATCACTTTAGAACCGCTTTACAACCGTTACTTTAGAACCACTTTTCAACCATTACAACAATCATTGCAACCAGTTTACAACCATCATTTCTACCAGCTTTTCCTGCTGAGAATGAACAGTAGTCTTTTTTTATTTTTTTATTTTGCACTGGGTTTTCGAAAAAAATTTTAAGGTGTTTTCTAAAGTGTTACATTAAGTTATTGAAATAATTTAATCTCATAACAGGAGTGAACATCTTATAATGGCCGTTATTGAAATGGCTCTCTCTCTCTCTCTCTCTCTCCATCTCTCGCTTTCCTTCTCTCCCAACCAAAGGAGATCAAAAAGTTCATCAAGGCTACATCTGAGAAAATCAAGAAGACCAGGGACAAATACGGCATCAACGATAATGGCACCACAGAGGTAGGCCTTTTTATCCTTTATATTTAACCAAGTCACATTGACAATGACATCTCTTTTTCAAGCAGTCCTTCCAGGATTTAGCAATTATCTTTATATTATGCGTGCGCTTGCAAATATGACCAATCACTGCACTGTTATTGCATAAAACAGTAAGATCAGTGCAATATTACCACATAAAACTGTCTAATCACCACACTACAAAATGACGGCTCGCGATTTTAACCGATCACCGCACTTTTACTGCATAAAATTATTCAATCAAAAAACGTTTTCCCCGTCAGAGCTTTTTCGGGACAATTTGGACAAAAAATTGCCTTACTTGACTGTGTAAATCCTCTCTCTCTGTATCTGTTCATTAGACTATCGCAGTGTAAATCCTCTCTCTCGCTCTCTGTATCTGACCTTTAGACTACCTCAGTGTAAATTAGGGCTGTCCCCGACTAAAAAAGATCTTGTTTAGACCGAAAGTCCTCTTCTTTCGACCAATCGATTAGTTAACATTTTTAAACATGTATTTTTTCATATATAGACACACCCTATGTGTTTTAATAAAATCAACTATATATGCATTGAGCTTATCCAATGCTATAAGCGCAGTTTGATGACATAAGACACAAATGCCTCAAGAGGGAGCCAGAGATCAAGATAACCAGAATGAAAAAACCTTAACCTGACCCAACCATCCTCCTCCCGCTCCGCCTGGCTTTCACAGATTCTGGCTTTACTATCCTGAAGTTGCCGGTTGTAGGCTACATGAGGAGTCGGAAACCTTTCTTATGTGGAATGCCAATTTCTTACAATTTCTTCCGATCTGCGTGCCAGTTATGGTTTTGATATGCACATTTTCGTGGAACAGTTTTATTTCATTTTTAATAACGTCTTTGTATCTCAAAGTCATTGCCATGTGGTTAATCAAAATTCTATCCAAATCTAAATGAAAATGATACAAACCGAAAACTTAATTTATATTGCCATTGCCAACTATGTAAAAATTGCCTACATAAAGCCAACAAATGAAAACATTGCAGCCTGCAAATATCCTGATTTGAAATAAAAATAAATCCTGTAAATCATATTTGCGCAAGGGATAAGAAGTAATCAGGTAGGCCTATTTTATGAAGTTTCCACTGGATCAGAGCATTACATTTTTCCCTTTAACGATGAGTGGTTAATCGAAAGGGAGAGAGCTGGAAAGATTTTTTCAAATACACTACCGGTCAAAAGTTTTAGAACACCTCCATTTTCCCAGTTTTTATTGAAATTCACACAGTTTTAATGTCTTAATGTACTCTGAAATTAAAGCATAGAACAAATAAACAATTGGAGACAAAAAAATAAATAATGGAATCGTTTTGTTTAACAAATTGTAATCTACATTTTTGAATCATCAAAGTAGCCACCTTTTGCAGACATACAGTGGGGAAAAAAAGTATTTAGTCAGCCACCAATTGTCCAAGTTCTCCCACTTAAAAAGATGAGAGAGGCCTGTAATTTTCATCATAGGTACACGTCAACTATGACAGACAAAATGACAGAAAAAAAATCCAGAAAATCACATTGTAGGATTTTGAATGAATTTATTTGCAAATTATGGTGGAAAATAAGTATTTGGTCACCTACAAACAAGTAAGATTTCTGGCTCTCACAGACCTGTAACTTCTTCTTTAAGAGGCTCCTCTGTCCTCCACTTGTTACCTGTATTAATGGCACCTGTTTGAACTTGTTATCAGTATAAAAGACTCTCAGATCCACCTCTACGCAGACGACACCATTTTGTATACATCTGGCCCTTCATTGGACACTGTGTTAACAAACCTCCAAACGAGCTTCAATGCCATACAACACTCCTTCAGTAGCCTCCAACTGCTCTTAAACACTAGTAAAACTAAATGCATGCTCTTCAATCGAACGCTGCTGGCACCCGCCCACCCGACTAGAATCACTACTCTCGACGGGTCTGACCTAGAGTATGTGGACAACTACAAATACCTAGGTGTCTGGTTAGACTGTAAACTCTCCTTCCAGACTCACATTAAGAATCTCCAATCCAAAGTTAAATCTAGAATCTGCTTCCTATTTCGCAACAAAGCCTCCTTCACTCATGCTGCCAAACATGCCCTCGTAAAACTGACTATCCTACCGATCCTTGACTTCGGCGATGTCATTTACAAAATAGCCTCCAATACTCAGCAAATTGGATGTAGTCTATCACAGTGCCATCCGTTTTGTCTCCAAAGCCCCATACACTACCCACCACTGTGACCTGTACGCTCTTGTTGGCTGGTCCTCACTACATGTTCGTCGTCAAACCCACTGGCTCCAGGCCATCTATAAATCACTGCTAGGCAAATCCCCGCCTTATCTTAGCTCATTGGTCACCATAGCAGCACCCACCCGTAGTCTGCGCTCCAGCAGGTATATTTCACTGGTCATCCCCAAAGCCAACACCTCCTTTGGCCGCCATTCCTTCCAGTTCTCTGCTGCCAATGACTGGAACGAATTGCAAAAATCTCTGAAGCTGGAGACTCTTGTCTCCCTCACTAACTTTAAGCATCAGTTGTCAGAGCACCTTACCGATCACTGCACCTGTACACAGCCCATCTGAAATTAGCCCACCCAACTACCTCATCCCTATATTGTTATTTATTTTGCTCTTTTGCACCCCACTATCTCTATTTGCACATAATCTCTTGCACATCTATCATTCCAGTGTTAATACTAATTGTAATTATTTTGCACTATAGCCTATTTATTGCCTTACCTCCATAACTTGCTACATTTGCACACACTGTATATATATTTTCTGTTGTATTTTTTGACTTTGTTTTTTTTACCCCATATGTAACTCTGTGTTGTTTTTATCGCACTGCTTTGCTTTATCTTGGCCAGGTCGCAGTTGTAAATGAGAACTTGTTCTCAAGTGGCTTACCTGGTTAAATAAAGGTTAAATAAAAAATTTCACCACCCTGTGAAGTTCATCATAACATATTTTCATCTGTAGCCTAATAAACTGCATGGTTTCCTGAGTCGTAGTGGGAGACCACACAACATGTCATCGCGTGACTCCAAATTTACTGCTATATGATGGTTATTATATCAATTTTTGCGCATAAAATCATCTCCACCAAAATGTCTCGCATAATTAATTTTACAGACAGAAAAACATCTCACGTTGTCTAGCTTATTTTGTTTTATCGACATAAGGAAAGTTTACCGAAACATTTACCGTTTCCATCAGGCCTGTCTATCTCAGTGTAAATCCTCTCTCTCTCTGTATCTGAGTCCATTAGACTATATCAGTGTAAATTATCTTGTTCTCTCTCTCTCTCTCTCTCTCTCTCTCTCTCTCTCTCTCTCTCTCTCTCTCTCTCTCTCTCTCTCTCTCTCTCTCTCTCTCTCTGTCTCTCTGTCTCTCTGTCTCTCTGTCTCTCTGTCTCTCTGTCTCTCTCTCTCTCTCTCTCTCTCTCTCTCTCTCTCTCTCTCTCTCTCTCTGTCTCTGTCTCTCTCTGACTCTCTCTCTGTCTCTGTCTCTGTCTCTGTCTCTCTCTGTCTCTGTCTCTGTCTCTCTCTGTCTCTCTCTCTGTCTCTCTCTCTCTCTCTCTCTCTCTCTCTGTCTCTCTCTCTCTCTGTCTCTGTCTCTCTCTCTGTCTCTCTCTCTCTCTCTGTCTCTCTCTCTCTCTGTCTCTGTCTCTGTCTCTCTCTCTGTCTCTCTCTCTCTGTCTGTCTGTGTTTCAGCCCAAAGTTCTGTATCAGTTGGACCGCATCACTCCCAGCCAGCTAGAGAAGTTTCTGGAGACCTGCAGGGACAAGTACATGAGGTACTGTGTCTGTGGTGATCACTGCTCACAGGTGGTTGTGTCTGTGGTGATCACTGCTCACAGGTGGTTGTGTCTGTGGTGATCACTGCTCACAGGTGGTTGTGTTTTAATTGAGTGATAAGTAACCTTGCTTGAGACTTGGAAGACTTGTGTTCGATCCCCAAGCAAATGCCTAGGAGAATCTTGGAGACCTGGGTTCAAACCCCGGTAGGACACACTATGCCCATTGATCCTATGTCTCAATCCAATCTGTCTGAAAACGTTTGTTAGCTCCCCATGCTAATGCTTAGGCTTTTAGCTCAGCGGGTCGACCCAGGTTTGAACCCCCGTTAGGTAACACTTTGCCCATTCATCCTAGAGCTCAGATGGAGCCGGGCTCGGCAGTAGGAGCCCTCTGTGCCCAAAGCATTGGGGAGCCTGGTACCCAGATGACCCTGAAAACCTTCCACTTTGCTGGGGTGGCTTCCATGAACATCACCCTGGGGGTCCCACGCATCAAGGAGATCATCAACGCATCCAAGAACATCAGGTGGGTGGGAGTCGAAGCCCTTATTAAAGCTCCTTTTAAAATGGCTTAGGACAGGGGGATTCAGATCTGAGCCTGGAGGTCCGGAGTACTGCTGGTTTGCTGTTCTACACGATGATTCATTGTACCCACCTGGTGTCCCAAGTCTAGGAAGAATGAAAATCAGCAGTGGAACTGGCTTCCAGGTCCAGATTTGAATGGACCTGGTTTAGGATGGTCAGTCAACATCAGATGTGAGTCAGAGCTGGACTTGGAGAGGTCTCTCTTAATCCTCTATCTTTTTCTCTCCAGACTGTTATAGTAGATTGATCATTGTTACAAGTTACTAGGAGAAGTTCAGATTCAATCAGTTTCACCCTGAAGCGTAATGCCTAAAAACAGAAAGATAAATAGTTTTCGGCCAAATCCTCCCTCGTCTCCCTGAACGGGAATAAGTCCAGAATGGCATCATATTCCTTACATAGTGCACTACTTTTGACCGGAGCCCCATATAGGGAATAGGGTGCTGTTTGGACGCAGCCGGGGTCCTTCGGAGCGGACCGCCGTGTTCCATTAGCTCTGATTGGTGTCTGCTTCCACATGACTAGACAGACAAAAATGATCTTCCAATCACAGTGCCCAACCGTAATGTTCCCCCTGTCCGCCGGGGGTTATTCTGCTCCGTGTCCCAATCACACGGCTCGGAGAGAATCCTGGAGAAGGAATGAGAATACACCTTAGGAAAGGAGGGAGAGAGAGAGGGAAACGGAGAGAGAGAGGGAAACGGAGAGAGAGAGGGAAACGGAGGGAGAGAGAGAGGGAAACGAATGGAGAGAGGGAGGGAAACGGAGGGAGAGAGGGAGGGAAACGAAGGGAGAGAGAGAGGGAAACGAAGGGAGAGACAGAGGGAGAGAGGGAAACTGAGGGAGAGAGAGAGGGAAACTGAGGGAGAGAGAGAGGGAAACTGAGGGAGAGAGAGAGAGGGGGAAAACGGAGTGAGAGAGAGAGGGAAACTGAGGGAGAGAGAGGAGAGAGGGAGGGAAACGAAGGGAGAGAGAGAGGGAAACGAAGGGAGAGAAAGAGGAGAGAGGGAAAATGAGGGAGAGAGAGAGGGATGAGGAGAGAGAGGGGAAACTGAGGGAGAGAGAGAGGGAAACTGAGGGAGAGAGAGAGAGGAAAACGGAGTGAGAGAGAGAGGGAAACTGAGGGAGAGAGAGGGAAACTGAGGGAGAGAGAGGGAAACTGAGGGAGAGAGAGGGGAAACGAGGGAGGGAGAGGGAAAGGAGTGAGAGAGGAGGGAAAGGAGTGGAGAGAGAGAGGGAAACGGAGTGAGAGAGAGAGGGAAACGGAGTGAGAGAGAGAGGGAAACGGAGTGAGAGAGAGAGGGAAACGAAGGGAGAGAGAGAGGGAAACTGAGGGAGAGATACAGAGCGAGAGAGGCTAAATCTCAAACCAATTGCCTCACACAATGCCAAGCGTTGAGCAGCACCCATTTTAAATGCCACTCTTTTCAGAATGGCACAAACCTAAAATGCTTCTTTTGTCTTCCCTTCAGCACACCTATAATCAGCGCTCACTTGGATGTGGACGATGATGCAGACTTTGGCCGACTGGTGAAAGGAAGGATTGAAAAGACCCTTCTGGGAGAGGTAGCTAGCTATTCAACATGTACAGTGGGGAAAAAAGTATTTAGTCAGCCACCAATTGTGCAAGTTCTCCCACTTAAAAAGATGAGAGAGGCCTGTAATTTTCATCATAGGTACACGTCAACTATGACAGACAAATTGAGAAAAAAAATTCCAGAAAATCACATTGTAGGATTTTTAATGAATTTATTTGCAAATTATGGTGGAAAATAAGTATTTGGTCACCTACAAACAAGCAAGATTTCTGGCTCTCACAGACCTGTAACTTCTTCTTTAAGAGGCTCCTCTGTCCTCCACTCGTTACCTGTATTAATGGCACCTGTTTGAACTTGTTATCAGTATAAAAGACACCTGTCCACAACCTCAAACAGTCACACTCCAAACTCCACTATGGCCAAGCCCAAAGAGCTGTCAAAGGACACCAGAAACAAAATTGTAGACCTGCACCAGGCTGGGAAGACTGAATCTGCAATAGGTAAGCAGCTTGGTTTGAAGAAATCAACTGTGGGAGCAATTATTAGGAAATGGAAGACATAAAAGACCACTGATAATCTCCCTCGATCTGGGGCTCCACGCAAGATTTCACCCCGTGGGGTCAAAATGATCACAAGAACGGTGAGCAAAAATCCCAGAACCACACGGGGGGACCTAGTGAATGACCTGCAGAGAGCTGGGACCAAAGTAACAAAGCCTACCATCAGTAACACACTACGCCGCCAGGGACTCAAATCCTGCAGTGCCAGACGTGTCCCCCTGCTTAAGCCAGTACATGTCCAGGCCCGTCTGAAGTTTGCTAGAGTGCATTTGGATGATCCAGAAGAGGATTGGGAGAATGTCATATGGTCAGGTTAAACCAAAATATAACTTTTTGGTAAAAACTCAACTCGTCGTGTTTGGAGGACAAAGAATGCTGAGTTGCATCCAAAGAACACCATACCTACTGTGAAGCATGGGGGTGGAAACATCATGCTTTGGGGCTGTTTTTCTGCAAAGGGACCAGGACGACTGATCCGTGTAAAGGAAAGAATGAATGGGGCCATGTATCGTGAGATTTTGAGTGAAAACCTCCTTCCATCAGCAAGGGCATTGAAGATGAAACGTGGCTGGGTCTTTCAGCATGACAATGATCCCAAACACACCGCCCGGGCAAAGAAGCATTTCAAGGTCCTGGAGTGGCCTAGCCAGTCTCCAGATCTCAACCCCATAGAAAATCTTTGGAGGGAGTTGAAAGTCTGTGATGCCCAGCAACAGCCCCAAAACATCACTGCTCTAGAGGAGATCTGCATGGAGGAATGGGCCAAAATACCAGCAACAGTGTGTGAAAACCTTGTGAAGACTTACAGAAAACGTTTGACCTGTGTCATTGCCAACAAAGGGTATATAACAAAGTATTGAGAAACTTTTGTTATTGACCAAATACTTATTTTCCACCATAATTTGCAAATAAATTCATTAAAAATCCTACAATGTCATTTTCTGGGAAAAAAAATCTCATTTTGTCTGTCATAGTTGATGTGTACCTATGATGAAAATTACAGGCCTCATCTTTTTAAGTGGGAGAACTTGCACAATTGGTGGCTGACTAAATACTTTTTTTCCCCACTGTAGCTACTCTACAGGTAGCTAGCTATTCAACATGTATATAGCTACTCTACAGGTAGCTAGCTTTTCAACATGTATATAGCTACTATACAGGTAGCTAGCTATTCAACATGTATATAGCTACTATACAGGTAGCTAGCTATTCAACATGTATATAGCTACTATACAGGTAGCTAGCTATTCAACATGTATATAGCTACTATACAGGTAGCTAGCTATTCAACATGTATATAGCTACTCTACAGGTAGCTAGCTATTCAACATGTATATAGCTACTATACAGGTAGCTAGCTATTCAACATGTATATAGCTACTATACAGGTAGCTAGCTATTCAACATGTATATAGCTACTCTACAGGTAGCTAGCTATTCAACATGTATATAGCTACTCTACAGGTAGCTAGCTATTCAACATGTATATAGCTACTCTACAGGTAGCTAGCTATTCAACATGTATATAGCTACTATACAGGTAGCTAGCTATTCAACATGTATATAGCTACTCTACAGGTAGCTAGCTATTCAACATGTATATAGCTACTATACAGGTAGCTAGCTATTCAACATGTATATAGCTACTATACAGGTAGCTAGCTATTCAACATGTATATAGCTACTATACAGGTAGCTAGCTATTCAACATGTATATAGCTACTATACAGGTAGCTAGCTATTCAACATGTATATAGCTACTCTACAGGTAGCTAGCTATTCAACATATATATATAGCTACTCTACAGGTAGCTAGCTATTCAACATGTATATAGCTACTCTACAGGTAGCTAGCTATTCAACATGTATATAGCTACTATACAGGTAGCTAGCTATTCAACATGTATATAGCTACTCTACAGGTAGCTAGCTATTCAACATGTATATAGCTACTATACAGGTAGCTAGCTATTCAACATGTATATAGCTACTCTACAGGTAGCTAGCTATTCAACATATATATAGCTACTCTACAGGTAGCTAGCTATTCAACATGTATATAGCTACTCTACAGGGACAACATGTCACCACTGTAATGTCACCCTTTTCTCCAGAACATAATGAGTCACACAGGGGAATGATTCCCACTCTGCAGGTGGCTGTGCGTTGTGCTGTTTTGAATACATGTGATTCTGTCGTCATGATCAGGCACTACAGTTCAAGAGTACACGATGTGAAAGAAATAAGAATGCATATGGATCACTACAGTTCCATCCGTGGTTCCTTAGAACGCTGACAGGCTCTCACATTCTGCCAGAGATCACTACAGTTCCATCCGTGGTTCCATAGAACGCTGACAGGCTCTCACATTCTGCCAGAGATCACTCCAGTTCCATCCGTGGTTCCATAGAACGCTGACAGGCTCTCACATTCTGCCAGAGATCACTACAGTTCCATCCGTGGTTCCTTAGAACGCTGACAGGCTCTCACATTCTGCCAGAGATCACTACAGTTCCATCCGTGGTTCCATAGAACGCTAAAAGGCTCTCATATTCTGCCAGAGATCACTCCAGTTCCATCCGTGGTTCTATAGAACGCTGACAGGCTCTCACATTCTGCCAGAGATCACTACAGTTCCATCCGTGGTTCTATAGAACGCTGACAGGCTCTCACATTCTGCCAGAGATCACTACAGTTCCATCCGTGGTTCCATAGAACGCTGACAGGCTCTCACATTCTGCCAGAGATCACTACAGTTCCATCCGTGGTTCCATAGAACGCTGACAGGCTCTCACATTCTGCCAGAGATCACTACAGTTCCATCCGTGGTTCCATAGAACGCTGACAGGCTCTCACATTCTGCCAGAGATCACTACAGTTCCATCCGTGGTTCCATAGAACGCTGACAGGCTCTCACATTCTGCCAGAGATCACTACAGTTCCATCCGTGGTTCCATAGAACGCTGACAGGCTCTCACATTCTGCCAGAGATCACTACAGTTCCATCCGTGGTTCTATAGAACGCTGACAGGCTCTCACATTCTGCCAGAGATCACTACTGTTCCATCCGTGGTTCCATAGAACGCTGACAGGCTCTCACATTCTGCCAGAGATCACTACAGTTCCATACGTGGTTCCATAGAACGCTGACAGGCTCTCACATTCTGCCAGAGATCACTACAGTTCCATCCGTGGTTCCATAGAACGCTGACAGGCTCTCACATTCTGCCAGAGATCACTCCAGTTCCATCCGTGGTTCCATAGAACGCTGACAGGCTCTCACATTCTGCCAGAGATCACTACAGTTCCATCCGTGGTTCCATAGAACGCTGACAGGCTCTCACATTCTGCCAGAGATCACTCCAGTTCCATCCGTGGTTCCATAGAACGCTGACAGGCTCTCACATTCTGCCAGAGATCACTACAGTTCCATCCGTGGTTCCATAGAACGCTGACAGGCTCTCACATTCTGCCAGAGATCACTCCAGTTCCATCCGTGGTTCCATAGAACGCTGACAGGCTCTCACATTCTGCCAGAGATCACTCCAGTTCCATCCGTGGTTCCATAGAACGCTGACAGGCTCTCACATTCTGCCAGAGATCACTACAGTTCCATCCGTGGTTCCATAGAACGCTGACAGGCTCTCACATTCTGCCAGAGATCACTACAGTTCCATCCGTGGTTCCATAGAACGCTGACAGGCTCTCACATTCTGCCAGAGATCACTCCAGTTCCATCCGTGGTTCTATAGAACGCTGACAGGCTCTCACATTCTGCCAGAGATCACTACAGTTCCATCCGTGGTTCCATAGAACGCTGACAGGCTCTCACATTCTGCCAGAGATCACTACAGTTCCATCCGTGGTTCCATAGAACGCTGACAGGCTCTCACATTCTGCCAGAGATCACTACAGTTCCATCCGTGGTTCCATAGAACGCTGACAGGCTCTCACATTCTGCCAGAGATCACTCCAGTTCCATCCGTGGTTCCATAGAACGCTGACAGGCTCTCACATTCTGCCAGAGATCACTACAGTTCCATCCGTGGTTCCATAGAACGCTGACAGGCTCTCACATTCTGCCAGAGATCACTACAGTTCCATCCGTGGTTCCATAGAACGCTGACAGGCTCTCACATTCTGCCAGAGATCACTCCAGTTCCATCCGTGGTTCCATAGAACGCTGACAGGCTCTCACATTCTGCCAGAGAAACCAAGGTTAAACAAGTCTAACTTAGCTGACATCGATCAGTGTTCCAACTGTCACTTCAGTGTAGAAGTGGAGGACGTCCCTCTATGGTTATTGGAAACACACTGTTTACTGTATACTTACTGTGTACTTGAAGATAAAATAACACCGTTCTGCCATTTACAACAGCAAATCAAAGTTTGCCGTTTTGACTTGTAAATGATTGAGTACATATCAGCCTCTCTCCCTGACAGATTTCGGAGTACATTGAAGAGGTGTTTCTGCCAGACGACTGTTTCATTCTGGTCAAGCTGTCGCTGGAGAGGATCAGACTGCTACGACTAGAGGTACCAACATAGAAATACAGCCACTATTCTGTTCATTCTATTGATTATGCTATTCATTATATTTCTGTATGACTATTCTATTAATTATATTTCTAAATGACTATTCTGTTCATTATATTTCTAAATGACTATTCTATTAATTATATTAATCTAATTATATTTCTATATGACTATTCTGTTCATTCTATTAACTATATTAATTATATTTCTAAATGACTATTCTGTTCATTATAATTCTAAATGACTATTCTATTCATTCTATTGACTACACTATATATACAAAAGTATGTGGACACCCTTTCAAATTAGTGGATTCGGCTATTTCAGCCACACCCGTTGCTGACAGGTGTATAAAATCGAGCACACCGCCATGCAATCTCCATAGACAAACATTGGCAGTAGAACGGCCTAACTAAAGAGGTCGGTGACTTTCAGCGTGGCACCGTCATAGGATGCCACCTTTCCAACAAGTCAGTTTGTCAAATTTCTGCCCTGCTAGAGCTGCCCCCGATCAACTGTAAGTGCTGTTATTGTGAAGAGGAAACGTCTAGAAGCTACAACGGCTCAGCCGCTACCAAGTTCCAATCTGCCTCTGGAAGCAACGTCAGCACAAGAACTGTTAGTCGGGAGCGTCATGAAATGGGTTTCCATGGCCGAGCAGCCGCACACAAGCCTAAGATCACCATGCGCAATGCCAAGCGTCGGCTGGAGTGGTGTAAAGCTCTGGAGCAGTGGAAACATGCTTCACCATCTGGCAGTCCGACGGACAAATCTGGGTTTGGCGAATGCAAGGAGAACGCTACCTGCCCGAATGCATAGTGCCAACTGTAAAGTTTGGTGGAGTAGGAATAATGGTCTGGGGCTGTTTTTCATGGTTCAGGCTTGGCCACTTAGTTTCAGTGAAGGGAAACCTTAATGCTACAGCATACAATGACATTCTAGACGATTCTGTGCTTCCAACTTTGTGGCAACAGTTTGGGGATGGCCCTTTCCTGTTTCAGCATGACAGTGCCAAAGTGCACAAAGCGAGGTCCATACAGAAATGGTTTGTCGACATTGGTGTAGAAGAACTTGACTGGCCTGCACAGAGCCCTGATCTCAACCCCATTGAACACCTTTGGGATGAATTGGAACGCCGACTGCGAGCCAGGCCTAATTGCCCAACATCAGTGCCCGACCTCACTAATGCTCTTGTGACTGAATGGAAGCAAGTCCCCGCAGCAATGTTCCAACATCTAGTGGAAAGCCTTCCCAGAAGAGTGGAGGCTGTTATAGCAGCAAAGGGGGGACCAACTCCATATTAATGCCCATGATTTTGGAATGAGATGTTCGTGGTTTCAGGACATCTGCCTTTGATCTTTATCAGGGGACATTTTAGAGGAAAAGGTTTCTTAGTCCTCTTCGTCCCAGGTGGACAAAAGGTTTCTTACTTAGTCCTCTTCGTCTTGAGATCACTCTGTATTTAATCACATCTTGTGCACTTGTCCCATGAGAACATTTTACATTTTAGTCATTTAGCAGACGCTCTTATCCAGAGCGACTTACAGTTAGTGAGTGCATACATTTTCATACTGGCCCCCCCCCGTGGGAAACGAACCCACAACCCTGGCGTTGCAAACCTTCTCTTCCAGCTCAGTTTCAGCCACCACTGTCTGTCGCCGTGTAGTTTTTGGCCTGTCTTTATCGAGAGAAAAGTTGCTCTTGAGAATTTGAATATTTTAATGTGATTTATACTTTCTTGTTATAAGAATTGAGACCTCGATAAAGCTACTGTAAGATCAAAAACAGAAAGTTATAGTATTTATTTCCAACACATAGCTCTGGGTTTCAATGTGTTTTCAATCAATCAGATGTATTTCATGAAGCCCTTTTTTCATCAGCAGTGTTGTGTTCTGTCTTTGAAAGACCAGGTTTAATATTGAAGTCTGTTTGGTTTAAACAGGTGTTTGAAAAGAGATCAAGCCATGTTTTTGGACTAAGAGATGGTCAGACTAACAGAGTCTTCCTTTGTCAGTTTAGACAGGTAGTCAGACACAGTCGGCCTTTGTCAGTTTAGACAGGTAGTCAGACAGACAGTCTTCCTTTGTCAGTTTAGACAGGTAGTCAGACAGACAGTCTGCCTTTGTCAGTTTAGACAGGTAGTCAGACAGACAGACAGTCTGCCTTTGTCAGTTTAGACAGGTAGTCAGACAGACAGTCTTCCTTTGTCAGTTTAGACAGGTAGTCAGACAGACAGTCTTCCTTTGTCAGTTTAGACAGGTAGTCAGACAGACAGTCTGCCTTTGTCAGTTTAGACAGGTAGTCAGACAGACAGTCTTCCTTTGTCAGTTTAGACAGGTAGTCAGACAGACAGTCTGCCTTTGTCAGTTTAGACAGGTAGTCAGACAGACAGTCTTCCTTTGTCAGTTTAGACAGGTAGTCAGACAGACAGTCTGCCTTTGTCAGTTTAGACAGGTAGTCAGACACAGTCGGCCTTTGTCAGTTTAGACAGGTAGTCAGACACAGTCGGCCTTTGTCAGTTTAGACAGGTAGTCAGACAGACAGTCTGCCTTTGTCAGTTTAGACAGGTAGTCAGACAGACAGTCTTCCTTTGTCAGTTTAGACAGGTAGTCAGACAGACAGTCGGCCTTTGTCAGTTTAGACAGGTAGTCAGACAGACAGTCTGCCTTTGTCAGTTTAGACAGGTAGTCAGACAGACAGTCTTCCTTTGTCAGTTTAGACAGGTAGTCAGACAGACAGTCTTCCTTTGTCAGTTTAGACAGGTAGTCAGACAGACAGTCTTCCTTTGTCAGTTTAGACAGGTAGTCAGACAGACAGTCTGCCTTTGTCAGTTTAGACAGGTAGTCAGAACAGTCGCCTGTGTCAGTTTAGAAGTGTCAGGACACAAGTCTTCCTTTGTCAGTTTCGACAGGGTAGTCAGACAGAGACAGTCGGCCCCTTTCTTTGATGTTTGATGTTCAACTGTGTGTGATGTTGCTATCGCTATCTAGATAGCAGGATGATCCGAAGATAATCGAGAGAGATCGAGGAAGAGGGGGGAGAGAGGAGATGATGAGGGCAGGGCTCAGAGGGAGAGAGGGGGGATCTATGAGGATATTTATGCTCTCTCTTTCTCTCTCTCTCTCTCTTTTTTTGTCTATCTATTTCTCTCTCTCTTTCTCTCTCTCTCTTCTCTCTCTCTCTCTCTCTTTTCTCTCTTTATTTCTCTCTCTCGCTCTCTCGCTCTCTCTCTCTCTCTCTGTCTCTCTCTGCATCTCTGTCTCTCCAGGTGAATGCAGAGACGGTGCGCTACTCTATCTGCATGTCTAAGCTGAAAGTGAAGCCTGGAGACATAGCTGTGCATGGGGAGGCAGTGGTCTGTGTCTCGCCCAGGGAAAACAACAAGAGCTCCATGTACTACGTCCTCCAGTCTCTGAAGGATAACCTGCCCAAGGTAAGAATAATGTTTCATTCCAAATGGCACCCTATTCAGCGCACTACTTTTGACTGGGGCTCTGGTAAAAAATGATTGAAGTATAGGGAATGGGGTGCCATTTTGGAAGTCCCCACTGCTGCGCTAAAACATGTATATTATTGGTGGAAAAAAACGTTAATCTTGTGTCAGTCCTCAGCCGGGTCTCAAAATGGATTATTTTAGTGGGTTGTTTCTTTCATGATATCAACAGGGGCATTATGCTTTGAAATGCTTATAATTCACCAGGGGGTAATGCTGCCAAGCCTTGTACAGTTCATTAGAGAGGGAAAAGCTCCTATAGGAATACTCGAACTATCTCTGACGCCTTACGCTGGGCACATCACCAATACCCCGATAGGCGGAGAGCATCGGAAAAATAACGCACGAAGAGAATAAAGAAGAAGAGCACCCGGAACTTAAAAGGAGAAGGGTAGAAGAGAGAGCAGAGACCGAAGACCCGCAAAAGAAGAAAAAAGGGGAAGGAGAAGAGAGTGTAAACGAGGACACAGGGAAGGAATCGTATTACCGCTCATCTCCTCATCCCTATATACCCCTCTCTCTGTCCCCTCTCTCCTCTCCTCCTCTCCTCCTCTCCCCTCTCTCTGTCCCCCTCTCCTCTCTCCTCTCCATGTCTCTGTGGTGTTACTAGGTGGTTGTACAGGGTATCCCTGAGGTCTCCAGAGCTGTCATTCACATCGACGAGCAGACCGGCAAGAACAAGTACAAGCTGCTGGTGGAGGGAGACAACCTGCGCAGCGTCATGGCAACCCACGGTGTCAACGGCAACAGGACCACCTCTAACAACACCTATGAGGTAACTGGTCTGTAGAAGCCCCTCCTGCCAAAACAAACGGCATCAAATTATCGTCCCATTGATTGGCCTGAACCAATTCACCCTATGACAACTGTTGTTGTAAAAGAGGGGCTTTGTTAATTAAATGAATGGATTGAATTCCCCACAATGCCTCTGTGCTGAGAGCCGACTGATTGTTCTCTCCTCCAGAACCATCTACTTTCCCGGCGGCGGGGATCCCGGTTCGATCCCAGCATGAGCCCTGTGCATTTCTGTTACCCCAACTGTCTGCCTGCTGCTCCCATTCTGTCATTTCATCATTCATACAAATAGGAGTTTGGAATTCCATTCTCCTTTTTTTTTTAAACATATCTAAAAAGAAGCAACTGGCGGGTGGATGAATTGTCTCTCTGTGTGTTTCCCAGGTTGAGAAGACGCTTGGCATCGAGGCGGCTAGGTCCACTATCATCAATGAGATACAGTACACCATGGTGAACCACGGCATGAGCATCGACAGGAGACACGTCATGCTCCTCGCAGACCTCATGTCCTATAAGGTTGGTGTTGGACAAGATGGAGAATGTTTTATTCAAAGATTAATAATATTGAGTGAGTTTTACATTGTATTGTGATGACAGATGAAGTCCTCTGTTTACAGTTTAGATGCATGCCTAGGGTTGCAAAATTCCTGGAACCTACAATAAATGTCCTGGTTTTCCCAAAATCCCGGTTAGAGGCTTGCCGGAATAGGGAGGAAATCCGGAATCATGCAACCAGGATTTCTGGAAAACCTGGGAATTTATTGAAAGTTCCCAGAATTTTGCAACCCTATGCATGCCTACTCTCAGCTAATGTCATATTTTACATACGTTTTCCACTGAAACATGTCAAATCATATAATATGATAATAGAAAATGCATTGGATATACAGTCCGGTCCAAAATGATTGGCAACCTTGATAAAGATTAGCAGAAAATACTGTATAAAATAAACAATACAAATACTAAGCTATATTGTATGCTAAGAAAATTGGGAAATTATATTACACTGAACACAAATATGAACGCAATATGCAACCAATTTAAAAGATTTTGTAAGTAAATCAGTCAATTTAAATAAATTCATTAGACCCTGATCTATGGATTTCACATGTCTGGGAATACAGATACCTTTTAAAAAAAAGGTAGGGGCGTGGGTCAGAAAACCAGTCAGTATCCGGTGTGACCACCATTTGCCTCATGCAGCAAGACACATCTCCTTCACATAGAGTTGATCAGACTGGTGATTGTGGCCTGTGGAATGTTGCCCCACTCTCCTTCAATGGCTGTGCGAAGTTGCTGGATATTGATGGGAACTGGAACACGCTGTCGTACACATTGATCCAGAGCATCCCAAACGTGCTCAATGGGTGACATGTCTGGTGAGTATGCAGGCCATGGAAGAACTGGGACATTTTCAGCTTCCAGGAATTGTGTACAGATCATTGCAACATGGGGCTGTGCATTATCATGCTGAAACATATATTTATATATATATTTATATTTTTAGTCATTTAGCAGACGCTCTTATCCAGAGCGACTTACATGAGCAATTAGGGTTAAGTGCCTTGCTCAAGGGCACATCGACAGATTTTTCACCTAGTCGGCTCGGGGATTAGAACCAGCGACCTTTCGGTTACTGGCACAACGCTCTTACCCACTAAGCTACCTAACATGAGGTGATGGCGGCGGATTAATGGCACAACAATGGACCTCAGGATCTCGTCACGGTATCTCTGTGCGTTCAAATTGCCATCAATAAAATGCATTTGTGTTCATTGTCTGTAGCTTATGCCTGCCCATACCATAACCCCACCGCCACCATGGGGCACTCTGTTCACAACGCTGACATCAGCAAACCGCTCACCTACACGACGCCATACACGCTGTCTGACATCTGCCTGGTACAGTTGAAACCGGGATTCATCCGTGAAGAGCACACTTCTCCAGCGTGCCAGTGGCCATCGAAGATGAGCATTTTCCCACTGAAGTCGGTTACGATGCCGAACTGCAGTCAGGTCAAGACCATGGTGAGGACGACGATCCCGCAGGTGAAGAAGCCAGATGTGGAGGTCCTGGGCTGGCGTGGTTACACGTGGTCTGCGGTTGTGAGGCCGGTTGGACGTACTGCCAAATTCTCTAAAACGATGTTGGTAAAGAAATGAACATTACATTCTATGGCAACAGGTCTGGTGGACATTCCTGCTGTCAGCATGCCAATTGCACACTCCCTCAAAACTTGAGACATCTGTAGCATTGTGTTGTGTGACAAAACATCACATTTTAGAGTGGCCTTTTCTTGTCCCCAGCACAAGGTGCCCCTGTGTAATAATCATGCTGTTTAATCAGCTTGATATGCCACACCTGTCAGGTGGATGGATTATCTTGGCAAAGGAGAAATGCTCACTAACAGGAATGTAAACAAATTTGTGCACAATTTGATTTGAGAGAAATAAGCTTTTTGTGTGTATGGAACGTTTCTGGGATATTTTATTTCAGCTCATGAAACATGGGACCAACACTTTACATGTTGCATTTATATTTTTGTTCAGTATATTTTTTATACTAATACAATTCCTCAGAGAAAGAGATTTTGTTTAACAAGTAATAAAACAAAATCTCTGTTTATGATAGGATACAATATGTGTAATAGAATATGTAATGGGTTTTAAGTAATAGGGTTATGCAATAGGATAATGTAATAAGATTATGTAATAGGGTTATGCAATATGATAATGTAATAGGATAATGTAATAAGATAATGTAATAGGGTTAAGCAATATGATAATGTAATAGGATAATGTAATATGATAATGTAATAGGATAATGTATTTGCCCTCCATAGGGTGAGATCCTAGGCATCACCAGGTTTGGCCTGGCTAAGATGAAGGAGAGCGTCTTGATGCTGGCATCCTTTGAGAAAACTGCCGACCATCTCTTTGATGCTGCGTACTTTGGACAGAAGGACTCAGTCTGTGGTGAGTTTGAGGCTTCATCTGTTTATAGCAGAATAACAGAAATACAGCTACTTGATAACAAAGAATACACAGGCTTGTTCTCGTCTGTCTGTTCCTCGACTTCTCTCATTCATTGCACTCATCTGAAATAACTAACTAGCCACCTGTCAAGTGTTTTCAGATGAATGGGGAGGAGATGAGGAGAGGATGGGTTTCTAGCCGTTGAGAAAGAACTTCCTGACACGGCTGATTTGAGCTCAATCTCTCTCTGTCTCCTCTGGTTCCAGGTGTATCTGAATGCATCATCATGGGAATCCCCATGAACATCGGCACAGGACTGTTCAAGCTCTTACACAAGGCTGACAAGGACCCCACGCCACCCAGGAGACCCCTGCTCTTCGACTGCAGCGACTTCCACATCCCCTTGGTTACATAGCGGAACCCGGGACTCTGTCCTAGTAGAACCCAGGACTCTCTGTTCCACACCCCAAACATCTAGTAATGTAATAGAACATGTTCCTTTAGCAGATGCTTTGGTCCAAAGGCACCTACGGTTACATAGTGGCACATGTACGTGATATGTGGCCCCATGTGGGAATCAAACCCACAACCCTCACTGTACTGATCTGCTCAAGGCACACTCACCTCATTGTATATGCTGCTTTTGCTATTGATGATTGACAGTTGAAGTGGTGAGGAGGTGTGTGTGTGTGTGTGTGTGTGATGGAGCAAAGACAGCATGGGGGTACGTACACAAGGAGTGCCTTTAAAGTGAAGTTTTTGTTTTCTCTCCTTGGAAGCTTGATAACCTCTTCCTTTGGCTTTCTGTTTATTGTGTTATTTTATACCACTTATTCTAATTCACAGGACTACAGAGAGAAGTGCTGTCAAAACGTCTGGAAGACTGACGTTCACCTGTTGTTGGTTTATGTGTTTAGTCGTGGCCTCATGGACTTACTGTATTATGTTCCTCGTTGGTTTAGTATGCTGTAATGTTTTCCATGCTTGACCTTTCTGAATGTACAATAAAGTCTGCCTGTGGCTGGAAAGAGTGAAGCATTGAAGTCACTGATTTTTGATTATAAATGGTTGTAATGTTGTTCACTGGCTGAAAGGAGCCTGTTCCCAGGTCTGTAAAGTATCTGATTTGATTATAAATGTTTTGATGATGTTCACTGGCTGAAAGGAGCCTGTTCCCAGGTCTGTAAAGTATCTGCTTTGATTATAAATGTTTTGATGATGTTCACTGGCTGAAAGGAGCCTGTTCCCAGGTCTGTAAAGTATCTGATTTGATTATAAATGGTTTGATGATGTTCACTGGCTGAAAGGAGCCTGTTCCCAGGTGTGTAAAGTATGTGCTTGAGCCAACTCTTCTGACTGTCATTGCCATACAGCTTTGTCACGCCATACATGTTTGCTGTGACAATGAATGAACAACCTTGAGAGGAGATGGCTAAAGCCCAGAGCGATCTGGAGGCTGGTTAGATTGAACCCTATCTATACCATATGATGGCCTTGGATGCCCGGGCGTCACTCCTGCTGTTTCTTACGGTGAGGTGACTGGATGGTGACTGTTCTCTGAAACCTCAATCAAATTGGCTTTTTGTGTTTACTGCTGGCTTGGGGTTTTTCCTCAATGTTTAAAACATCCCTCTAATGTATGGATGGATGTCTTCATGGTTTAAAACATCCCTCTAATGTATGGATCGATGTCTTCATGGTTTAAAACATCCCTCTAATGTATGGATGGATGTCTTCAGGGTTTAAAACATCCCTCTAATGTATGGATGGATGTCTTCAGGGTTTAAAACATCCCTCTAATGTATGGATGGATGTCTTCAGGGTTTAAAACATCCCTCTAATGTATGGATGGATATATTCATGGTTTAAAACATCCCTCTAATGTATGGATGGATGTCTTCAGGGTTTAAAACATCCCCTTTACTGTATGTATGAATGTCTTCAGGGTTTAAAACATCCCTCTACTATATTGATGGATGTCTTCATGGTTTAAAACATCCCTCTAATGTATGGATGGATGTCTTCAGGGTTTAAAACATCCCTCTAATGTATGGATGGATGTCTTCAGGGTTTAAAACATCCCTCTAATGTATGTATGAATGTCTTCATGGTTTAGAACATCCCTCTACTATATTGATGGATGTCTTCAGGGTTTAGAACATCCCTCTACTATATTGATGGATGTCTTCATGGTTTAAAACATCCCCTCTACTATATGGATGGATGTCTTCAGGGTTTAGAACATCCCTCTACTATATTGATGGATGTCTTCAGGGTTTAGAACATCCCTCTACTATATTGATGGATGTCTTCATGGTTTAGAACATCCCTCTACTATATTGATGGATGTCTTCATGGTTTAAAACATCCCCTCTACTATAATTATGGATGTCTTCAGGGTTTAGAACATCCCTCTACTATATTGATGGATGTCTTCAGGGTTTAGAACATCCCTCTACTATATTGATGGATGAGTCTTCATGGTTTAGAACATCCCTCTACTATATTGATGGATGTCTTCATGGTTTAAAACATCCCTCTACTATATTGATGGATGTCTTCATGGTTTATATGCGTTAATTCAAACCTCTTAAATGTAACTAAATGTAATATACGTAATCCCCAAAAAGTTATGATTTATCATGAGAGGGCCATAAACAATAACTAGTAATGCTGCACACTCCAAGTAAGGTTAATCTCACCTTCCAGGTAGAAATCATTATAAATAGCAGAGGTGTAGTCACTGTAGAGGACACAAGCTCAAGTACACAGTAGAAATATGGAAATATGATGTATTTCTGACTCAACAAAACTGTATGAATCAGGCTTGAAATGAGTTATATTTTTTCTAAAAAGAGTATAATCAATTTATGAAACGACTAACTATAATATTCCACCGTCCATATAACTATAAAATACGTATTTGTATATTTAGTGTTAAGAGAAAATGTGCATATTTTCTAAAGGTAGGAGGGACATCCCAGCATCAAGTGGTGTCAGATTTCACATCCTGCTTCGCCAGGCAGAAGAGACATGCTCCTGTGTCCCTGAGAATCAGGGCTACCATTTCAATCTACGGTGTCCACATATCAATTTATTTAAGTGAAACTGTTGGTCAGAACTGGTACCAGAACCACGCAGAACCCAAAACAGGGGACTTCACATCCTATTAAAAAGAATTAGGAAGTGCTTAAGATACTGTTCAATCTCTTTAACAGAGAATATATGAAGAAATCGGTTTCAGATATGATATGACTTGTAAGAGTGCAGAAATGTCACAGTGACTTGAGGCTTGGAGTTCCACCAAAACAATATGGAAATGGAGAACTGACAGTGCCTCTCTTGTAGATAAGAGCATTTCAAACATTTTAGTAGACGCTCTTATCCAGAGCAACTTACAGTTAGTGAGTGCATACATTATTTTTCATACTGGCCCCCACGTGGGAATCGAACCCACAACCCTGGTGTTGCAAACGCCATGCTCTACCAACTGAGCTACATCCCTGCCGGCCAATCCCTCCCCTACCCTGGGCCAATTGTGCGCCGCCCCATGGGTCTCCCGGTCGCGGCCGGCTACGACAGAGCCTGGATTCGAACCAGGATCTCTAGCGGCCTTAGACCACTGCGCCAATCGGGAGGTTAAACAACTGGGATGGGAGTACTGAGAGCCTAATGGCTTCAACAGCAGGTAGGCGTTTAAGCCTAAGCTAGTAATTAGCTAGTAATTAGCAGGACTAATGATGTCAATAGGCCATAGGGCTCTGGGCAAAAGCAGTGCACTACAGGGTGACATTGGGGATGAAAGCAGTGCACTACAGGGTGACATTGGGGATGCAAGCAGTGCACTACAGGGTGACATTGGGGATGAAAGCAGTGCACTACAGGGTGACATTGGGGATGCAGTCACTGTTCTTCACTGTTTTTTCACCGTTATGATGTGAACCGTAAAGCTGGATGTTACTGCTTTGTGGTTGATTTGGATCCATTAAATAATGACGACGAACAAGAATAAAGAAAAACAAACCATGTTCTTCGTTTTTTTTATCCAAATTTGCAACATCAACATAATCTGACACATACAAACAGACACACGATAGGGGCCCATCAATCAATCACATTATTTTATAAAGCCCTTTTTTACATCAGCAGTTGTCACAAAGTGCTTATACAGAAACCCAGCCTAAAACCCCAGAGACCAAGCAAACTCAAGTTCAACGTTTAACTTATGGTACAATACTGAAATATACTGTTGATGGCACATATACAGAAGCTTGTACTAAACGTATTTGACTCTTTAACAAAATCCTATAGAAACATGTTTTTACAAATGTTCACTGATTTAAAGTTTTAGCCTGAGTGCCAGTCGGTTTGTGCTATCATGTCAACTCCTTGTCACTCATAGTCATGTCTGGCTTTAAAATTAGCACTGGAGTTGTGGCTAAAGCGCAAATAGATCTGGGACCAGGTTAATAACGTTTAGCTCTTTCAGTTAAATAAAAACGATATTCATTCATTAGCCTCTTATAATATAGATATCTCCACCATCTCCAGACAGTAGTGATTTGCATGCTACTGAGTATTCCACCTCCAAGACCTCTATCGAGTCTATTGTTTTGTCTGTTTGTGTAATTATCTGTAGTGAATTGAATGTGCCTGGCTTTCTCAGAATGCCGAATCAGGTAATACTGAATAAATTCACCTGTCTCCTATTTCAGAGCTTGCATTTGGATCATTCTGAGGTGACCCTGTACTAGTTCATATTCAAAACCTGTATTATCACGTCTTCACAATCTGTAGTTCTCTGAGGTGCCTGCAGTGCTTACCGTCATTTACAGACAGTAGTTTGTGAAAGTACAAAATGTGCTTTTTTATAAGTAATGTATGTTAATGGACTAGCTCTCACCACTGTATGTACAGTTGAGCAGTAGGTTTACCACCAGCGCTCTGGTCTACCATCTCCTAAACAACAGCTGCCCGCTTGCTGAGGTGTTCTCTTCCTGTCAATAATAATACAGATTTCATTTGCAGAGCACATTTCTCAATGCACATAAATTAGAACGCAAAAAAAAAAAAAAAAAATCACAATACGTCAACACATTACCTGCTAATGTTGAAGATGGACTTTAAGCAGAGTAAAAACCATCAAAACATGAAAAGCTTGAATAGGTGTTTAGTTGTGTTCTAAGTGAGGAGATTAAAGCTGCCTCCTTGACACATACAGGTGGGGGTGTTGCAGAGCCACGTGAGAAGGCACTGTCACCCATGCTGGGCAGGGTTGTGGCTGGTTTTACCGGGGCAGTTTTAGTCTGACGATTGTAGGGTAATTGCTGGGGAATAGTTCTCCAGAAGTTGGCATATGTATGTGTACACTCAGAAAAAACAGTACAGTGTTGTTCCCTGGTGTACAAAAAGATAAACATTTTTAGAATTTTGTTTCAATATTTGTTTTTGCATGTACAAAGATAAATAACTTCTTCTTTTTTTTTACTAATCCAATCTGTTAGTAGTTGGATTTATTGCACCCGTTACTGAGATGGCTGTTCCAGTTTAGATAGTTAAGGGAGTCTCATTTATCAATACCTTTATCAATCTTCCCTACCTTAGCAGTCATTCTAAATGCCGGTTGCGGGTGATTAAAAGTTCACATTTTTGTATATCCTAACTCTGGCTGGATTCCAATAGGAATTCCATATCACTTTGCAAGCCAGCATAACGTGCCTTGCCCAATGTGGCCCGCAAACCAGCAGTTTCAGACCAGTCTGAGTACCAGGCAATGACATGGGAGTACAGGGATTGGATGAGCTAAAGAGACTGGAACTCAGGCTAGTTTCAGACCACCGTGTTGGGGTAAAACTATGCCGTTAAAGTATGGCCTTATGATATATGTTATGTATTATCATAAAGAGTTTCATTTCAATTATAAAATATTAACTTAGGCACTCACTTGATGAAGGCTACAGGACTGAAAGCCATTGAACGCAACAACCATGTCTCTGTCACTAGCAAACACAGTCATGGGTTGTAATGGTAACTCTAAAATTCATTTGAAAGGCACCCTGGGAAATATGCCTTGCACCCTACAGTGTTAAAACATCACCGGAAAAAATGTTTTAGAGGTACATTTTTGCCACTGAAAGGAACAGACTGCTTTGTCAATGTGGTGGTACCCTAAATAGGCTAATTTGTACCTTTTCCAAAGGTACGCTTTTGTGCCTGTACTAATTTGTCCCCTAAGGTACACTACTGGATAAATGAGGTGAAAATTAGACTGGAGTGTCTTTAAAAGTCTGTAACGAGACTATTTCAACAGATCAATGCTGCTCGCCGGTAGCTCAGAGTTCACCGTCATCTTCTCCCCTGTTAAGGCTGAGGAGGTGTCTCCATGAGAGGAGACGGACGGACCGTTCTCCATCACACCCTGCTCCAAGCCTCCATTGGCCCCGCCACCAGTCTCTGAGAAGGCCTCCCTCTTCAGTGGTCTAATAAAGCGTACCGTGGGGTTGTTGGGCTCCTCCACAGCGCCGCCCCGGTGGTTGGAGGGCTTCCTGAGGCAGCGGGACAGGGTGGCCACGCAGCTCTTCTTGAAGTTCTCGTTCATGAAGGCATAGATGATGGGGTTGTTAAAGGAGTTGGAGAAGCCGATGGCCTGGACGATGGCGATGATCATGTTCATCGTCACCTCGTCAGAGTTCTTCTCTAGGTCGTCTAGATGTGAACAAAAGGAAGGTCTTTTAGGAATTATTTAGCTGTATTTGGAGAATATTAGTAGCTTGGTTTCCATCCAATTTGCGACAGATTTTCATTTGAATATTCTAAAATCTCCATAAAACAATATCGCATTTTCCCACCAGAGATGTTTCCATCAAACAGATGTTTTGTATTATTATTATTTCAAATTACAATACAATAACAAACATTGGACATCACTACAAGTACATTTTCTCTTAAGAAACATAAAATAACATTAATAAAGAAAAACAATAAATAACATTTTGCTGATAAGAGGCTGTGGGTGATGTAGTGCACATAAAACAACTTTTACCGTTAAATTCCCAGGTACCGAATGGAAAAATACTAGTTAAATGCGTTTCCATCGCATTTTCAACTTTAATGATAGTTTTTTTCACAAAAACTGTTGCGTTATATAGCAAATGTGCCCATTCTGGTCTTGTCACATGCGATCTAGTCAACAGCTGGCAGATACAGTGTGGGTAGGCTACCTACAGTGGCTTGCGAAAGTATTCACCCCCCTTGGCATTTTTCCTTTTTTTTTTGCCTTACAACCTGGAATTAAAATGGATTTTTGGGGGGTTTGTATCATTTGATTTACACAACATGGCTACCACTTTGAAGATGCAAAATCTTTTTTGGGGTGAAACAAACAAGACAAAAAAACAGAACTTGAGCGTGCATAACTATTCACCCCCCCAAAGTCAATACTTTGTAGAGCCACCTTTTGCAGCAATTACAGCTGCAAGTCTCTTGGGGTATGTCTCTATAAGCTTGGCACATCTAGCCACTGGGATCTTTGTCCATTCTTCAAGGCAAAACTGCTCCAGCTCCTTTAAGTCATACCACAGATTCTCAATTGGATTGAGGGCTTTGACTAGGCCATTCCAAGACATTTAAGTGTTTCCCCTAAACCACTCGAGTGTTGCTTTAGCAGTATGCTTATGGTCATTGTCATGCTGGAAGGTGAACCTCCGTCCCAGTCTCAAATCTCTGGAAGACTGGAACAGGTTTCCCCTCAAGTATTTCCCTGTATTTAGCGCCATCCATCATGCCTTCAATTCTGACCAGTTTCCCAGTCCCTGCCGATGAAAAACATCCCCACAGCATGATGCTGCCACCACCATGCTTCACTATGGGGATGGTGTTCTCGGGGTGATGAGAGGTGTTGGGTTTGCGCCAGATGGCCAAAAAGCTCAATTTGAGTCTCATCTGACCAGAGTACCTTCTTCCATATGTTTGTCTCCCACATGCCTTATGGCGAACACCAAACGTGTTTGCTTATTTTTTTCTTTAAGCAATGGCTTTTTTCTGGCCACTCTTTCATAAAGCCCAGCTCTGTGGAGTGTACGGCTTAAAGTGGTCCTATGGACAGATACTCGAATCTCCGCTGTGGAGCTTTGCAGCTCCTTCAGGGTTATCTTTGGTCTCTTTGTTGCCTCTCTAATTAATGCCCTCCTTGCCTGGTCCGTGAGTTTTGGTGGGCGGCCCTCTCTTGGCAGGTTTGTAGTGGTGCCATATTCTTTCCATTTTTTTATAATGGATTTAATGGTGCTCCGTGGGATGTTCTAATTTTCTGATATTTTTTTACAACCCAACCCTGATCTGTACTTCTCCACAACTATGTACCTGACCTGTTTGAAGAGCTCCTTGGTCTTCATGGTGCCGCTTGCTTGGTGGTGTATACAGTGAGGGAAAAAAGTATTTGATCCCCTGCTGATTTTGTACGTTTGCCCACTGACAAATACATTATCAGTCTATAATTTTAATTGTAGGTTTATTTGAAAAGTGAGAGACAGAATAACAACAACAAAATCCAGAAAAACGCATGTCAAAAATTTTATCAATTGATTTGCATTTTAATGAGGAAAATAAGTATTTGACCCCCTCTCAATCAGAAAGATTTCTGGCTCCCAGGTGTCTTTTATACAGGTAACGAGCTGAGATTAGGAGCACACTCTTAAAGGGAGTGCTCATAATCTCAGCTTGTTACCTGTATAAAAGACACCTGTCCACAGAAGCAATCAATCAATCAGATTGCAAACTCTCCACCATGGCCAAGACCAAAGAGCTCTCCAAGGATGTCAGGGACAAGATAGTAGACCTACACAAGGCTGGAATGGGCTACAAGACCATCGCCAAGCAGCTTGGTGAGAAGGTGACAACAGCCTAATAAACTGCATGCTTTCCCGAGTCGTAGTGGGAGGACCACACAACATGTCATCGCGTGACTCCAAGTTTACTTCGACATGATGGTTATTATATCAATAGTCGCGCATAAAGGCATTTCCACCGCCATTTCTTGCATAATTCATTTTACAGACACAAAAAGATTGCACCATGTCGAATGAACAAATTGTCTGTCAGCCTAAAATTGTACTGACGTTTCATGTTTCCGTCAGAACTTTGGGTCAACTTCATGGGTCAGGTAATTCATCCGCATGAAATGGTTTGATAGAAACGTGGTCAGTGAGAGGGAGAAGAAAAAAAACATGCTGAACCGAAAGATTTACACCTGCCTCTACGAGTTACAGTTAACCATGAATATAAAGGTTAACATATGTGATGGGGATAGTTTATGCTATATGTGCTATAGCCTATTTCAGCCTGTTAGTCCTAGCCCCACTATCATTATTGTAGTGTAATAGAGCATATACTTACTGTACTCAAACAGCATGTGAACGGTATGAAATGGAGCCCAACAGACTGTGAACAGCAGAACAATGGTTATCATCATTTTTACAGCTCGCTTCTTCTTCCTGTGAAAATCAATAAAGCATGTTCTAACTTCCTCACGCTGATACCCTCTCTTTTTATTTCTCCCATACTGAGAGACATGCAGGTGTCATCATGCACAATGCATTTCAACCCAATAGACAGGTATTTTGGAACAGCTCTGTGTTCCTGAGACTGCGGTTCGATCCCCAGCTGCCCTCCACTTTCAACTCTTTATATCTCCTTCATCTCAACCAATCAATAAAATGCATTTTATAAAAGCCCTTTTTACATCAGCAGTTCTCACAAAGTGCTTTACAGATAACCAGCCCAAAACCCCAAAGAGCAAGCAATGCACAGGCAGAAGCACAGTGGCTAGGAAAAACACCTTAGAAGGTAAGAATGTAGGAAGAAACCTAGAGAGGAACCAGGCTCTGAGGGGTGGCCAGTCCTCTCCTGGCTCATCTCTCCCCTCACTCATTCTAGAGAGGAACCAGGCTCTGAGGGGTGACCAGTCCTCTCCTGGCTGTTCTCTCCCCTCTCTCATTCTAGAGAGGAACCAGGCTCTGAGGGGTGACCAATCCTCTTCTGGCTCTTCTCTCCCCTCTCTCATTCTAGAGAGGAACCAGGTTCTGAGGGGTGACCAGTCCTCTCCTGGCTGTTCTCTCCCCTCTCTCATTCTAGAGAGGAACCAGGCTCTGAGGGGTGACCAGTCCTCTCCTGGCTCTTCTCTCTCATTCTAGAGAGGAACCAGGCTCTGAGGGGTGACCAGTCCTCTCCTGGCTCATCTCTCCCCTCTCTCATTCTAGAGAGGAACCAGGCTCTGAGGGGTGACCAGTCCTCTCCTGGCTCATCTCTCTCATTCTAGAGAGGAACCAGGCTCTGAGGGGTGGCCAGTCCTCTCCTGGCTCATCTCTCCCCTCTCTCATTCTAGAGAGGAACCAGGCTCTGAGGGCGACCAGTCCTCTCCTGGCTGTTCTCTCCCCTCTCTCATTCTAGAGAGGAACCAGGCTCTGAGGGGTGGCCAGTCCTCTCCTGGCTCATCTCTCCCCTCTCTCATTCTAGAGAGGAACCAGGCTCTGAGGGGTGACCAGTCCTCTCCTGGCTCATCTCTCCCCTCTCTCATTCTTCCCTATATCTATCACAATAAAAAACAATGAAAGACGTCTTGTGTCTATACACAGTACATACAGTACCTGGATATTTTGTTGACCTCTCTGTGGTTCATGGTGCTCAGGACAGAGGAGTCCCCCACCCTCTTCCTGATCCACAGCTCTATCCCTATCCGTGTGTAGAGAAACAACATGGCTGCCATGGGCATCAGGAACAGAGCTACCATGATAAAGGTGGTGTACACCTGCCTGTGGGTCAGGGAAAGCCAACGTTCCTGACAACACACGTGGTGGTGGTCGTACAGGAAGTCATACTTCACCTGGGAACGGAGGGGGGAAACACATCAATTCATCATTCAAATCAAAGCTTTTGGTTTTCTGGAGTGATTCTGAAAGTGATCGATTTGGTTAGGTTAGGTTAGGTTAGGTTAGGTTAGGTTAGGTTAGGTTAGGTTAGGTTTGGTTAGGTTAGGTTAGGTTAGGTCAGCTTCTTAGGTGCCGTGATGTTTACTGTAATATTTTTGGATTTGATTTTAAGCTACAGTAGTTGTGATGGGAGGGGCTTGTCATACCTCTAGTTGCTGTACAAACAGCATTGGGGATCCCACAACCACTGATGCACTCCATACAAGTCCTACACAAAGAAGACATGATCAATACAAATGACTTCTTTACGATACCACAAGTAATAAATCATGTACTGTACACATATGAAGAGTTTATTTCCAAAACGCTATATCCATCAATTTTTCACATTTGTGGTTTTTTTTCATCAGAAATGATTGCTTATGGGTACCTTCATGTGTATAAAATATGACTGTTCTAGTACGCTCAACTGAAAGGATGCAGTTCGTTTACAGTATACTAAACTGAACTAATAGTATGTAGTATATACTCATTAAGTATGTAGTATACAGTATGTTAGTGTGGGTATTTGAACACAGCTCTAGTGATAGATAACTAATACATGTCTGTCATTTAACAACCCCATGCCATGATTAGGTAGTGAATAAACACAATCTATTTCAGAAGTTTTTTTTTTTTTTTTTTAAAAAGCTAATTTACCAACATTTCTGAAAGTTGATATACAGTGCCTATAGCAAGTCTACACCCCTTCCCCCCCCCCCCCCCTTTTTTTTTGGGGGGGGGGGGGTCAGTGCCTCAGAGCTTAATGCATTTAAATAAGGATTTGTTTTCATCACTTATCTACAGAGCATACTCCAAAATTTAACCATAACTGAAGAACTCTCATTGGCTACTGTCTTCTCACAATGTCTGTACCTAGTGACCTTTAGTCATCTCCTTTCTCTTCTTCTCCTCTCTCCTCTCTCATTTCTCCTCTTCCCCACTCTCCCTTCTCTGCCGTACACCATTAACACAAAAGCATAAAAAAAGAGTGTTTATTTTTGAAAGCATACCTAGCATCTTGTATGCTCTTTTCGGCGTGTATTGCCTCCTCATTTTCAAGGGGTAGACAATGCCCTGGTAGCGCTCTACGGCGATGCAGGTCATTGTGAGAATCCCTGTGACGATGGCCGTGGTCTGGACAAAAGGAATCGTCTTGCAGACGAGAACACCTAGGAGGAGAAAGGGGTTAGAAGTGTCACTCAAAAACACACTCTGCAGAGATCAAGCAGAAGCTTCTCCAAAAGTATTTCTCTCATTGGCTGCGTTTACACAGCCCAAATTCGGGATCTTTTTTTCACTAATTGGTCTTTTGACCAATCAGATCACCAATTCAAACGAAAATAGGCTATTTTGTGACAATTCACAGTATAAGCTATATCACAAAACGAATGTGATATTGCTTGCTCTAAATATTGTGTTTAATATTCAAAAAGGGGAAATAACTCTCAAGCCACCTATAAACCCTAATGCTAAGGGCTGTCCGGCAACCCAGAACATGGTTTAAAAACGGTTTACTTAGACTACAACTATGGAAATAAAATAGTCTATAAGGTAATGCTCTGTAGTCTATTACTTCCTCCGTTGGATGGTTTTTAATGTCAACATGGGCGGCAGGTAGCTTAGTGGTTAAGAGCGTTGTACCAGGAACCGAAAGGTCGCTGGTTCTAATCCCCGAGCCGACTAGTTGAAAAATCTGTCGATGTGCCCTTGAACAAGGCACTTAACCCTAATTGCGTCTGGATAAGAGCGTCTGCTAAATGACTAAAAAAAAACTTTAAAAAAAACATTTTGAGTGACGCCCATCAATTCATTCAACTGTAGAAGGCACCAGAAGGCAATAAACTGAGATTCTCTTGAAATTATAAAAGGTGCTCTGCAAACACAACCCATTCATTAACCAACGACTGTCAAGGCTCAGAATAGAATAGAATGTTCTTAAACTACTACCAGGTTGAATGTGTATCCATATTATTTTAAGAAGAAAAAAACGATTATATATAGGCTTCTAAAGTTTATTCAAACTATCAATGTCAGCAGGCACCCACTGCACAGACGTCAATTCAACGTCTATTCCACGTTGGTTCAACGTTATTTCGTCGAAATGACGTGAAAACAAATGTGGATTCAACCAGTAGGCATGCAGTGCAGAGCAGACAGGTGTTTTGATGGAATCGTGGAACATAGGAACTCACCTCCGAGCCATTCCGAGGAGATGTTCTGCAACAAGGTGAACGGGATGCAGAAGAATGTGATAAGAAGGTCGCTCACCGCCAGAGAACAGATGAAAATATTAGTAGCGGTCTGCATTGCTCTTTTAAGCACCACTATGTAGACAACCAAGCTGTTCCCAACCAGAGCCAGGGCGAAAATGGTAGCGTACATAATCACGAAAGTTGTCTTCGCGCCCAACGGCAGCTCAGGGACGTAGACAAGCGGCTGTATGTTGTAAGACTCGATGAACTCTTGTCGCGTTAAGTTGTAATATTGTAGCATCTCTTGCAGAACCTCGGGCGTTATTTTCGTGGACCCCATTTCTGTTGCCGTTATCATTTTATAGGAGTTGATTTAAATTATCACAGTCCAGTAGGACAGCCACTACAGATGTATTTCCCCGCCCGACAATTGTGTTTTATTCACGCGTGGCTGATTAGGCTATTCCAAGCAGTGCGCACTGTGCGCTCCTCCAAAAAAAAAAAAAAACATTTCCACTGTGCATTTCTCCCGTGTTCAGAGTCAAGAGGAGAGTTTCTGAGTGACTCCTTCTGGCCTATACTGCATGTTGTTAGTCTGCTGTTATTGCTGTAGGCTAATAACCTCTGTCCGTCAAGTGGTGGAACCCCCCAATTAGCTGTCATTCCAGTCGTCAAAAGACAGAACGAACACACGCACGCACGCACGCACGCACACACACACAGCTTTATGGAAACGGATGCATTTATTTCTGCTTTTCATCATGTAGCCTATACAAGATAGAGGTCTCACGAAAAGGTAATTCCTGGTTTTGATCAGTGTGTTCCATTTGCTGAACTAGTCAATCAACTTCTCTATCCTTGCATTTATTAGAGTTAGTTACATAGTCGTTTGTTTTTGTTATACAGTGCTCTTCAGAGGTGTGCATTTCGACAACAAACTTAAATTGCGGATTCTATTATAAAGGCCTATTTCAGAACTGTTAAGGGGATTTTGACAAGGGTTCTGTCTTTCAATCAAATGTTCTGTACATATAGTACTTTAAGTACAGCCTGCATGAACATTATAATTGGACTCAAAATATATATGGATTTATGCATTGGGTGCAAGTTACCCATTGTTTATTAGGGATGATTTTCTATATTGTGTTGAGAGCTGAGTCTCCTAGCAACATGGGAAACATTGGACCCTAAGTGAGAGGCTGAAGACTGTGGGGAGCAGTGGCGATTTTAGCATGTAAATCTTGGTGGGGCAAATAAATAATAATGTGGGATGCATGCCAGCAAAGCTACTACACAACACTAAACAATACATTCATTGCACTAAAACGGTGACAAACGGTGCCCACAAACTGTTAGGGCCTACATAAAGCTGTCCCAACAGCAGAATCCCAACAGCAGTCCCAACATCTTACCACTGCTACACCTGGCTATCAGCGGAGCCTTGTCTGGCAGCGAAAAAGTTCATTCAGCCTCATTTACTGCCTTTAAAAAAACATAGCTGATATGGCTGACTTGGTTAAACAAATGTGGTTTCTACTGACAATTGAGATGTCCAAACTATGGCATAAGGGGACGACGAGCGGATAAGAGGCTATCCGTAATTTCAATTAAGACATTAATGAGCGAGCTAGGACAGACGCAGTCAATATAACTATTTGTTCAGCACTTTTGAAATATACAGCGACAGAATTCAGAACATGGGCCGTTCTTACAGTGTTCTCCCTGTACACCAAGTCAGAACCGTAGGATAAATAAAGGGGGCATATAAGCAGACAATGAAAGCTCTTACAATATTCGATGATTACATTTCTCTAAAACAGGCTATAGGCTACATGTGCACCACCAAGTCAGAACAGTAGGCGAAATTAAGAGGGGAAAATAGACCAAATTATTAGGGTGAGGCACATGGACTACAAACAGCTTACTACACAACATACACTTAGTATTACTTTCTTAGCTACAGTATACATATCTCCCTGGCATATTACATCATTTATGCAGCAGCATACAATACATTTTTGGACTCAGCTTGTTGTTGCTGTGCTCACTTGACCAGGAAGGTGGCGCGACGGTCCTTCAAACTTGTCATCAAACTTTGTCATCAAAGTCTGGCATGCTCTAGATTTATGGTGCTTTCAAGACAACTGGGAACTTGGAAAAAACAAGGTCGAATCATGATGACGTTAGTGATCTTCAGGTCATAGCTCTAGAAAGAGGCCTGAGTTCCGGATTTACAATTCCGAGTTGGATGACCGTTAAACTTATTTTCCCAGTCGGAGCTAGTTTTTTCCCCGAGTTCCCAGTTGTCTTGAAAGCACCATAAATCCAGAGAATGCCACTGAAGTCAGATTTCGCAGTTCCGTGTTAACAGTTGTTTTGAGCGCGGCACAAATCATGCTTAATTGACAGCATGGCCAATGTTGAATGTTTATCATTTTAAACTTGGAAAATAGACCCTTAAACCCAGACTTGGACCACACAGCCACTCCACTGAATAACAGGCTAGTGATTGCTTTGCAGGGCTTGCAGTTATCCACTGATTCCTTCCAAACCACTCATTGTTGAATTTGCGATTTCCAACTTGTCCTGTAATGTTTATGTCCAATGGCGGATGAGCACCGATACGTTTTATCTATAATTTCTCTTCATTATTTCTCTTCATATGACAAGGATTAAAAAGGATTTGCCAGTAGATTGTCGACTTGATTCATGATGACTGCTAGCTAAGATTTTGAAAGCATGATGTTGACATGATCAGTCCAATCAAAGCTACTGTAGATTTAACGTGATTTGACGTCCTTTTATCTGTGGCCAATGACCTTGAGCCTTCTTGGATGGGCACTTCTAATGTAACTCTATGGCAGCACCCAAGGGGCTTGAATTTTCGAGCTCTATCCTTAGACTTGGCGGTGACGTAGTGTCCCCATGAGTGACAGAACACTGAGCCAATCACGGCGAAACTAGAGAACATTACCAACCCCTACGCTCTGTATTTTCCGCTGGCTGCCCCACCACCACAGAAAGCACTGAGCTAGGCTGAAACACCTGCATTTTGGAGCTGCCTTACTCAAGAAAGCAAAAAAAGAGACCATGTTTGTATGCTGCTTTATTAACTCAATGATTATTAATATTTTTTACATTGTTTGCAAACTGATATATGACACGTATTAATGGCAAAATAACAAGCAAAACAAGAGGCTTAGTAGATCAGGGATCATCAACTAGATTCAGCCGCGGGCCAATTTTTTCTAGAGCGGATGGTCGGGGGGCCAGAACATAATTACAAATCATTGTAGACTTCAATTTGACCGCAAGAATCCCAAACAGATAAAATATTTGACAAAAACATGACAATTTCAAACCTTGCTCACATTTGTATACGATCAAACTTGGTGGGGCAAATAAAAACACCGGCCCACGGGCCGCCAGTTGGGGAACCATGCTGTAGACTGTGGGAAGACTGTAGACTGTGGGAAGATTGTAGACTGTGAGGAGGCTGTAGACTGTGGGAAGATTGTAGACTGTGGGAAGATTGTAGACTGTGGGAAGATTGTAGACTGTGGGAAGATTGTAGACTGTGAGGAGGCTGTAGACCGTGCGCAGGCCGAATTCGGCCTGTGGGTGGTGTTTCCAATGACATCATCAACCAATTAGTAGACAATTAGTAGGCTATGGCTACTCACAATTGGTCAAAATCACACAATGCACACCGATGATGTCATTGGAAACACTTATCTTCCTCTATCTTCTTTACTACAAAACATAGAAAGGCTCAATTTTCCCAGATGTTGATGTTGGGGTGGTGCTGGAGATGATGAATATGAAGTTGAAACATGGTGAAGTTTCCCTTTAACATGTGAAAAGGCCTCAGTGATGTTGTTTTGCACCCGTGCATTTGACTTCTCCCTCAATGTAATCTCTCTCAGACAATCATTAAATCACACGAGTCATGGCTGAATATCTTATTATTCCTCTGTTTTCATATTGTTTTATTACGATCTATTTAAATTTCTTAATTAAACCACATCATATTTTTTTTTGGGGGGGGGACATTTAGAACTATGACAATGTATCTTCTATCATTTCCCTTAGTTGTTTGTCAAGCAAGCAACGTACCAAGTAGGCTACAGTTTTGCTGTCTATATCAGTGCACAGAATGCTTCTAACATGGACAAAGTTCGCCCACCCGGGGCACCGGGCGATGGAAAACAAACGCACCCACTTAAAAAGAGTGAAAGAGCGATTCAATAACCAATTACGCAACCATTTAACCAACGGCAAAGGTCGATTTTGGAAATTAAAACACAATGACCTTACGTTGAATATTTGGACGGCCAGAGAACTAACAGTAAGAGCTATACAGTCATTTAGGCCCGGGATTCAATCCAAACCTGTGACATTTAAAGACCATTTCCAACTGAGCCGACATCTGCAGTGTTTACCATGAATGTGATCACCCGGGGGGGAGCTGCGTTGTCGCCAAGCGGGATCGGATTGAACCCCGACCTAAATGAGTGTCTAGCTCTTACTGTTAGTTCTCTGGCCGTCAAAAAATCATGATACGTTTATTCAATGTTAGCGTCACTGGTGTAGGTCATTGTTTTTAAATTTCCATGAAAATGTACCTCGCCGTTGATTAATTGGTCATCTGTTGCCACCAACAACGCTCTGTATACTATAGCAACACATCACTCCTCATTTACATATCGCATGTTCCCTAAAGCAGCTGAAGAAATTGCTTTGAAATTGGAATAGCTTCATACCAAGCTGAGGTATCTAGGCTAAGGCCCTTCTCATTAGGGACCTCCCCTGCCTAAATAGGAGGTTAAATCAAATGAAATAAAATGGTAACTATACAGTTGCCCCACACACTGAGGACGGCCAAGCTGAAACATTCCGTGTGTGGCAAGACATGTTGCTAGGAGATTAAGAAAAAGCTTCCATTGCAGCTTGTATCAAATGAGGGCTGGCATTTTTCATTTTGTTTGTGATTACATAATGATAACTGAAAAGGCTATGGTTACTGGCTATGCGATAATGGATTTACGGATATCTGTTGACTTTGATATCGATAATATAACTTTGGATAGCCACACAGCGTGTCAAAACCTGCTTTTCATTACCACTAACTGGGTTATAAAACATTGTTGAGAAGTACTTTACTTATTCCGGCCAGTACTGGTTGGTCTATCATCTGTGGCTAACTGTGGATCCTCCTGTACAGCTCAGTTGGTAGAGTAGGAGTAGGTCTCTTCCCTGTGGCTCCCTGTGGTTCCTCCTGTACAGCTCAGTTGGTAGAGTAGGAGTAGGTCTCTTCCCTGTGGCTAACTGTGGTTCCTCTGATGGATGTCTTCTTTATGTACGGCTCAGTTAGTAGAGCATTTCGCTTGCAAAGCCAGGATTATGAACAGTAATGAAGAAGAACCTGTCAGACCTCAGATAGACAGTAATGAAGAAGAACCTGTCAGACCTCAGATAGACAGTAATGAAGAAGAACCTGTCAGACCTCACATAGACAGTAATGAAGAAGAACCTGTCAGACCTCAGATAGACAGTAATGAAGAAGAACCTGTCAGACCTCACATAGACAGTAATGAAGAAGAACCTGTCAGACCTGGCTAGCTAGATTATTACGATTCACATATCTAGCTGATGATTATGAAGTAAATCGTTTGCTTTGTGTATATCTTGTTTGGTCTCTATTATTGCCATTGTCCTGGCTGGGAGAAGGTTCAGTGAATGGGGAGATGCAGCGTGAGGTAATACATTAGGGGGAGTGCGAGTGCTTCTCAAATGTTTTAATGCATTCTCCACACTCTCGTCCTCACAAGAACGTACTCAGGAGAATACACTTGGAGCATGTGGGTGTGGAGCACGGTAGTATACATATTGAGAAAGACCCACAGACTGACCAGGTGAATCCAGGTGAAAGCCATGATACCTTGTGGATGTCACTTGTTAAATCCACTTGTTAAATCAGTGTAGATGAAGGGGAGGAGACAGGTTAAATAAGGATGTTTAAGCCTCGAGACAATTGAGACATGGTTACTTTGCCAAGTCAGCCATTAGAATTCTGCTTTCATATTGGTTGTGGAGGTTATTAATTGAACTGAGTACATTGAGAGGTTATTAATTGTACTGAGTCACCACTGGGTATGCTTTCTAAACAGGTCCCCACCCGAAAACACACACACACGTACACACACACACAGGCACACACACACACACACACACACAGGTATACACACACAGGTACACACACACAGGTACACACACAGACGCTGGCAGGTTACACACAGACTCAGGTTGGAGGCAGACAGAGGGCTGTTGGTAGGTGGTCGTTTGGCAGCTTTTTCCTGACTACACCACATCACCTGTAGGACAACTGATCCTTCAGCTGCAGTGATTGGCCAGTTACAGCATGTCATGTCTGACATCACTATTGTTCACGATTTGCACCCATGCAGCTTGGCCACGGCATCCCCGTTTTTGGTCATCTTTGCAGTGGAGAGACATTATCAATCATTTATTCAAATAACTAAAAAAAGAGGAAACACGTTTGCACAGTAAGAAGTCAAGCTCTCCTTTTCAAAGTGGCTAGACTGGAGCAGTCAGAGGTTTTACCCAAGGTGAGTTGTCGGGCGATTGTTGCCAGTGGTTGTCATGGGTTGTCAGAGCAGCACTGGACTCTCAGCTCCTCTCGCTCCCCAGAGTGATGTGATACAGTACTGTAGCAACACCAGAGAGATGGCAGGGGGTGTCAGTAGGACTGTGAGTGATGTGATACAGTACTGTAGCAACACCAGAGAGATGGCAGGGGGTGTCAGTAGGACTGTGAGTGATGTGATACAGTACTGTAGCAACACCAGAGAGATGACAGGGGGTGTCAGTAGGACTGTGAGTGATGTGATACAGTACTGTAACAACACCAGAGAGATGGCAGGGGGTGTCAGTAGGACTGTGAGTGATGTGATACAGTACTGTAGCAACACCAGAGAGATGGCAGGGGGTGTCAGTAGGGCTGTGAGTGATGTGATACAGTACTGTAACAACACCAGAGAGATGGCAGGGCGTGTCAGTAGGGCTGTGAGTGATGTGATACAGTACTGTAGCAACACCAGAGAGATGGCAGGGGGTGTCAGTAGGGCTGTGAGTGATGTGATACAGTACTGTAGCAACACCAGAGAGATGGCAGGGGGTGTCAGTAGGACTGTGAGTGATGTGATACAGTACTGTAGCAACACCAGAGAGATGGCAGGGGGTGTCAGTAGGGCTGTGAGTGATGTGATACAGTACTGTAGCAACACCAGAGAGATGACAGGGGGTGTCAGTAGGGCTGTGAGTGATGTGATACAGTACTGTAGCAACGCCAGAGAGATGGCAGGGGGTGTCAGTAGGGGCTGTGAGTGATGTGATACAGTACTGTAGCAACACCAGAGAGATGGCAGGGGGTGTCAGTAGGGCTGTGAGTGATGTGATACAGTACTGTAGCAACACCAGAGAGATGACAGGGGGTGTCAGTAGGGCTGTGAGTGATGTGATACAGTACTGTAGCAGCACCAGGGGATGTGGTCCGCTGTATGAGGTGACAGGAGGTGTTAGTTGTAGTTGTCCATGGCACCAGGGGATGTGGTCCGCTGTATGAGGTGACAGGGGGTGTTAGTTGTAGTTGTCCATGGCACCAGGGGATGTTGTCCGCTGTATGAGGTGACAGGGGGTGTTAGTTGTAGTTGTCCATGGCACCAGTGGATGTGGTCCGCTGTATGAGGTGACAGGGGGTGTTAGTTGTAGTTGTCCATGGCACCAGGGAGTGTTAGTTGTAGTTGTCCATGGCACCAGGGGGTGTTAGTTGTAGTTGTCCATGGCACCAGGGGGTGTTAGTTGTAGTTGTCCATGGCACCAGGGGGTGTTAGTTGTAGTTGTCCATGGCACCAGGGGGTGTTAGTTGTAGTTGTCCATGGCACCAGGGGGTGTTAGTTGTAGTTGGCAATGGCACCAGGGGGTGTTAGTTGTAGTTGTCCATGGCACCAGGGGGTGTTAGTTGTAGTTGTCCAATGCTGGTTTCTAGGACAGAGGGTTGTCCAATGTAACAGTACCAGAGTGGATGGCAGGCGGTGTGAATGGGATTTTACCATGGGTGTGAATGGGATTTTACCATGGGTGTGAATGGAATTGTTCCATGGGTGTGAATGGGATTTTACCATGGGTGTGAATGGGATTTTACCATGGGTGTGAATGGGATTTTACCATGGGTGTGAATGGGATTTTACCATGGGTGTGAATGGGATTTTACCATGGGTGTGAATGGGATTTTACCATGGGTGTGAATGGGATTGTTCCATGGGTGTGAATGGGATTTTACCATGGGTGTGAATGGGATGCTACCATGGGTGTGAATGGGATTTTACCACGGTTGTGAATGGGATTTGTTTCGGTTTTTAGGGCATGGGGTGTGTGACTGTGAGTGGTGCTTGTTCAGAGTTGCTCTCCGGGGCTCTGATGAGCGTCACCCAGCAGCTGCCCTTTATAACATGTGTGTGTCCCCAATGGCACCATATTCTCCACATGGATCTGGCCGAAAGTAGTGCGCTATGTAGGGAATAGGGTGCCATTTGGAACGCATCCATGGAGCAGCTCGTTAGGCCACAGCTCCACAGATGGAGGGCTGCTAGCCAGGGCATGATGGGCCCAGGTCCGCCTCACGGCTGCTTATTAGCACGATGATGAGACCGATACTCCGTGGGGTTATTGTGACGCGTACAAGTGGCATAGTGGTGGCTGCATCATGTAATGGGTATGCTTGTAATCGTTAAGGACGGGAGTTTTTCAGGATAAAAAATACATGGAATGGAGCTAAGCACAGGCAAAATCCTAGAGGAAAACCTAGTTCAGTCTGCTTTCCAACAGACACTGGCAGATGAATTCACCTTTCAGCAGGACATAACCTAAATCACAAGGCCAAATCTACGCTGGAGTTGCTTACCAAGAAGTGAATGTTCCTGAGTGGCAGAGTTACAGTTTTGACTTAAATATGCTTGAAAATCTATGGCAATACTTGAAAATGGTTGTCTAGCAATGATCCACAACCATCTTGACGGAGCTTGAAGAATTCTAGAAATAATAATGGGCAAATATTGTACAATCCAGGTGTGCAAAGCTCTTAGAGACTTACCCAGAAAGACTCCCAGCTGTAACCGCTGCCAAAGGTGATTCTAACATGTAGGGATTCAGGGGTGTGAATACTTACGTAAATGAGATATTCAAGACATGACTAAAGATAGAATCCCAAGTGAAGAACATGATGCAACTGAATGAAGCCTATATCATGGAGCAGAGGGTATAACATCATATAACGGCACATAACATTTAGTGATTCAAATAATAAACAACTTTGTAACGTTTAATGACACAGATCAAAAGGAGGTAAATGGAAGTCATTATAAAATCCAAGGCACGCTTCAAATTTGTAAACATTTAAATGCAATGGTTTTATTTACATTGGCATATACACAAGGACGAGTGACTCTGACTACGTCGAAATGAGCCCCAGTTCACACATAAAGACATTTTAATTTGGACTAATTCACAGAGTGCCTTGGAATTGTATTGTGGAAAATTACTCTATATTAACTTCATGTTGATGCTTATAAAAATCAGAAACTGTTGTCGAGGAAAGGTTAAAGCTACAAAATGTCTTCTTCTATGGCGGAGGCGGGAGCGTTACTTGGGTGAGAACAAGTCGAGAAGATTATTATTTAAATTGTTCTGACCCAAGAACGACTTCCACCTCTGCCATTCTAAAAATACCTATTGTAATTATATAGCTTTAACTTTTTCCTCCAAAAGGTACAGTGAGGGAAAAAAGTATTTGATCCCCTGCTGATTTTGTACGTTTGCCCACTGACAAAGACATGATCAGTCTATAATTTTAATGGTAGGTTTATTTGAACAGTTAGAGACAGAATAACAACAACAAAATGTAATTACACTCTGAAGCACTTTCATACTTTCAAATACTTTTTTTGCATCCCAAATGGAACCCTATTGCCTACATTCATGTGACCAAGAAGTAGGAAGCAGGATGTTTGGAGTGGTGATACGGTTGGCTCTTGTAGCCAGGACCACTATTTCTGACCTGAGTATAAGCATTTCAGACTCCTCTGTTTTGGAGACAGATCCGGAGATGGCCGGTCAAGCCATGAAATGCGAGAGCTGTGATATGTTTACCATAGTGAAAGAGGAAGAACTGACTGACATACATTTGTGAACTGTGTAAGTAACTCATTGCCACATAAGATCGGATCATTGAACTACCAGAGGAGAACAGGGTCCTAAAATAATGTCTCTCTCTGGCTAAGGAGACTTCAAGACTGCATTGGACTGTGTTCCAAGGTAGTATCCTTAGTCGCTACTGCAGAGGAGCCCAATCTCATAGAGCAACCTGGATTATCCCCTCGGTCAGTTAGAATTGTCACAGCAACAACACTTTAACATATTAACACATTCCACCGACGAGAACAAGAGAACTACAGCATCTTGCTCTCCACCATCGGAGGAAAAGTGGAATGGAGTTGGAGGTAAGAGAGGAGGAATATTCCAACGTATCCTCACGGCTCTGAGCCCCGCTTCACCGTGGCCCTCCGACGAGGTCCCCCTGCGGCTCCCCCAGTCCTTCCCAGCCCCACTTCACCGGGGCCCTCTGACAAGGTCCCCCTGCGGCTCCCCCAGTCCTTCCCAGCCCCACTTCACCGGGGCCCTCCGACGAGGTCCCCCTGCGGCTCCCCCAGTCCTTCCCAGCCCCACTTCACCGGGGCCCTCTGACGAGGTCCCCCTACGGCTCCCCCAGTCCTTCCCACTCCACCATCGTACTGCTACAGGTATCCATATTCCCAGTGATTATTGACATTATGATTATTGGCATTGTCAGTGATAATCATGTGGCCACAAATTTGAATTCCACTATTATCTCTGTTACTGTTAGCCTAAATGGGAAGTCAACTGTTAAAAAACAGATTAAAAAAAACAGATAAAAATACACCTTATGGAACAGCGGGGACTGTGAAGCAACACAAACAGACACATGCCTACAAACACACGATAACATACACACTATACACACTACACACACTACACACACTATACACACTATACACTCTATACACACTACACACACTACACACACTACACACACTATACACACTATACACACTACACACACTACACACACTATACACACTATACACACGTACACATGGATTATATGTTATAGATATGTGGTAGTAGAGTAGAGGCCTGAGGGCACACACTTAATATGTTGTGAAATCTGTTATGAATGTATTGTAATGTTTTTAAAATGTATAACTGCCTTAATTTTGCTGGACCCCAGGAAGAGTAGCTGCTGCCTTGGCATAATGTGGATCCATAATAAATACAAATACAAATCTCTGTTACTGTTAGCCCAAATGGGAAGTCCACTGTAGTCAGCTCATCCAGTGCTATTATTTAAAATACCTACAGTGCCTTCAGAAAGTATTCACACCCCTTGACGGATTCCACATTTTGTTATGTTACAGCTGGAATTCAAAATTGATTAAATATATGTTTTTTTCCCACCCATCTACACACAATACCCCATAATAACAAAATGAAAACATGTTTTAGAAAGTTTAGCAAATGTATTGAAAATGAAATACAGAAATATCCAATTTACATAAGTATTCACAACACTTTGCTATGACACTCCAAATTGATGCTCAGATGCATCCCATTTCCTTTGATCGTCCTTGAGATGTCACTACAACTTGATTGGAGTCCACCTGTGACCAATTCAATTGTTTGGACATGATTTAGAAAGAAACACACCTGGTCCCACAGTTGACGGTGCATGTCAGAGCAGAAACTATACCATGAAGTCCAAGGAACTGTCCATGGATCTCTGAGTTAGAATTGTGATGAGGCATACAGTGCTGTGAAAAAGTATTTGCCCCCTTTCTAATTTTCTCAACTTTAGCATAATTTTGATACTGAATGTTATCAGATCTTCAACCAAATAATAGATAAAGGGAACCTGAGTGAACAAATAACACAACAATTACAAACTTATTTCATTTATTTCATAAACAAAGTTATGCAACACCCAATGCACCCTGTGTGAAAAAGTAATTGCCCCCTTACACTCAATAACTGGTTGTGCAATGACTCCAAACAAACGCTTCCTGTAGTTGTTGATCAGTCTCTCAAGTTGCTGTGGAGGAATTTTGTCCCACTCTTCCATGCAGAACTGCTTTAACTCAGTGACATTTATGGGTTTTCAAGGATGAACTGCTCATTTCAAGTCCTGCCACAACATCTCAATTGGGATTTGGTAAAAACGTCAATTATTTTTATTTTTAGCCATTTCCATGTAGACTTGATGTTTTGGATCATTGTCTTGCTGCATGACCCAACTGCGATTCAGCTTCAGCTCACAGACGGATGGCCTGACATTCTCCTGTAGAATTCTCTGATACAGAGCAGAATTCATGGTTCCTTCTATTAAGGCAAGTCGTCCAGGTCCTGAGGCAGCAAAGCATCCCCAAACCATCACACCACCACCACCATGCTTGACCTTTGGTATGATGTTCTTACTGTGGGGGGCCAGTATAAAAAAAATAATTAAACAAATTTATTCACTAACTGTAAGTCGCTCTGGATAAGAGCGTCTGCTAAATGACTTAAATGTAAATGTAATGTAAATGAATGCAGTGTTTGGTTTTCGCCAGGCATAATGGGACCCATCTCATCCAGAAAGTTATACTTTTGACACATCTGTCCATAGAACATTCTTCCAAGAGTCTTGATGATCATCCAGGTGCATTCTTGGCAAACTTGAGTCAACTTTCTGGACGAGTTGATTCCCATTATGTCTGGCGAAAACCGAACACTGCATTCCACAGTAAGAACCTCATACCAACGGTCAAGCCTGGTGGTGGTATACTTATATATTTTGGGGGGTAAACTCAGGTTCCCTTTATCTAATATTAGGTTTTCGTTGAAGATCTGATAACATTCAGTATAAAAAATATGCAGAAATAGAGATAATCTGAAAAAGGGCAAATACTTTTTCACGGCACTGTATATCTGGGGAAGGCTATAAAACAATTGATCGAGTGATGAACGTTTCCAAGAACACAGTGGTCTCCATCATTGGAAATATGAAACAAATATGGAACTACCCAGACTCTGCCTAGAGCTGGCCGTCTTGAAGATTGCTGTTCACCAATCTAACTTAACAGAGCTTGAGAAAATCTGCAAGGAAGAATGGGAGAAAATCCCCAAATCCAGATGGGTATCTGCATCAGCTTAGTACAAGACGACTCAAAGCTGTGATCACTGACAAGGGTGCTTCTACAAAGTATTGACTCAGGAGTGTGAATACACTTATGTAAAGTTGGGGTATTGTGTGTAGATGGGTGAGAAAACAAATCTATTTAATCCATTTAGAATTCAGACTGTAACACAACAAAATGTGGAATCAAGTCAAGGGGTATGAATACTTTCTGAAGGCACTGTATTTGCTTGAAAATCAGAGACAAGGTTTGAATATTGCTGTCCATCAATGATTCCCAACCAAGTTTACTAAGGTTGAGCAATTTAGACAAAAACAATGGATGGATGTTGCCCTACGAGTTGTGCAAAGTTGGTGAATAATTTTCAATAAGATTTTACAACTGTAATGGCTGCCAAAGGTGCTTCCACCAAGTATTAAGTCTGGACTGTGAAGACTTATGCAAAGATGTCTTCGTTTCTTAAAAAAATATATATGAATTTGAAATTTTTTATATAATTTGTATTTCACTTTGAAAATGTGGAGTAAAATAGATTTGTGTCTTGGGAGTGTGGTTTGATGTGGGTATGGTATGTTCACTTTATCTTAAACTGGCAGTAATGTTGTTTGTCACCGTCCCAAACAGGCCACTGTACCGAATGGCTTAGCAACCGCGTGACGCAGCATGACAATGTGAACGTGATTGGTCAGGGAAGCGTTCTTCGAGCATACTGCATTTCCTGCTTTCTAGAGGTAGATATCTTTAATGAAAGTTGTGTTTGTGATGCGAACGTTAGCTCACAAATGTGAAGGTGTTTGAGTTGGAGAAACCCAAACTGTTTATAAAAAAACAACTCTCGTTCTTTCAACATAATATTTGCGGAGATCACTTCTTTATATTGTTGCCTAAACAAGTCTGAGGCGCTGCGCGCTAATGGTTAGTTTGGCTGTCCATAAATAAATGGGCGGGTTGTAGGTTGATTCTGGTGAGCGATTGGATAGCGAACAATACAGCGCACCAGGCAGCTGTGTTCTGGATCATTTGATTACTGCCAGCCTTGATTAGACTATGCCAGGTCAGAGTTCCCATGTGGGCAGAGTCGAAATCCAAACCCAACCCTCATGTAAGATGTGACATCCTCAGTTACACAAATCTCACAAAACTCAGTTTTGGAACTTTATGACCAAAATTATCTAACGTTTTTTGTCAATTCTGCCACATAGGCCGTTTTCAACCAGAAAATTAGTTTTGTCTGCGTTCAATTGCACTTTAAGGCAGCAAAATGTGAAGACTGTGCAATGGGTGTGAAGACTGTGCAATGGGTGTGTAGACTTTCACTAGGCACTGTGTGTGTATAGTGCATTAATATATTTGACATGATCTTGTCCTCTCCTCTCTAAGCTTACTCTTCTGTCTTCCAGAGATGATTGGGGAGGCTGAGGTGCTTGAGGTCCAACCTGAAACCCCCCTGAAACTAAGCAACATCTTCCCCAGGATGACAGGAATGACCAGTGTGATCAGAACGGCTCCTTTCCATTGTTATGCTTTTGTTTTCATGATAGATCCACCATCTGTACCTAATGTAGTTAGTGTGAAACATAGGATTACATATTAGAAAATAGTCATTTAATAGGATCTCTAAACGTTATCTTATATACTAGTTCATCTGTATTATCATGAGCCACTATTATGTAACACAGTTGTTATGGTTGAATGGTTGTTACAGTGTCAAACAACTCAGAGACAATTTAGTCAGATTATTGGGCCACTTTTGTGTGATTTTTGTATTATCATTTGCTTGGCATACTTTCTCTTACAGCCGTGTGTATCTAGCTGCTTGGCACGCAAAGCCAAGCTAGATAATGATCTATAATGAGCTATCTGGATAAATAGGCTGTTTATTTCACAATGATTTATTATATCTCTTAAAATAGATGTGCAATATACAAAGCCTTTGAATGGTCCCCTACCCCTGGCCAGCAGGTTTCTATTCAATCCATTAAGCCCAATTAATTCATCCTGATTATATAAAACGGGGCATTATGCTAGCTTCAAAATCCATATATCTGGATGTTGGATTCTCTTTCACACATCTAAAACGTCTGAGCACAGCATGAACCCCTGTTTTGATCTTTACAATAGGCCTATACTTATAATGCTGCAAACAAAACATAGTCGTTAGGAAGTCCCCGGAACGTCATGAAATGGTTGCCTAAAGTCTTCAGGACGTTGTGTCATGGTGTCACGTTCGTTGAGAGACGGGTCAGACCAAGGTGCAGCGTGGTATGCGAACATGTTTATTTAACTCAATAAACATAAACAAAACAAGAAACAACGTAACGTGAAGTCCTCAGGTTAAACACTGGTTTGGTGCGAGGAGCAGGGACGGGCCGTACTGGACTGGGAACACGCACCACTGGCTTGGTGCGGGGAGCAGGTACGGGCCGTACCGGACTGGATACGCGCACCACTGGTTTGGGGCGGGGAGCAGGTACGGGGCGTACCGGACTGTGGAGGCGCACTGGAGGTCTGGAGCGTAGAGCTGGCACAACCCGTCCTGGCTGGATGCCCACTTCCGCACAGTACGTGTGTGGCGCTAGCACAGGACGCACTGGGCTGTGCACGCGCACTGGCGATACAGTACGTAGAACCGGCGCAGGATATGCTGGACCGAGGAGGTGTACTGGAGACCAGGAGCGTTGAGCCGGCACAAGGGTGTTCCATTTGTCCAGGTGGGAAAGGGCAGTGTGGAGTGCAATAGAGATTGCGTCATCTGTGGATCTGTTGGGGCGGTATGCGAATTGTAGTGGGTCTAGGGTTTCTGGGATGATGGTGTTGATGTGAGCCATGACCAGCCTTTAAAAGCACTTCATGGCTACAGACGTGAGTGCTACGGGGCGGTAGTCATTTTGGCAGGTTACCTTGACGTTCTTGGGCACAGGGACTATGGTGGTCTGCTTGAAACATGTAGGTATTACAGACTCGATCAGGGAATGGTTAAAAATGTCAGTGAAGACACTCGCCAGTTGGTCAGCACATGCGTCCTGGTAACCCATCTGGCCCTGCGGCCTTGTGAATGTTGACCTGTTTAAAGGTCTTACTCACATCGGCTACGGAGAGCATGATCACACAGTCATCCGGAACAGCTGGTGCTCTCATGCATGGTTCAGTGTTGCTTTCCTCGAAGTGAGCATAGAAGGCATTTAGCTAATCTGGTAGGCTCGTGGCACTGGGAAGCTTGCAGCTGGGTTTCCCTTTGTAATCCGTAATAGTATGTAAGCCCTGCCACACCCGACAAACGTCAGAGCCAGTGTAGTAGGATTCAGTCTTAGTCCTGTATTGACGGTTTGCCTGTTTGATGGTTCGGCGGAGGGCATAGCGGGATTTCTTATAAGCGTCTGGATTAGTATCCCGCTCCTTGAAAGTGGCAGCTCTAGCCTTTAGCTCAGTGCGGATGTTGCCTGTAATCCATGGCTTCTGGTTGGGATATGTATGTACGGTCACTGTGGGGAAGACGTCATCAATGCATTATTGATGAAGCCGGTGACTGATGTGGTATACTCCTCAATGCCATCGGATGAATCCCGGAACATATTCCAGTCTGTGCTAGCAAAACAGTCCTGTAGCTTAGCATCCGCGTCATCTGACCACTTCCGTATTGAGCGAGTCACTGGTAATTCCTGCTTGAGTCTTTTCTTGTAAGCAGGAATCAGGAAGATAGAATTATGGTCAGATTTGCCAAATGGACGTCTCTGTGTGTGGAGTAAAGGTGGTCTAGATTTGTTTTCCTTTGGTTGCACGTGACATGTTGGTAGAAATGAGGTAAAACGGATGTAAGTTTTCCTGCATTAAAGTCCCTGGCTACTAGCAGCGTTGCTTCTGGGTGAGCATTCTCTTGTTTGCTAATGGCCTTATACAACTCGTTGAGTGTGGTCTTAGTGCCAGCATCGGTTTGTGATGGTAAATAGACAGCTACAAAAAATATAGTAAATAGTATGGTCTACAGCTTATCATGATGTACCTCAGGCAAGCAAAACCTAGAGACTTCCTTAATAATAGAGATTGCGCACCAGCTGTTACTGACAAATAGACACAGACCACTACCCCTCGTCTTACCGAATGTTACTGTTCTGTCTTGCGAATCCACGGGAAACCCAGCCAACTGTATATTATCCATGTCCTCATTCAGCCACGACTCGGTGAAACATAAGATATTACAGTTTTTAATGTCCCGTTGGTAGGATAGTCTGGAATGGCGCTCATCCAGTTTATTCTCCAGTGATTGCACGTTCGCCAGTAAGACGGATGGTAAAGGCGATTATCCACTCACCAACGAATTCTCACCAAGCACCCTGTATCTGCATGGATTTGGGCCTGGTCCGGGAGGAGACGTAAATCTTTCGCCTCTGATACATTCAATAACTTTTTTTCGTTCAGTCCGACGGTGAGTTATCGCTTTTCTGATGTCCAGAAGCTCTTTTTGGTCATAAGAGATGGTGGCAGAAACATAATGTACATAAAAAGTTACAAACAATGTAAAAAAAAACACACACACAATTGGTTACGAACCTGTATAACGCCAGCCATCCCGCTGTGATCCTGGGACATCACTGATAACCAGGTCTGGATGCTTTTAGGACCTTCTCAAGACATTCAGTGTATCAGTAGTTAGGTTGTTGCCTAATGGTCCCAAAGGAACATTACCACTCCCCAATGTTTCCTCTAAGCTGAGCGGCCACGCACCTCCTCCTAGGACTGCCGCTCAGAAGAAATGCCATGCCATGCCTCGCAGAGATGCAAGAGATTGAACTGCACTGAGTTCACCCCCATTAGTTTGTACTATATAGATCAACGACAACAAAAAATAATCTAACATTATATCAGTCCCTTTTTTAATGCAACAAACCAAAACAAATCTAACTTTGCAAGATTGAGTCTGTGATTTTGTTGCAGGCAGAGCCGGAGCGCAACGGAGGAGAATCCTATTGGCGTCTTTCAATCACCCAGGATGGAATTAACTTTTCAGATTAGCTTTTTCAGATCAGATTAGCGTGTGCACATTTGTTGAAATTCTTTGCTAGTTAGCGAGTTATTAGGCCAGTTATAGATAAGTATAGGTCAGCAATGGGGAGTTACTGCTTTCTACAAGAGCACAAAACGTGTAGGCTACATTTCAAACTGTCTTTGAAAAGCCAGTCAGGTAAAAAGCTTATGTCTTAATTAAAGGGGCAGTGTTGTATTTTGAGACAGGCTTGAATATGCAAATAAGCCAATAGGCAGAGGGGTAGCCTACATTGCAGTGGTGACCCATCCTTCAGGGCAGGTGCAGTGCCCCACCTGTTTTGAGCCCCACCTGTTTAGCTATTTTTTTTTTTTATGTTGTTGTTGTTGCCTGTTTTGCATATCACATATCAGTTTGCAAAGAATGTAAAACATTTTTTGACTTAATAAAGCCACATACAAACATGGTCTCTTTTTTGCTTTCTTGAGTAAGGCAGCTCCAAAATGCAGGTGTTTCAGCCTAGCTCAGTGCTTTCTGTGGTGGTGGGGCAGCCAGCGAAAAATACAGAGCGTAGGGGTTGGTAATGTTCTCTAGTTGCGCCGTGATTGGCTCAGTGTTCTGTCACTCGTGGGGACCGTATGTCACTGCAACATCTACAGAGTGAGCTAGAAAGTTAAAGCCCCCTTGGGTGCTGCCATAGATTTACAGTAGAAGTGTCCATCCAAGAAGGTTCAAGGTCATTGGCCACAGATAAAATGTCAAATCACGTTATATCTACCGTAGCTTTGATTGGACTGATCATGTCATCATCATACTTTCGAAATCTTATCTAGCAAGCTAGACAAGCAGTCATCATCATGAATCACGTCAAAAATCAACTGGCAAATCCTTTTCGATCTTTGTCATATGAAGAGAAATTATAGATAAAACGTATCGCCATTGGACATAAACATTTCACAACAAGTTGGAAATCGCAAATTACACAATGAGTGGTTTGGAAGGAATCAGTAGCTAACTGCAAGCGTTGCAAAGCAATCACTATTTTGCTTCCTCTGCCTGCTATTCGGTGGAGAGGGTGTGTGGTCCAAGTCTGGATTTAAGGGTCTCCTTTCCAAGCTTAAAATGATAAAACATTCACACGCAACACCATGGACCAGAAAAGGTTGAATACATTGGCCATGCTGTCAATCCAGCATGACTTCTGCCGCGTTCAAAACAACTGGAAACCCGGAACTGGGAAATCGCAGACTTCTGAAAAAAACTAGCTCCGACTGGGAAAATAAGTTTTGAATGGTCCTCCAACTCGGAATTCCAAGTCGGGAAATCGGGCCTCTTTCTAGAGCTCCGACCTGAAGATCACTGACGTTATGATTCAACCTTGCTTTTTTTCAAGTTCCCAGTTGTCTTGAAAGCACCATAAATCCAGAGAATGACAGACTTTGATGACAAAGTTTAATGACAAAATTTGCCCAAAAGAAGGACTGCCGCACCACCTTCCTGTTCAAGTGAGCACAGCGTCCAAAAATATGTATTGTATGCTGCTGCATAAATGATGTAATATGCCAGGGAGATATGTATACTGTAGCTAAGAAAGTAATACTAAGTGTATGTTGTGTAGTAAGCTGTTAGTAGCCCATGTGCCTCACCCTAATAATTTGGTCCCTTTCCCCCCTCATAATTTCGCCTACTGTTCTGACTTGGTGGTGCACATGTAGCCTATAGCCTGTTTTAGAGAAATGTAATCATCGAATATAGTAAGAGCTTCATTGTCTGCTTAGATGCCCCCTTTATTTATCCTACGGTTCTGACTTGATGTACAGGGAGAACACTGTAAGAACGGCCCATGTTCTGAATTATTTCGCTGTACATTTCGAAAGTGCTGAACAAATTGTTATATTGACTACGTCCGTCCCAACTCGCTCATTATTGTCTTAATAGAAATTACGGATTGCCTCTTATCCGCTCATCGTTCCCTTATGCCATAGTTTGGACATCTCAATTGTCAGTGGAAACCACATTTGTTTAACCAAGTCAGCCATGTTTTTTCAAAAGGCAGTAAATGAGGCTGAATGAAAAAATCATTAATTACTGTCAAGCCCTTCATAATATCAAAACATGCAATGTAGGCCTGCATTGAACACCACATATAGGCTACTGTAGGCTATATCATAGAAATCAAAAGCTATTTCCATGTGAAAATGTAAATGAGATTTGCTCCATTGGTTTTGTTGGTAGGCCTACATTATGCTTCAGATAGCCACAATAACCTGTTGGCTACTGTCTAAAACTGTCAGGGTACAGCCTCAGTGTTCACTGGAAACACATGCCGGAAGTTGCACAAAATCCTCACAACGTTAAAGTTTCCGCTCACAAGACCTAAAATTTGCTCAGTGCCCCAAAGGATTTGAGGGAACATTGCCCCTCCCCCCCCCCAAAGAAAATGTTGACCGACCTACCTGGGCAAGCGCACTCTCGTTTCCATTACACATCACCCCTCCTTGTTACTGTTGCAGAACCCATCAAAGCCCTGATTGGTGAACCACTGATGCATTCACAGCTCTTTGTCTGTTGTCTTTGTCTGTTGGAAACAAACAGCTGATTTTTGACATAGAGGGTCCAGCCAAAAGGCAGAATGCTGTGCTGTGCATTACCGCTGGATTTCTACAAATGTTACAGACGGGAGATGACGTGCACCTGCGTGTACGTAGCAAACTTACTTGGAACCGAAAACCCACAAGAATAAACCAGCAGATCAGTGTCAAGTGATTATGACACCAGACAGCTGAATCTAGGTTCTCTGCTCTCACCCCCAATGAAATATGGACCTATCAGGAGCATCAGAAACCATAAGGCTGATGAATGTTAAACTCATTAGAGTATAACAATATAGAAATAGAAAATGTATTTAATTCAAACATTTCACCTTAAAATTGCTAAATAATACAATAGAAGCCATTTGAAATAACCTTTTGAGGTTCCATTTTCATTTGATAAAAAATATAGGTTATAGAACTCAATCACGACTGTCTTGATTTAGTTACATATTTCAAACAAACATGGACAGTCCAGGGATATTTTACCCCCAATCTTGATAAGAAATGACCATACCAGACAATTTTATTTAAATACAGAAATTGGAAACAAAATAAAATAATATGAGTAGTCTACACCAACATTAGTGAAAAATATAGCGCCACCAGGTGGTGGGGGACTCAGAAAGGTAATGTGAAATATATAGCGCCACCTGGTGGTGGGGGACTCAGAAAGGTAAAGTAAAAAAATATAGCGCCACCTGGTGGTGGGGGACTCAGAAAGGTAATGTGACAAATATAGCGCCACCTGGTGGTGGGGGACTCAGAAAGTTAAAGTAAAAAGATATAGCGCCACCTGGTGGTGGGGACTCAGAAAGGTAACGTAAAAAATATAGCGCCACCTGGTGGTGGGGGACTCAGAAAGGTAAAGTGAAAAATATAGCGCCACCTGGTGGTGGGGGACTCAGAAAGGTAAAGTGAACAATATAGCGCCACCTGGTGGTGGGGGACTCAGAACGGTAACGTGAACAATATAGCGCCACCTAGTGGTGGGGGACTCAGAAATGTAACGTGACAAATATAGCGCAACCTGGTGATGGGGGACTCAGAAAGATAAAGTGAAAAATATAGCGCCACCTGGTGGTGGGGGACTCAGAAAGGTAATGTGAAAAATATAGCGCCACCTGGTGGTGGGGGACTCAGAATGGTAAAGTAGTAAAGTAAAAAATATAGCGCCACCTGGTGGTGTGGGACTCAGAAAGGTAAAGTGAAAAATATAGCGTCACCTGGTGGTGGGGGACTCAGAAAGGTAATGTGAAAAATATAGCGCCACCTGGTGGTGGGGGACTCAGAAAGGGAAAGTGAAAAATATAGCGCCACCTGGTGGTGGGGGACTCAGAAAGGTAAAGTGAAAAATATAGCGCCACCTGATGGTGGGGGACTCAGAAAGATAAAGTGAAAAATATAGCGCCACCTGGTGGTTGGGGACTCAGAAAGGTAAAGTGAAAAATATAGCGCCACCTGGTGGTGGGGGACTCAGAAAGGTAAGGTGCCGGTTACTATATTTGCACACACTGTATATATATATATTTTCTGTTGTATTTTTGACTTTATGTTTTGTTTACCCCATATGTAACTCTGTGTTGTTATTGTTTTTATCGCACTGCTTTGCTTTATCTTGGCCAGGTCGCAGTTGTAAATGAGAACTTGTTCTCAACTGGCTTACCTGGTTAAATAAAGGTGAAAATTGTTTTGCAAAATAAAGAGGCACAATGAAGAATAGGACACAGACTCAAGTTTAACCCTTTATTGCCTCAGATGAAAGAATAGTCCATGAACAGCAGTCTAGTGGGTGGCGTTGTCCTCTCCCTGGAAGAGGTCATCCTGAGTCTAGCCCGGCCCAGCTCACCTCTTATGGTCCTTTGTAGCTCAGTTGGTAGAGCGTGGTGCTTGTAATGCCAGGGTAGCGAGTTCGAATCCTGGGACCACCTATACGTAAAATATATGCACGCATGACTGTAAGTCGCTTTGGATAAAAGCGTCTGCTAAATGGCATGTATTTTCTACTGGTCCCGGCCTGGCATTGTAAATGGTCCAGGGCCAAGGTGGGCAGGGTCAAGTCACGGGTCCTGTGAGAGGTCAGAGGTGTGACCTGTAATTGGATACTTTGACACCTCTGGGGTGGAGATCTCCCCCTGCAGCAGATCTGTGTCCAAAACAAGATTTGACTGGAAGAGTTTTCCACCATTAGTTTTCCATTCATACAACGTGTATGTTTCCATAGCAATCACATTTACATTTACGTCATTTAGCAGACGCTCTTATCCAGAGCGACTTACAAATTGGTGCAATAATCAAAAACTTGAACTAAGTTGTTCTGATGATAACACCCACCAGAGGGCGAACATATCTTGAAAGACTTTGGTAGCAAGCAGGACTACGTTTTTAGGGAGCGGTAATGAGGTGACCAATAATGGTTGCAATTGAGATCAACTGTGCGGGTGAATTTATAGCGCGTATTGAAGGTTTAACGAGAGATAAACTGGTGATGATCTCAGTGGTAAACTACATTTTAGATCAACTGGTGATAATCTCAGTGGTCAACTACATTTTAGATCAACTGGTGATAATCTCAGTGGTAAACTACATTTTAGATCAACTGGTGATAATCTCAGTGGTAAACTAAACTTTAGATCAACTGGTGATAATCTCAGTGGTAAACTACATTTTAGATCAACTGGTGATAATCTCAGTGGTAAACTACATTTTAGATCAACTGGTGATAATCTCAGTGGTCAACTAAACTTTAGATCAACTGGTGATAACCTCAGTGGTAAACTAAACTTTAGATCAACTGGTCATAATCTCAGTGTTAAAAACATTTTAGATCAACTGGTGATAACCTCAGTGGTAAACTACATTTTAGATCAACTGGTGATAATCTCAGTGGTAAACTACATTTTAGATCAACTGGTGATAATCTCAGTGGTAAACTACATTTTAGATCAACTGGTGATAATCTCAGTGGTCAACTACATTTTAGATCAACTGGTGATAATCTCAGTGGTAAACTACATTTTAGATCAACTGGTGATAATCTCAGTGGTCAACTAAACTTTAGATCTTTACAGTACGGAGCTGTAGACACACATCATTCATCTCTTTACAGTACGGAGCTGTAGACACACATCATTCATCTCTTTACAGTACGGAGCTGTAGACACACATCACTCATCTCTTTACAGTACGGAGCTGTAGACACACATCACTCATCTCTTTACAGTACGGAGCTGTAGACACACATCACTCATCTCTTTACAGTACGGAGCTGTAGACACACATCATTCATCTCTTTGTGGACATTCAGAGAAAGAGGTCACATCCAACAGAATGGTTGTTTAATCAGTGTGTGTGTGTACAGGTGCTCCTGGGATGAACAGAGCTTTCCATGTATCTGTGTAGAGCGTTGAAGAGGTCTGGATCAGCAGGTGAAGTTCACTGCTCACGTCATCTGCAGCCCTCACACAAGGACACCTGTTAGAGCCTCTGATAAGAAGCAGATATTCCTTTTTTTTTTTTTCTCTCTCTCTCTCTCTCTCTCTCTCTCTCTCTCTCAATTTAAGGGCTTTATTGGCATGGGAAACATATGTTAACATTGCCAAAGCAAGTGAAGTAGATCAACAATAAATATTAACAGTAAACATTACACTCAGAAGTTCAATTTCAATTTTCAATTCAATTTAAGGGCTTTATTGGCATGGGAAACGTGTGTTAACATTGCCAAAGCAAGTGAAGTAGATAGTAAACAAAAGTGAAATAAACAATAAATATTAACAGTAAACATTACACTCAGAAGTTTCAAAAGAATAAAGACATTTCAAATGTCATATTATGTATATATACAGTGTTGTCAGTCAGGGAAGATTGAGAGAGAGGGAGAGCCCATTACAAGTTCAATCTGACTGAGTATCCATGTATAACTGCTGAACTGGAACCCTCCTATCCAGCAAGCCTCTGGGTCAGAAATAAAAATTGTAAGGTGTGAAGGTTTTTAATCTTTGATGCTTGAAACTTGGTAATCTTTTAATAGGGGTTTGAAGGCAGGCCTGCGGGCAATGTTGTACGATGTAGTCAATATCAACCAAATAAATATTGAATCTATGTAAATCTATATCTCATAATAAGTCAGAACAGTGAAGCGCAACACAGGAACGTGTTGCACACCGTACATGTATTCTCATCACTCAAATGCATGATTGTACGCACACACACGCGCTCGAGCGAACAAACACACACACAGGCAAACACACTCTCTCTCTCTCTCTCTCTCTCTCTCTCTCTCTCTCTCTCTCTCTCTCTCTCTCTCTCTCTCTCTCTCTCTCTCTCTCTCTCTCTCTCTCTCTCTCTCTCTCTCTCTCTCTCTCTCTCTCTCTCTCTCTCTCTCACTGTAATCACTGAAGGATTATCAGTAACCCTGTTTCTATGAAGAACCGTTACAGATGCTCCAGGACCTCTCAAGATGAAAGACTGTTGTTTTGCTGTGTGATCTTTTTCTAGGAAATGCAACTCATCTCCCTTTTCTCATTACGATCAACTAAAGTATTCTAACAATCCTCAAAAGCTGTGTGAATTGAAATGTTCACTGCTCGTTCATTTCTAATGATTGCTTGTTTGTTGGTTTGTCCATTTGTTTTCATGTGTGTGTGCATGCGTGCACTGTGTGTGTGTGTGTCAGAAAATAACAGTAAATAAATGGGTTTTCTCTGCAGCATGGAAAAATACAAAGTAACGCTCAGGAGGGAGCCCACCTTGATATAATCAACCATTACTCCAATCAATCTGTGGACATTCATCTCAGCAGGGAGCCCACCTTGATATAATCAACCATTCCTCCAATCAATCTGTGGACATTCATCTCAGCAGTCTGGAATCGGTCCATTTAAAATCAGAAAACTACATGTCATGTAGGAGTACAGTACATTGAGGTAAGAGGCTCAACTCACTTGCATGCAGGTACAGTACATTACTGTATAAATGGGCCATGCAGGTACAGTACATTACTGTATAAATGGGCCATGCAGGTACAGTACTTTACTGTATAAATGGGCCATGCAGGTACAGTACTTTACTGTATAAATGGGCCATGCAGGTACAGTACATTACTGTATAAATGGGCCATTAGGCGGCATGTAGCTCAGTGGTTAAGAGCGTTGTGCCAGTAACCGAAAGGTCGCTGGTTCTAATCCCCGAGCCGACTAGGTGAAAAATCTGTCTATGTGCCCTTGAGCAAGGCACTTAACCCTAATTGCTCCTGTAAGTCGCTCTGGATAAGAGCGTCTGCTAAATGACCTATTTATTTATTTCAACACAAACACTAGGGATGCATCACAAATGGCTCCCTGTTTAATGCACTACTTTTGACCAGATCCCTATGGGCTATGTAGGGAGTAGGGTGTCATTTGGGATGCACACGGTTCAGGCTGTGGCTGTTGGCCTTCAGATTGTTTGGACCATTACTCACTAGGCTGAGCTATTCTACAGCATTGTCTTTTTGATCACATTAAAGGAGATATATGGAATATTTTTTTGCATTGTAATTCCTGAAAATGTCCTTAATATACATCTTGTTGACAAGTCATGGTCCTCTGTAGCTCAGCTGGTAGAGCACGGTGCTTGTAACGCCAAGGTAGTGGGTTCGATCCCCGGGACCACCCATACACAAAAATGTATGCACGCATGACTGTAAGTCGCTTTGGATAAAAGCGTCTGCTAAATGGCATATTATTGTTATTATAAGTCGATAACAAGAGATTTGCTGGCCCCAGTCAATTTGACAACAAGAGACGGTTCGTTGTTGAATTGTAACATGCAGTCACTATTATTATATTTGTGTTGTGGCAACCCGTTGCCTAGACCCATTGGATTAACCCAACTCAAAATATATCTTTGTTCAATACTTAGAGTAATACAGTGACATCTCCACCTATATGGCTATCTTTTAAGTTGGAAGTACTTAAGTGTTTTGAGTTTCATGAACTTTTTGACACTAAATTACATGACGTATTCTGAACTACAACACTTGAAGTTACTTGAACATTAATATTTATTCTAGGGAACATTAAAATGTAGGGTACCTTCTACTTCAATTATTAACCTTCATTACTTTTATTTATTTCATGTGTAAGTAGTAAGTAGTTCTGATTAGTAATGTTCAGTGGTCGTGTCTTAATGTTGAACATTGTTTCATGTATTTGACCATTTCAACCCAGCTTGGCAGTCATTGTTGAACACAGTGTTCATTCCTCTAGCAGTAACTAGAGGTAGAGCTGTAACCAGTCATTGTTGAACACAGTGCTCATTCCTCTAGCAGTAACTGGAGGTAGAGATGCTGTAACCAGTCATTGTTGAACACAGTGCTCATTCCTCTAGCAGTAACTGGAGGTAGAGATGCTGTAACCAGTCATTGTTGAACACAGTGCTCATTCCTCTAACAGTAACTGGAGGTAGAGATGCTGTAACCAGTCATTGTTGAGCACAGTGCTCATTCCTCTAGCAGTAACTGGAGGTAGAGATGCTGTAACCAGTCATTGTTGAGCACAGTGCTCATCCTCTAGCAGTAACTGGAGGTAGAGATGCTGTAACCAGTCATTGTTGAACACAGTGCTCATTCCTCCAACAGTAACTGGAGGCAGAGCTGTAACCAGTCATTGTTGAACACAGTGCTCATTCCTCTAACAGTAACTGGAGGTAGAGATGCTGTAACCAGTCATTGTTGAACACAGTGCTCATCCTCTAGCAGTAACTGGAGATAGAGATGCTGTAACCAGTCATTGTTGAGCCCAGTGCTCATTCCTCCAACAGTAACTGGAGGCAGAGCTGTAACCAGTCATTGTTGAACACAGTGCTCATTCCTCTAACAGTAACTGTAGGTAGAGATGCTGTAACCAGTCATTGTTGAACACAGTGCTCATTCCTCTAACAGTAACTGGAGGTAGAGATGCTGTAACCAGTCATTGTTGAACACAGTGCTCATTCCTCTAGCAGTAACTGGAGGTAGAGATGCTGTAACCAGTCATTGTTGAACACAGTGCTCATTCCTCTAGCAGTAACTGGAGGTAGAGATGCTGTAACCAGTCATTGTTGAACACAGTGCTCATTCCTCTAGCAGTAACTAGAGGTAGAGATGCTGTAACCAGTCATTGTTGAGCACAGTGCTCATTCCTCTAGCAGTAACTGGAGGTAGAGATGCTGTAACCAGTCATTGTTGAACACAGTGCTCATTCCTCCAACAGTAACTGGAGGTAGAGCTGTAACCAGTCATTGTTGAACACAGTGCTCACTCCTCTAACAGTAACTGGAGGTAGAGATGCTGTAACCAGTCATTGTTGAGCCCAGTGCTCATTCCTCCAGCAGTAACTGGAGGTAGAGATGCTGTAACCAGTCATTGTTGAGCCCAGTGCTCATTCCTCCAGCAGTAACTGGAGGTAGAGATGCTGTAACCAGTCATTGTTGAACACAGTGCTCATTCCTCTAGCAGTAACTGGAGGTAGAGATGCTGTAACCAGTCATTGTTGAGCCCAGTGCTCATTCCTCCAGCAGTAACTGGAGGTAGAGATGCTGTAACCAGTCATTGTTGAACACAGTGCTCATTCCTCTAGCAGTAACTGGAGGTAGAGATGCTGTAACCAGTCATTGTTGAACACAGTGCTCATTCCTCTAGCAGTAACTGGAGGTAGAGATGTAACCAGTCATTGTTGAACACAGTGCTCATTCCTCTAGCAGTAACTGAAGGTAGAGCTGTAACCAGTCATTGTTGAGCACAGTGCTCATTCCTCTAGCAGTAACTGTAGGTAGAGCTGTAACCAGTCATTGTTGAACACAGTGCTCATTCCTCTAACAGTAACTGGAGGTAGAGATGCTGTAACCAGTCATTGTTGAGCACAGTGCTCATTCCTCTAACAGTAACTGGAGGTAGAGATGCTGTAACCAGTCATTGTTGAACACAGTGCTCATTCCTCTAACAGTAACTGGAGGTAGAGATGCTGTAACCAGTCATTGTTGAACACAGTGCTCATTCCTCCAACAGTAACTGGAGGCAGAGCTGTAACCAGTCATTGTTGAACACAGTGCTCATTCCTCTAACAGTAACTGGAGGTAGAGATGTAACCAGTCATTGTTGAACACAGTGCTCATTCCTCTAGTAGTAACTGGAGGTAGAGATGTAACCAGTCATTGTTGAGCACAGTGCTCATTCCTCTAGCAGTAACTGGAGGTAGAGATGTAACCAGTCATTGTTGAACACAGTGCTCATTCCTCTAGCAGTAACTGGAGGTAGAGATGCTGTAACCAGTCATTGTTGAGCACAGTGCTCATTCCTCTAGCAGTAACTGGAGGTAGAGATGCTGTAACCAGTCATTGTTGAACACAGTGCTCATTCCTCTAACAGTAACTGGAGGTAGAGATGCTGTAACCAGTCATTGTTGAGCACAGTGCTCATTCCTCTAGCAGTAACTGGAGGTAGAGATGCTGTAACCAGTCATTGTTGAGCACAGTGCTCATTCCTCTAGCAGTAACTGGAGGTAGAGATGCTGTAACCAGTCATTGTTGAACACAGTGCTCATTCCTCTAGCAGTAACTGGAGGTAGAGATGCTGTAACCAGTCATTGTTGAACACAGTGCTCATTCCTCTAGTAGTAACTGGAGGTAGAGCTGTAACCAGTCATTGTTGAACACAGTGCTCATTCCTCCAACAGTAACTGGAGGTAGAGCTGTAACCAGTCATTGTTGAACACAGTGCTCACTCCTCTAACAGTAACTGGAGGTAGAGATGCTGTAACCAGTCATTGTTGAACACAGTGCTCATTCCTCTAGCAGTAACTGGAGGTAGAGATGCTGTAACCAGGCATTGTTGAACACAGTGCTCATTCCTCCAGCAGTAACTGGAGATAGCACTGTAAGCATTTCAGGATGCTGCACTAGCCTCTGTCATTAAGAGTGGAGTGCACGACCTTGTTGATGGTGGGAATGGCTTGTCTCATTATTGAACGTCAATTTACCTGCTGGTCTTGATATGATTGATATTGATATGATTACACCTCATAGCACAGCAAACCTCTTAAAGCAATTTTACATAATAGAATAAAGTAAGAACAACTGATTGAATAAATGTTAGATTGACTTTAAAATATTAAATAATCGTAACTTGTAAAAACTCAATAACTTTAGATTAGCAGAACACAAATAAATAAAGTTATATTTACTCAATTACCTAATATTTGTTACATGATTTTGAGTTCTACTGACAGTTGGAGATGTTTAAGTAGCCACTACTCAGTTTCTTTAATGGTGTTAGGCAGTACATTTTTACAGTGTATGTTTAAATGTTTTTAGTCAATGTAATGTGTATATGTCAATAAAGGGAATCCCACCTATATCCCGTGGCGCATCTCTTTGAATACACTCCTGACATGAAATACAGTGGGGGAAAAAAGTATTTAGTCAGCCACCAATTGTGCAAGTTCTCCCACTTAAAAAGATGAGAGAGGCCTGTCATTTTCATCATAGGTACACGTCAACTATGACAGACAAATTGAGAAAAAAGAATCCAGAAAATCACATTGTAGGATTTTTAATGAATTTATTTGCAAATTATGGTGGAAAATAAGTATTTGGTCACCTACAAACAAGCAAGATTTCTGGCTCTCACAGACCTGTAACTTCTTCTTTAAGAGGCTCCTCTGTCCTCCACTCGTTACCTGTATTTATGGCACCTGTTTGAACTTGTTATCAGTATAAAAGACACCTGTCCACAACCTCAAACAGTCACACTCCAAACTCCACTATGGTCAAGACCAAAGAGCTGTCAAAGGACACCAGAAACAAAAGTGTAGACCTGCACCAGGCTGGGAAGACTGAATCTGCAATAGGTAAGCAGCTTGGTTTGAAGAAATCAACTGTGGGAGCAAATATTAGGAAATGGAAGACATACAAGACCACTGATAATCTCCCTCGATCTGGGGCTCCACGCAAGATCTCACCCCGTGGGGTCAAAATGATCACAAGAACGGTGAGCAAAAATCCCAGAACCACACGGGGGGACCTAGTGAATGACCTGCAAAGAGCTGGGACCAAAGTAACAAAGCCTACCATCAGTTACACACTACTCCGCCAGGGACTCAAATCCTGCAGTGACAGACGTGTCCCCCTGCTTAAGCCAGTAAATGTCCAGGCCCGTCTGAAGTTTGCTAGCGTGCATTTGGATGATCCAGAAGAGGATTGGGAGAATGTCATATGGTCAGATGAAACCAAAATATAACTTTTTGGTAAAAACTCAACTCATCATGTTTGGAGGACAAAGAATGCTGAGTTGCATCCAAAGAACACCATACCTACTGTGAAGCATGGGGGTGGAAACTTCATGCTTTGGGGCTTTTTTTCTGCAAAGGGACCAGGACGACTGATCCGTGTAAAGGAAAGAATGAATGGGGCCATGTATCGTGAGATTTTGAGTGAAAACCTCCTTCCATCAGCAAGGGCATTGAAGATGAAACGTGGCTGGGTCTTTTAGCATGACAATGATCCCAAACACACCTCCCGGGCAACGAAGGAGTGGCTTCGTAAGAAGCATTTCAAGGTCCTGGAGTGGCCTAGCCAGTCTCCAGATCTCAACCCCATAGAAAATCTTTGGAGGGAGTTGAAAGTCCGTGTTGCCCAGCGACAGCCCCAAAACATCACTGCTCTAGAGGAGATCTGCATGGAGGAATGGGCCAAAATACCAGCAACAGTGTGTGAAAACCTTGTGAAGACTTACAGAAAACGTTTGACCTGTGTCATTGCCAACAAGGGGTATATAACAAAGTATTGAGAAACTTTTGTTATTGACCAAATACTTATTTTCCACCATAATTTGCAAATAAATTCATAAAAAATCCTACAATGTGATTTTCTGGATTTTTTTTTCTCATTTAGTCTGTCATAGTTGACGTGTACCTATGATGAAAATGACAGGCCTCTCTCATCTTTTTAAGTGGGAGAACTTGCACAATTGGTGGCTGACTAAATACTTTTTTCCCCCACTGTATGGTTTTAGGACGAACATACAGTGCCTTCGGAAAGTATTCCGTATTGACTTTTTCCACATTTTGTTACGTCACAGCCTTATTCTAAAATGGATTAAATTTTTTTACAATCCTCAGCAATCTACACACAATACCCCATAATGACATGAAAACATACATGAAATGAGTTTGAGTAGGAAATATAGCAAAATGCATAGGAAAAGTAGTCATTGACAAGGTTAGAAATAATGATTTTTAATAGAAATAATAATTGTGTCCTTCAAACTTTGCTTTCGTCAAAGAATCCTCCATTTGCAGCAATTACAGCCTTGCAGACCTTTGGCATTCTAGTTGTCAATTTGTTGAGGTAATCTGAAGCGATTTCACCCCATGCTTCCTGAAGCACCTCCCACAAGTTGGATTGGCTTGATGAGCACTTCTTACGTACCATACAGACAAGCTGCTCCCACAACAGCTCAATAGGGTTGAGATCTGGTGACTGTGCTGGCCACTCCATTATAGACAGAATACCAGCTGACTGCTTCTTCCCTAAATAGTTATTGCATAGTTTGGAGCTGTGCTTTGGGTCACTGTCCTGTTGTAGGATTGGCTCCAATCAAGCGCCGTCCACAGGGTATGGCATGGTATTGCAAAATGGAGTGATAGCCTTCCTTCTTCAAGATCCCTTTTACCCTGTACAAATCTCCCACTTTACCACCACCAAAGCACCCCCAGACCATCACATTGCCTCCACCATGCTTGACAGATGGCATCAAGCACTCCTCCAGTATCTTTTCATTTGGTCTGCGTCTCACAAATGTTATTCTTTGTGATCCGAACACCTCGAACTTCGATTCGTCTGTCCATAGCACGTTTTTCCAATCTTCCTCTGTCCAGTGTCTGTGTTCTTCTGCCCATCTTAATCTTTTCTTTTTATTGGCCAGTCTCAGATATGGCTTTTTCTTTGCAACTCTGCCTAGAAGGTCAGCATCCCAGAGTCGCCTCTTCACTGTTGACGTTGAGACTGGTGTTTTGTGGGTACTATTTAATGAAGCTGCCAGTTGAGGACCTGTGAGAAGTCTGTTTCTCAAACTAGACACTCTAATGTATTTGTCCTCTTGCTCAGCTGTGCACCGGGGCCTCCCACTCCTCTTTCTATTCTGGTTAGAGACAGTTTGCGCTGTTCTGTGAAGGGACCCTTTGCTATGAGAATCGAAATTGAGCTCAGTTGCATCCTGTTTCCATTGATCATCCTTGAGATGTTTCTACAACTTGATTGGAGTCCACCTGTGGTAAATTCAATTGATTGGACATGATTTGGAAACGCACACCTGTCTATATAAAGTCCCACAGTTCACAGTGCATGTCAGAGCAAAAACCAAGCCATGAGGTCGAAGGAATTGTCCGTAGAGCTCCGAGACAGGATTGTGTCGAGGCACAGATCTGGGGAAGGGTACAAAAACATTTCTGCAACATTGAAGGTCCCCAAGAACACAGTGGCCCCCAATGGAAGAAGTTTGGAACCACCAAGACTCTTCCTAGAGCTGGCCGCTCGGCCAAACTGAGAAATTGGGGGAGAAGGGCCTTGGTCAGGGAGGTGACCAAGAACCCAATGGTCACTCTGACAGAGCTCCAGAGTTCCTCTGTGGAGATGGGAGAATTTTCCAGAAGGACAACCATCCCTGCAGCACTCCACCAATCAGGTCTTTATGGTACAGTGGCCAGACGGAAGCCACTCCTCGGTAAAAGGCACATGACAGCACGCTTGGAGTTTGCCAAAAGGCACTTAAAGTCTCTCAGACCATGAGAAACAAGATTCTTTGGTCTGATGAAACCAAGATTGAATTCTTTGGCCTGAATGCCAAGCATCATGTCTGGAGGAAACCTGGCACCATCCCTACGGTGAAGCATGGTAGTGGCAGCATCATGCTGTGGGAATGTTTTTCAGCGGCAGGGATTGGGAGACTAGTCAGGATCGAGGGAAAGTTGAACACAGCAAAGTACAGAGAGATCCTTGATGAAAACCTGCTCCAGAGCGCTCAGGACCTCAGACTAGGGCGAAGGTTCACCTTCCAACAGGACAACGATCCTAAGCACACAGCCAAGACAACACAGGAGTGGCTTTGGGACAAGTCTCTGAATGTCCTTGAGTGACCCAGCCAGAGCCCGGACTTGAACCCGATCGAACATCTCTGGAGAGACCTGAAAATAGCTGTGCAGCGACGCTCCCCATCCAACCTGACAGAGTTGAGAGGATCTGCAGAGAAGAATGTGAGAAACTCCCCAAATACATGTGTGCCAAGCTTGTAGCATCATACCCAAGAAGACTCGAGGCTGTAATCGCTGTCAAAGGTGCTTCAACAAAGTACTGAGTAAAGGGTCTGAATACTTATGTAAATGTAAATTTTTGCTTTGTCATTATGGGGTATTGTGTGTAGATTGATGAGGGGAATTTTAAAAAATCAATTTTAGAATAAGGCTGTAACCTAACAAAATGTGGAAAACGTCAAGGGGTCTGAATACTTTCCGAAGGCACTGTATAGTAGTTTTGCCACACGCTAACAACTGCCCCTTGAGGATTATTTAAGTCATTGAATTGATTTGAATGAAATTAAGTCAGTAATAGCAAAATCACATTTCAATAATTGAATATATATATATATACACATACATACATATATACATATATATATATATATATATATATATATATATATATATATATATATATATATATATACAGTACCGTTCAAAAGTTTGGACACACCTACTCATTCAAGGGTTTTTCTTTATTTCTACTATTTTCTACATTGTAGAATAATAGTGAAGACATAAAAACTATGAAATAAGACATTTGGAATCATGTAGTAATCGAAGAAGTGTTAAACAAATCAATATATATTTGAGATTCTTCAAAGTAGCTGTCATCAAGGCAAAAGGTGGCTACTTTGAAGAATCTCAAATATAAAATATATTTGGATTTGTTTAACACTTTTTTGGTTACTACATGATTCCATAAGTGTTTTTCATAGTTTTGATGTCTTCCCTATTATTCTACAATGTAGAAAATAGTAAAAATAAAGAAAAACTGCTGAATGAGTAGGTGTGTCCAAACTTTTGACGGGTACTGAATATACAGTGGGGAAAAAAAGTATTTAGTCAGCCACCAATTGTGCAAGTTCTCCCACTTAAAAAGATGATACCATAATTTGCAAATAAATTCATAGAAAATCCTACAATGTGATTTTCTGGATTTTTCTTTCTCAATTTGTCTGTCATAGTTGATGTGTACCTATGATGAAAATTACAGGCCTCTCTCATCTTTTTAAGTGGGAGAACTTGCACAATTGGTGGCTGACTAAATACTTTTTTCCCCCACTGTATATCTTTCAATGGAGAAGCTATTAATTCCAAAAGTTTTTCAATTTTAGAATTTTTACTTAAAATCAGTATCTGAATTGAGTGACTTCAATTCAAATGGACCCTAACACAGCTGTACACTATTGCAAACAAAACATAAATCTTATGCAGTACAATACGACATCACTTTTTTTACATAATTAACTTCTCTTGATGTGTGACTGCTGTCCTTAAGAGGGGAAACGGTCTTAATCTCATTCTGTGTTTTCATGGTCACATTTCAGGTCTTTGTCCAAAAGGCAAGAATGCTCAGAAACCTCTGGAATGCCTCATTCACGGCATTACAGGTCCATCCCACCGAGTCTCTCACACACACACACACACACACACACACACACACACACACACACACACACACACCCTCGCACACCCTCGCACACACACACACACACACACACACACACACACACACACACACACACACACACACACACACACACACACACACACACACACACCCTCGCACTCACACACACACACACACACACACACACACCCTCGCACACACACACCACACCACACACACACACACACACACACACACACACACACACACACACACACACACCCACCCTCGCACACACACACACACACACACACACACACACACACACACACACACACACTTCCCTTGACAAGCAGTGAGTAAAGTGTATAAACATTCTGTTGTTTGGCCTCCATTATCTTCCAATGGCCTTTGATCCACTATGTAATATCAAATCAAATCAAAAGTTATTGGTCACATACACGTGTTTAGCAGATGTTATTGCGGGTGTAGCGAAATGCTTGTGATTCTAGCTCCGACAGTGCAGTAATATCTAACAAGTAATATCTAACAATTTCACAACATATACCCAATACACACAAGTCTAGTAAGGTAATGGAATTTAAGAATATATACATATATGGACAAGCAATGGCAGAGCAGCATGGACTAAGATGCAGTAGAATATTATAGAATAGAATACAGTATACAGTGAGGGAAAAAAGTATTTGATCCCCTGCTGATTTTGTACGTTTGCCCACTGACAAAGAAATGATCCGTCTATAATTCTAATGGTAGATGGTAGGTTTATTTGAACAGTGAGAGACAGAATAACAACAAAGAAATCCAGAAAAATGCATGTCAAAAATGTTATAAATTGATTTGCATTTTAATGAGGGAAATAAGTATTTGACCCCTCTGCAAAACATGGCTTAGTATTTGGTGGCAAAACCCTTGTTGGCAATCACAGAGGTCAGACGTTTCTTGTAGTTGGCCACCAGGTTTGCACACATCTCAGGAGGGATTTTGTCCCACTCCTCTTTGCAGATCTTCTCCAAGTCATTAAGGTTTCGAGGCTGACGTTTGGCAACTCGAACCTTCAGCTCCCTCCACAGATTTTCTATGGGATTAAGGTCTGGCTAGGCTACTCCAGGACCTTAATGTGCTTCTTCTTGAGCCACTCCTTTGTTGCCTTGGCCGTGTGTTTTGGGTCATTGTCATGCTGGAATACCCATCCACGACCCATTTTCAATGCCCTGGCTGAGGGAAGGAGGTTCTCACCCAAGATTTGACGGTACATGGCCCCATCCATCGTCCCTTTGATGCGGTGAAGTTGTCCTATCCCCTTAGCAGAAAAACACCCCCAAAGCATAATGTTTCCACCTCCATGTTTGACGGTGGGGATGGTGTTCTTGGGGTCATAGGCAGCATTCCTCCTCCTCCAAACACGGCGAGTTGAGTTGATGCCAAAGAGCTCCATTTTGGTCTCATCTGACCACAACACTTTCACCCAGTTCTCCTCTGAATCATTCAGATGTTCATTGGCAAACTTCAGACGAGCCTGTATATGTGCTTTCTTGAGCAGGGGGACCTTGCGGGCGCTGCAGGATTTCAGTCCTTCACAGCATAGTGTGTTACCAATTGTTTTCTTGGTGACTATGGTCCCAGCTGCCTTGAGATCATTGACAAGGTCCTCCTGTGTAGTTCTGGGCTGATTCCTCACCGTTCTCATGATCATTGCAACTCCACAAGGTGAGATCTTGCATGGAGCCCCAGGCCGAGGGAGATTGACAGTTCTTTTGTGTTTCTTCCATTTGCAAATAATCGCACCAACTGTTGTCACCTTCTCACCAAGCTGCTTGGCGATGGTCTTGTAGCCCATTCCAGCCTTGTGTAGGTCTACAATCTTGTCCCTGACATCCTTGGAGAGCTCTTTGGTCTTGGCCATGGTGGAGAGTTTGGAATTTGATTGATTGATTGCTTCTGTGGACAGGTGTCTTTTATACAGGTAACAAGCTGAGATTAGGAGCACTCCCTTTAAGAGTGTGCTCCTAATCTCAGCTCGTTACCTGTATAAAAGACACCTGGGAGCCAGAAATCTTTCTGATTGAGAGGGGGTGAAATACTTATTTTCCTGATTAAAATGCAAATCAATGTATAACGTTTTTGAGATGCGTTTTTCTGGATTTTGTTGTTGTTATTCTGTCTCTCACTGTTCAAATAAACCTACCATTAAAATTATAGACTGATCATTTCTTTGTCAGTGGGCAAACGTACAAAATCAGCAGGGGATCAAATACTTTTTCCCCCTCACTGTATATAGTGCAATATATGTAAACATTATTAAAGTGACTAGTGTTCCATTTCTTAAAGTGGCCAGTGGCAGCATTGGAATAGCAGTTGAAATGTGACGTATGAGGTGAAATGTTTTTGTTGTGGAGAACATAAATATGTCATGAGAAGTGTTGACAACCAATGTCAGTGGTGACGACCAAACACAACTTTGATTTGATTTCATCCCAGTAGTTCATCAACGGATGGTTCACTGAACCATGTGTTCTACTATGGTCAATAACAGAAAAAGTTTGTGTGAAATAACAGGTTCTACAAGTTATTGGAGAACATTTTAGAAAAGACAGCACAACACCATAGCATGACCCTCAAGTCCTTTGTTTGGGACGGGGCTAAGAGCTTTCATTTACTGGCAGCAGTCTGAGAGAAAGGACTATAGAGACTCTATCTATAGAAGTGCCCAGTGCATCATTGAACATCTTGAACTACAATAGCAAGGACATAGAGATCAATAGTAGAGAGGTAAATGAGAGAACATATTTTTCAGGGTGGGGTTCAACCACAGTCGGCTTCAACCACAGTCGGGTTCAACCACAGATCAGGTGCACTGTGTGTCCATGACAACCCTCCATCGCCTCCATTCCATCTCCTCAGAGGAGAAACATTCTGAAATTATTATTTCCATTGCCACCCACATAAGCTTTCCAAAACTATAGCTGCTGCATGGTTATTACTTCCTATATCAGGGGCCGAGTATCAAATGGGACCCTACTCCTTCCCTATATAGTGCACTACTTTTGACCAAATCCCTATGTGCCCTGGTCTAGAGTAGTGCACTATAAAGGGAATAGGGTACCATTTGGGACTCAGACAGGTTCACTGTTTTCTGCCTTTTTCTTTTAGCTTATTAATGATAATAGCCGATAATTATGTGCAAATTAAACCCATGGAGGTTGATGTGATGTGTGAAGTGGAATATAAAACATTGGAGAGGGGCAAGCCGAGGCACTTTACCTCTTTTAGATTACAGCCCTCAATTGACGAGAGGTTTTAAAATGTCTCTATCCCCCTCTATGACCAATTCATTCTGACTCCAGGTAGCGATGGTTCATAGCAACAGTCATTACAAGTTCCCTGCACATTCTGCTGCAGAATTCACAGAACAGAGAGTACATAGTGTAGCCTATGTATATTTACATTACATATATATCAACTGTACAATATGGAGTTTGGTATAGTTAATGTTGAGGATGTAATGACCAGAGCGGTGGTTCCCAACCAGGGGTACTAGGACCCCTTGGGGTACTGTACTTAGCCTATCCACAGGGGGTACTTGAGAAGACTCAATAGACCATAGGCTTACTGGTAAAATGCACATGCGGGGGTATTTCAGGGGTACTGCGGAGAGAGCAGAACTCAGTTGGTAGTACAGTAAATGATAAAGGGGCCAGAGAATATGCAGAGACAAAGCTGCAGAGAAAAACTAAAAAAAAAACGGGAAAACAGTTTTTTGAAAACATTGGCATTGGAAAAGCGTTGGCCACATGCTCTCTGTAATGACGGGGGTTTTCTGCAGCACAGTTATGAGAACCCTGCAATAGACTGGCGTCTTGTCCAGGGGCTGCACCTGTACACCAGGCTGCTCCACGCTACAAAACCAGGAGAGCTCCAGCACCTATGAGCTGTTCTGGTTCACACGAGACAATCTGTCGATGTGCCCTTGAGCAAGGCACTTAACCCTAATTGCTCCTGTAAGTCGCTCTGGATAAGAGCGTCTGCTAAATGACTAAAATGTAAATGTAAATGTACTTATTGGTTCACACAAGACAAGGCTACTTACTGGTTCTGCATCCTGGGCTGACCAATCACCACGATACACAACTGTTCTGCATCCTGGGCTGACCAATCACCACTATACACAACTGTTCTGTATCCTGGGCTGACCAATCACCACTATACACAACTGTTCTGTATCCTGGGCTGACCAATCACCACTATACACAACTGTTCTGTATCATGGGCTGACCAATCACCACTATACACAACTGTTCTGTATCCTGGGCTGACCAATCACCACTATACACAACTGTTCTGCATCCTGGGCTGAATACAAAGACATACTTTAATGTTGCATCATCTTCAGGGGGTTTAACATTCCCTCCCCTACCCTGGACGACGCTGGGCCAGTTAACAAAACATAGCCTCCTCTGTAGTTTATTTTTCATAGTTTATCAAGGGTGTTGTGACTCTTCTGTTCTCGTTCTGTTTGATCTCTCTCTCTCTCTCTCTCTCTCTCTCTCTCTCTCTCTCTCTCTCTCTCTCTCTCTCTCTCTCTCTCTCTCTCTCTCTTCTCTCTCTCTCTCTCTCTCTCTCTCTCTCTCTCTCTCTCTCTCTCTCTCTCTCTTTCTCTCCTCTCTCTCTCTCTCTCTCTCTCTCTCTCTCTCTAACCTTGGGGACAGAATCCTGTTTGCCATCCTATCTTCTAACCCATAATTTCCCAACCTTGGTTTTGCCCTAGCACTACACAGCTAATTCAAAGAATCAAAGCTTGATAATTTAGGGCTCTATTCAATCTGTATAGCTGAAGTGTTTACTGTGAATGCTGTCTCCGCTAAAGCAGGAACATTGCCTTTGAATTTCAATCATGCTGTAAAGCTGAACTTCGTCAATTTGTATAATTCCATCCATTACAACGATTCTTGTACCTTAATTTGCTTCCTCTGTAAATGATGTCAGGTCCGTGTGGTTGTAGCTGAAGATCACCACTAGCAAATGGGGGATAATATTTAGGACTCTATTCCATCTGTAGCGCTGAAGCGGTACGGATAGCGTGCTAGAAATGTAAAGGTCATTTTCTATTGAGCTGACATCTACAGCGTTGACAGTGAATGCTGTCTCCTCTAACGCGGGAGCATTGCCTTTAAATTTATATCACGCAGTGACGCTGAATTTCCATGATAAAGGAGTGAACAGAGCCCTTAATAAAAACAACATTGACATGAAGGCTGATTAAATAATTATGGAGCACAGATCAAACCGTTATTACAGTTATACTTCGTTGATCTCCATATTCTAAACACGTTCTCCATAGCCTACATTCTAGTGTTGTGCCGATCAAATTCAAATTAAAAAAAGGTACACAGTTTTTAAAAGGGCTTGCTTTAAATAAATGAACAGAAAGGCACATTTAATGAAAGCTTCCTGATCAATTCTGTTGGGCCACCCAATGGGTGTGTTTTCGGGGGGTTGAATTAAATGTATTCAGTGCGTGCAAATGAGCCACACCCGCATAGCTCACTAGGCACCTGCATAAGGTAAGTCTGAATTACAACAACTGAGAAGGAGTTATCTGCTCCTCTGCGTCTGCAGTCCCTGCCCCTAGCCAGTTCAGAGCCCTCAGCCTCAGCTGGCCCTCAGCCTCAGCTGGCCCTCAGCCTCAGCTGGCCCTCAGCCTCAGCTGGCCCCCAGCCTCAGCTGGCCCCCAGTCTCCTGCTCAGCTAGATTCTCAGTCTCAGCTAGGTTCTCAGTCGCCTGCTCAGCTGGCTCCTCAGTCTCCTGCTCAGCTGGCTCCTCAGTCTCCTGCTCAGCTGGCTCCTCAGTCTCCTGCTCAGCTGGCTCCTCAGTCTCCTGCTCAGCTGGCTCCTCAGTCTCCTGCTCAGCTGGCTTTTCAGTCTCCTGCTCAGCTGGCTTCTCAGTCTCCTGCTCAGCTGGCTTCTCAGTCTCCTGCTCAGCTGGCTCCTCAGTCTCCTGCTCAGCTGGCTCCTCAGTCTCCTGCTCAGCTGGCTTCTCAGTCTCCTGCTCAGCTGGCTCCTCAGTCTCCTGCTCAGCTGGCTTCTCAGTCTCCCGCTCAGCTGGCTTCTCAGTCTCCCGCTCAGCTGGCTCCTCAGTCTCCTGCTCAGCTAGATTCTCAGTCTCAGCTAGGTTCTCAGTCTCCTGCTCAGCTGGGTTCTCAGTCTCCTGCTCAGCTGGCTCCTCAGTCTCCTGCTCAGCTGGCTCCTCAGTCTCCTGCTCAGCTGGCTCCTCAGTCTCCTGCTCAGCTGGCTTTTCGGTCTCCTGCTCAGCTGGCTTCTCGGTCTCCTGCTCAGCTGGCTTCTCGGTCTCCTGCTCAGCTGGCTTCTCAGTCTCCTGCTCAGCTGGCTTCTCAGTCTCCTGCTCAGCTGGCTTCTCAGTCTCCTGGTCAGCTGGCTTCTCAGTCTCCTGCTCAGCTGGCTTCTCAGTCTCCTGCCATACATGGCTTGCAGTCCTCAGTCTTAGTAGTAGGTGCTAAGTCCCTTACCCTGTCAGACCCTGAGCTTTTTATACATGACCCTAAGCATGATGGGATGTTAATTGTTTAATTAACTCAGGAACCACACCTACCGTATGTGGAAGCACCTGCTTTCAATATACTTTGTATCCCTCATTTACTCATGGGTTTCCATTATTTTGGCAGTAACCTGTATGTTGCCAACAGTGGTGTAAAATACTTAAGTAAAAATACTTTTAGGTCGTTTTTTTGGGTATCTGTACTTTGCATTAATATTTATATTTTTGACAACTTTGACCTTTACTTCACTACATTCCTAAAGAAAATAATGTACTTTTTACCCCAATACATTTTCCCTGACACCCAAAAGTACTCGTTAGATTTTGAATGCTTAGCAGGACAGGAAAATGGTCCAATTTACGCACTTATCCAGAGAACATACCTGTTCATCCCTACTGCCTCTGATCTGGCAGACTCACTAAACACAAATGCTTCGCTTGAAAATTGTTTCTGAGTGTTGGAGTGTGCCTCAGGCTATCTGTAAATTTAAAAAACTAGAAAATTGTGCCGTCTGGTTTGCTAAATATAAGGAATTTAAATGATTTATACTTTTGCTTTTGATAATTAATTATATTTTAGCATTTACATTTACTTTTGATACTTAAGAATATTTAAAACCAAATACTTTTAGACTTTTACTCAAGTAGTATTTTACTGGGTGAGTTTCACATATACTTGAGCCATTTTCTATATATATATATATATTATTTTTTTTTACCTTTATTTAACCAGGTAAGAAGCCAGTTGAGAACAGGTTCTCATTTACAACTGCGACCTGGCCAAGATAAAGCAAAGTAGTGCAATAAAAACAACACAGAGTTACATATGGGGTAAAAAACATAAAGTCAGAAATACAACAGAAAATATATATACAGTGTGTGCAAATGTAGCAAGTTATGGAGGTAAGGCAATAAATAGGCTATAGTGCAGAATAATTACAATAGTATTAACACTGGAATGCTAGATGTGCAAGAGATTATGTGCAAATAGAGATACTGGGGTGCAAAAGAGCCAAATAAATAACAATATATGGATGAGGTAGTTGGGTGGGCTAATTTCAGATGGGCTGTGTACAGGTGCAGTGATCGGTAAGGTGCTCTGACAACTGATGCTTAAAGTTATTGAGGGAGATAAGAGTCTCCAGCTTCAGAGATTTTTGCAATTCGTTCCAGTAAAGCTATTAAGATAGCTTTACTCAAGTATGACAATTGGGTACTTTTTTTTTACTTTTTCCACCACTGGTTGCCAGTAGAACTGTCTATCACATGGTACCGCAGTGATTTATGTAACATTACATGCTACTGTTATTAGCAGGGTGCCATTCTATAGTTTCTGGAATTTTCCAGCCTTGTCCAGCTTGCTCTCATGATCCAGCGCATGTACAGTGGCCATGCCTCCAGATAACATCTAGCCAGGACAGCGAGAGGGACATACAGTTGAAGTCGGAAGTTTAACATACACCTTTGCAAATACATTTAAACTCAGTTTTTCACAATTCCTGACATTTAATTCTAGTAACAATTCCCTGTCTTAGGTCAGTTAGGGTCATCACTTTATTTTAAGAATGTGAAATGTCAGAATAATAGTAGAGAGAATGATTTATTTCAGCTTTTATTTCTTTCATCACATTCCCAGTGGGTGAGAAGTTTACATACACTCAATTAGTATTTGGTAGCATTGCCTTTAAATTGTTTAACTTGGGTCAAACGTTTCGGGTAGCCTTCCACAAGCTTCCCACAATAAGTTGGGTGAATTTGAGCTGGTGTAACTGAGTCAGGTTTGTAGGCCTCCTTGCTCGCACACGATTTTTCAGTTCTGCCCATACATTTTCTATAGGATTGAGGTCAGGGCTTTGTGATGGCCACTCCAATAACTTAACTTTGTTGTCCTTAAGCCATTTTGCCACAACTCTGGAAGTATGCTTGGGGTCATTGTCCATTTGGAAGACCCATTTGCGACCAACCTTTAACTTCCTGACTGATGTCTTGAGATGTTGCTTCAATATATCCACATAATTTTCCTTCCTCATGATGCCATCTCTTTTGTGACGTGCACAGGTCCCTCCTGCAGCAAAGCACCCCCCAGCATGATGCTGCCACCCCAGTGCTTCACGGTTGGGATGGTGTTCTTCAGCTTGCAAGCATCCCCCTTTTTCCTTCAAACATAACGATGGTCATTATGGCCAAACAGTTCTATTTTTGTTTCATCAGACCAGAGGACATTTCTCCAAAAAGTACAATCTTTGTCCCCATGTGCAGTTGCAAACCGTAGTCTGGCTTTTTTATGGCGGTTTTGGAGAAGTGGCTTCTTCCTTGATGAGCGGCCTTTCAGGTTATGTCGATATAGGACTCGTTTTACTGTGGATATAGATAATTTTCTACCTGTTTCCTCCAGCATCTTCAAAGAGGCACTGAGTTTGAAGGTAGGCCTTGAAATACATCCACAGGTACACCTCCAATTGACTCAAATGATGTCAATTAGCCTATCAGAAGCTTCTGAAGCCATGACATAATTTTCTGGAATTTTCCAAGCTGTTTAAAGGCACAGTCAAACTTCTGACCCACTATAATTGTGATACAGTGAATTATAAGTGAAATAACCTGTCTGTAAACAATTGTTGGAAAAATTCCTTGTGTCGTGCACAAAGTAGATGTCCTAACCGACTTGCCAAAACTATAGTTTGTTAACAAGAAATTTGTAGAGTTGTTGAAAAACGAGTTTTAATGACTCCAACCTAAGTGTATGTAAACTTCCACCTTCAACTGTACATCTTAATGGGACCTTGTAGTTGACAAAGCAAAAACAGGTTGAGAAATTTTTGTAAATGTATTAGGAAAAAAAACCTTAGGGTCTTGTCCTGTTGGAAGATGAACCTTCGCCCCAGTCTGAGGTCCTGAGCGCTCTGGAGCAGGTTTTCATCAAGGATCTCTCTGTACTTTGCTCCGTTCAGCTTTTTCCCTCGATCCTGACTAGTCTCCCAGTCCCTGCTGCTGAAAAACATTCCCACAGCATGAGGCAGCCACCACCATGCTTCACCGTAGGGATGGTGCCAGGTTTCCTCCAGACGTGATGCTTGGCATTCAGGCCAAAAAGTTCAATCTTGGTTTCATCAGACCAGAGAATCTTGTTTCTCATGGTCTGAGAGTCTTAAGGTGCCTTTTGGCAAACTCCAAGCGGGCTGTCATGTGCCTTTTACTGAGGTGTGGCTTCCGTCTGGCCATTCTACCATTAAGGCCTGATTGGTGGAGTGCTGCAGAAATGGTTGTCCTTCTGGAAGTTTCTTCCATCTCCACAGAGGAACTCTGGAGCTCTGTCAGAGTGACCATTGGGTTCTTGGTCACCTCCCTGAGCAAGGCCCTTCTCCCCGATTGCTCAGTTTGGCCGGGCAGCCAGCTCTAGGAAGAGTCTTGGTGGTTCCAAACTTCTTCCATTTAAGAATGATGGAGGCCACCATGTTCTTGGGGACCTTCAATGCTGCAGAAATGTTTTGGTACCCTTCCCCAGACCCGTGCCTCGACACAATCCTGTCTCGGAGCTCTACGAACAATTCCTTCCACCTCGTGGCTTGGTTTTTGCTTTGACATGCACTGTCAACTGTGGGACCTTTTATAGACAGGTGTGTGCCTTTCCAAATCATGTCCAATCAATTGAATTTACCACAGGTGGACTCCAATCAAGTTGTAGAAAAATCTCAAGGATGATCAATGGAAACAGGATGCACCTGAGCTCAATTTCAAGTCTCATAGCAAAGGGTCTGAATACTTACGCAAATAAGGTATTTCTGTTTTTTATTTGTAATACATTTGAAAAAATGTCTAAAAACCTGTTTCGCTTCGTCATTATGGAGTATTGTGTGTAGACTGATGAGGATTTTTATTTATTTAATACATTTTAGAATAAGGCTGTAACGTAACAAAATGTGGAATGCACTGTATGTACAGTGGGGAAAAAAAGTATTTTGTCAGCCACCAATTGTGCAAGTTCTCCCACTTAAAAAGATGAGAGAGGCCTGTAATTTTCATCATAGGTACACGTCAACTATGACAGACAAATTGAGAAAAAGAAATCCAGAAAATCACATTGTAGGATTTTTTATGAATTTATTTGCAAATTATGGTGGAAAATAAGTATTTGGTCACCTACAAACAAGCAAGATTTCTGGCTCTCACAGACCTGTAACTTCTTCTTTAAGAGGCTCCTTTGTCCTCCACTCGTTACCTGTATTAATGGCACCTGTTTGAACTTGTTATCAGTATAAAAGACACCTGTCCACAACCTCAAACAGTCACACTCCAAACTCCACTATGGCCAAGACCAAAGAGCTGTCAAAGGACCAGAAACAAAATTGTAGACCTGCACCAGGCTGGGAAGACTGAATCTGCAATAGGTAAGCAGCTTGGTTTGAAGAAATCAACTGTGGGAGCAATTATTAGGAAATGGAAGACATACAAGACCACTGATAATCTCCCTCGATCTGGGGCTCCACGCAAGATCTCAACCCGTGGGGTCAAAATGATCACAAGAACGGTGAGCAAAAATCCCAGAACCACACGGGGGGACCTAGTGAATGACCTGCAGAGAGCTGGGACCAAAGTAACAAAGCCTACCATCAGTAACACACTACGCCGCCAGGGACTCAAATCCTGCAGTGCCAGACGTGTCCCCCTGCTTAAGCCAGTACATGTCCAGGCGCGTCTGAAGTTTGCTAGAGTGCATTTGGATGATCAAGAAGAGGATTGGGAGAATGTCATATGGTCAGATGAAACCAAAATAGAAATTTTTGGTAAAAACTCAACTCGTCGTGTTTGGAGGACAAAGAATGCTGAGTTGCATCCAAAGAACACCATACCTACTGTGAAGCATGGGGGTGGAAACATCATGCTTTGGGGCTGTTTTTCTGCAAAGGGACCAGGACGACTGAACCATGTAAAGGAAAGAATGAATGGGGCCATGTATCGTGAGATTTTGAGTGAAAACCTCCTTCCATCAGCAAGGGCATTGAAGATGAAACGTGGCTGGGTCTTTCAGCATGACAATGATCCCAAACACACCGCCCGGGCAACGAAGGAGTGGCTTCGTAAGAAGCATTTCAAGGTCCTGGAGTGGCCTAGCCAGTCTCCAGATCTCAACCCCATAGAAAATCTTTGGAGGGAGTTGAAAGTCCGTGTTGCCCAGCAACAGCCCCAAAACTCACTGCTCTAGAGGAGATCTGCATGGAGGAATGGGCCAAAATACCATCAACAGTGTGTGAAAACCTTGTGAAGACTTACAGAAAACGTTTGACCTGTGTCATTGCCAACAAAGGGTATATAACAAAGTATTGAGAAACTTTTGTTATTGACCAAATACTTATTTTCCACCATCATTTGCAAATAAATTCATTAAAAATCCTATAATGTGATTTTCTGGATTAATTTTTCTCATTTTGTCTGTCATAGTTGACGTGTACCTATGATGAAAATTACAGGCCTCTCTCATCTTTTTAAGTGGGAGAACTTGCACAATTGGTGGCTGACTAAATACTTTTTTTCCCCACTGTATGTATGCATTTATGTATGTATCCAACAGATCCACAGATGATGCAATCTCTATTGCGCGCCACACTGCCCTTTCCCACCTGGACAAGAGGAAAACCTATGTGAGAATGCTATTCATTGACTACAGCTCAGCATTCAACACCATAGTACCCTCAAAGCTCATCACTAAGGTAAGGACCCTGGGACTAAACACCGCCCTCTGCAACTGGATCCTGGACTTCCTGATGGGCCGCCCCCAGGTGGTAAGGGTAGGTAACAACAGCTTCTACCCCCAAGCCATAAGACAGCTAATCATGGCTACACAGACTATTTGCATTGCCCCCCCCACCCCACCCCCTCTTTTACGCTGATGCTACTCTCTGTTTATTATCTATGCATAGTCACTTTAACTCTACCCTTATTTTTCTTAAAACTGCATTGTTAAGGGCTTGTAAGTAAGCATTTCACTGTAAGGTCTACACCTGTTGTATTCGGCGCATGTGGCAAATAAAATATGATTTGATTTGATTTTTATATGTACACTTCTCATTCTGCAGTAGTTATATAGGATGAGCCTTCACTAGAATACAGGGCATCCTATGTGTAGACTTGTCATTCTGATAATGGTCGTGGATTATTATTGTATACATGGATCCTCATGATTTATTCTCTCCTTTTTCGAACCACACATAAAATACCTCTAAAGGAAGCAGCTGTGTGTCTTTAACAACAACCTTGGGGCCAGAATTCAGTTTTACAATCCTATCCTCTAACCGATCCCCTTATCTCCTCTCTTGTCCTTCAGAGGTCCTATAAAAGCCTGGAGCCTGGCAGACTCCAGCTGCCGTCGCTGTCGCCAACGTTACAGTAATGCTGCCTGCCGTAGTGAAGCTCTGCTGTGGAATCTCCTACCCTCACCTCAGGACCATGGCAGGTAAAAAACATACAACTATATCATCTTGGTTGTGTCCCAAAATGGCCTCCTATTTCCTATGTAGTGCACTACTTTTTATCCAGGGCCCTCTATAGGGGGGGCCATTTTGGATGCAGCCCTGGAGAGAAACATCACATTTCTCTCATTCCTTAGATTGTAGGATTACCGTGTCGTGCACAATGCACGTAGCCTGGTCCCAGATCGGTTTCTGCTGCCTTGCCAACTCCCTCTTATGGTCGTTGCAAGACAGCACAAACAGGTCTGGGACCAGCCAGTGCACGTGCGTCTGGATGGAGTTATCTATTGCTGCTGTTATTACTATGGCGTCTTGGCTGTGACTAGTAGTAGTCTTTGTGTTTCCTGACAAGTCCTTTAAGTCCCCATCAACAGCACTTTGAGTTGCAGAATGGATCAAATCCATCCTGAGTGGCAGTCTGTGTCATGGTAAACATGTTTGGCTTGATAATGAGAAATGGAGTTGACAGGCTATATGAAAATGTGCTGACTGTTATTATCGTTGTTGTTGTTGTTGTTGTTGTCCCATGACAGGACTGCAACGGCCAGCTATCGCAGCGATCGGCCAGGAACTTGCTCACATGCAGAGGAGTGGGCAGACCCAACTACCAGCATGGACCAACCATACGGGTTGGCAGACTGGCACCGCTCTGCATCAGCACAGTGGTAAGCCTGGGAATGACACACAGATTACACACATTTTCAACTGCATTATTATTTTACACAGAGCACAAACTGCCCTTATCATAGTTATATTGACATATTTTCCAAGGGCATTACTTTTTTTTACTATAAAACTTTTACTGACCATTGAATATAAAAACAGCTTCAATTACAACTGGATCGAAGTGAGCGCTGCTGTGAGGGGCCCCTTTATCATGTGTATGTAAACGTGTTACAGAGAGCTCCAGAAGAGAGATAGCCAACCCAGTCCCATTGAAAGAGGATGAGCTGCTGTACATAAGGCGAGGCCACGAGGCGCTGACCAAGGCTCTGGACATTGTGGAGGATAAGGACGGATGGGAAACAGAACTCTCAGAGGTAGTGCATCATCCATACAACCGTCTAGCGTTGATTAAAGAGGCAATACAGAATTGGTACATTGATTTTTGGCAAACCATCCTGTATTGTCCCTTTAAAATGTGTTGCTTCCTGTGTAAAATGCTTCCAAAAATAGCTATTGCTATGGAAACCTTATACTGATGCCAAACCACCAAACTGTCATATAGGACAAGGGGTAGGTACATGATCTGAATATAGGACAAGGGGGTAGGTACATGATCTGACTATAGGACAAGGGGTAGGCACATGATCTGACTATAGGACAAGGGGGTAGGTACATGATCTGAATAGCTATCGCCATTGTATCCCGTCTTCAAAACCCATCAAATCTAATTGACATAGGCCATTGTTGCCACAATGTCAAACCTTCTAACATTTTTACCTTTTAGTCAATTAGCAGACGTTCTCATCCAGAGCAACTTAACAGCCAAGTGCATTCAACTTAGTTCAGAAGGGACCCTTTTTGACTTGTAGGAGAAAATACACTTTGTATAAAATCTCAGAACCCAGAACCAAATGTGCTATTAGTTATTTTAATTGGCTGTTCCAAAAGCAGTAGCTACATTTTTACACTGACTTACAGTTTTAGTGAGTGCATACATTTTCATACTGGCCCCCCCGTGGGAAACGAACCCATGCTCTACCAACTGAGCTACAGGGGACTTAGCTACTCTTACGCTCAGAGTCTCTCACAAGAGACTCAACGTTCTTTCTGTAACTATGTCTTGTAGGATGCGTACTATTGCCACATTGCCAAACTTTCTCTTTCCGTTACTTTGACATTTAGGTAAAAACTGGGACTTGATCTAAATAGCTATTGGCATTGGAAATCTTGTACCGGTATATACATATAGATGCCTCACTGCCAAAACGTTATAACTCTGGAGTAGAGAAACTTTCTGTAATCTCAGAACCAAATGGAAGTAGAAAGACTATCACAAGAGAACGTTCAGTAATTGTGTTGTATAGGAAACCAGGGACATCATTAGAAACCTTCCTGAAAAAAAACCGTTGTTGTTAAAAAAAGGAAACCCTATGGACGCCACATTCCAAAACGTCTTGTAACTTTCCCGTAAACACTGTGTGTCGTCACAGGAGAACGGGGTTGTGGTCTACAGTAAAGTGTTGCCGGGGGACAGGAAGGTCTTCAGACTGGAACTGTGTTAGAAGCCACCCCGGAAGAGATACATCACATCCTGTGGAAGGTCGAGGAGATGCACCAGTGGAACCCAAGCATCAAAAACATCAAGGTAACTGTTCCGTCATAGTAGGGCAGCTGTTGGTCAGTGTGTAATCTTAACACCTCCCCTTAGGATATCATTGATGACTGTAAATTGCTTTGGATAAAAGCGTCTGCTAAATGGAATATTATATTATTATTATTATTATTATTATTATTATTATTATTATAATTATATTATTATTATTATAATAATTATATAATAATTATAATTATATTATAATTATAATTATATTATTATAATTATATTATTATTATTATATTATTATTATATTATTATTATTATAATTATATTATTATTATTATATTATTATTATTATTATATTATTATAATTATAATTATAATTATAATTATATTATTATTATTATTATTATTATTATCTTCTGTTCTCCTTCCTCTATCTATTACGGCATCCTTTACATTTCTATTCTACACGTGTTATTATCCAACTGGTATTGTATTTACCTTCTAAGTATGTGTATCAGGGCGTCTGTAAACTGTAAAATATTTGTAACAAGGTGTTTCTAAAACTCTCATGCACAATTTAGGCATATTTTATAACTACAGTGGCAAGAAAAAGTATGTGAACCTTTTGGAATTACCTGCATTTCTGCATAAATTGGTCATAAAATTTGATCTGATCTTCATCTAAGTCACAAAAATAGACAAACACAGTCTGCTTAAACTAATAACACACAAACAATTATACGTTTTCATGTCTTTATTGAACATACCGTGTAAACATTCACAGTGCAGGGTGGGAAAAGTATGTGAACCCTTGGATTTAATAACTGGTTGACCCTCCTTTGGCAGCAAAAACTGTCACGCCCTGACCTATAGGCTCTAGTTAGTTTGGGCAGGGTGTGAATATATGTGGGGGGTTTTCTATGTGGGGGATTCTATGTTTGTATTTCTATGTTTGGCCGGGTGTGATTCCCAATCAGAGGCAGCTGTCGCTCGTTGTCTCTGATTGGGGATCATACTTAGGCAGCCAGTTTTTCTGCCTGGGTTGTGGGATCTTGTTTGTGTTTGGTGAGTTTTGGCTTGTTCGTGTATAGCCTTCGGACGTCACGTTTCGTTGCCTTTTGTTGTTTTTGTATGTTTATAAACATGTATGCATTTCACGCTGCGCCTTGGTCTGGCCCGTTCATCAACGACCGTGACAGAAGATCCCACCAAAAATGGACCAAGCAGCGTGCCCAGGAGCAGACACCCTGGACACAGGTGGGGAAGTCATTTTGGACTTGGGAGGAGATATTGGCTGGTGGAGGACCCTGGGCGAAGGTGGAAGCCCAGGCAGGAGAGGAGCAACGGCAACACAGAAGGCGCCGGCCGAGGAGGAAGCCCGAGAGACAGCCCCAATAATTTTTTTGGGGGGGCCTAAAAGGGTGACCGGGGATCGACAGAGAAGAGCCCCGACCACTGCACTCGTAGGGGCTCAGGGAGGAGTCCTCACGGGAGGAGGACTGGGCGCGGAGAGTGAAAGACTGGTACAGTCAGAGATCTCTAACGTCAGCTCCCAGTCCGGTACACCTCGTGCCTGCGTCTCGCAACAAGCTAGTGGTGCGTGTTCCCAGTCCAGTACGGCCCGTCCCTGTTCCTCGCACCAAACCAGTGGTGCGTGTCGCCAGCCCGGTACGCCCCGCACCTGCTCCCCGCACCAAACCAGTGGTGCGTGTCCCCAGTCCGGTCCGGCCCGTTCCTGCTCCTCACACCAGACCTGTGGTGTGTGTCTCCAGTCCGGCCCGTTCCTGCTCCTCGCACCAGACCAGGGGTGCGTGTTCCCAGTCCGGTCTGGCCCGTACCTGCTCCTCGCACCAGACCAGGGGTGCGTGTTCCCAGTCCGGCCCGGCCCGTTCCTGCTCCTCGCACCAGACCAGTGGTGAGTGTTCCCAGTCCGGTCTGGCCCGTGCCTGCTCCTCGCACCAGACCTGTGGTGTGTGTCTCCAGTCCGGCCCGTTCCTGCTCCTCGCACCAGACCAGGGGTGCGTGTTCCCAGTCCGGCCCGGCCCGTACCTGCTCCTCGCACCAGACCAGGGGTGCGTGTTCCCAGTCCGGCCCGGCCCGTTCCTGCTCCTCGCACCAGACCAGTGGTGAGTGTTCCCAGTCCGGTCTGGCCCGTGCCTGCTCCTCGCACCAGACCTGTGGTGCGTGTCTCCAGTCCGGCCCGTGCCTGCTCCTCGCAACAGACCAGGGGTGCGTGTTCCCAGTCCGGCCCGGCCCGTACCTGCTCCTCGCACCAGACCAGGGGTGCGTGTTCCCAGTCCGGCCCGGCCCGTTCCTGCTCCTCGCACCAGACCAGTGGTGAGTGTTCCCAGTCCGGTCCGGCCCGTGCCTGCTCCTCGAACCAGACCTGTGGTGCGTGTCTCCAGTCCGGCCCGTGCCTGCTCCTCGCACCAGACCAGTGGTGCGTGTTCCCAGTCCGGTCCGGCCCGTGCCTGCTTCTCGCACCAGACCAGGGGTGCGTGTTCCCAGTCCGGACCGGCCCGTTCCTGCTCCTCGCACCAGACCAGTGGTGAGTGTTCCCAGTCCGGTCCGGCCCGTGCCTGCTCCTCGCACCAGACCTGTGGTGAGTGTTCCCAGTCCGGTCCGGCCCGTGCCTGCTCCTCGCACCAGACCTGTGGTGCGTGTCTCCAGTCCGGCCCGTGCCTGCTCCTCGCACCAGACCAGTGGTGCGTGTTCCCAGTCCGGTCCGGCCCGTGCCTGCTCCTCGCACCAGACCAGAGGTGCGTGTTCCCAGTCCGGCCCGGCCCGTTCCTGCTCCTCGCACCAGACCAGTGGTGCGTGTTTCCAGTCCGGCACGGTCAGGACTCTGACTGGGCCACTCCAGAAGGCGTATTTTCTTCTGTTGAAGCCATTCTGTTGTTGATTTACTTCTGTGTTTTGGGTCGTTGTCCTGTTGCATCACCCAACTTCTGTTGAGCTTCAGTTGGCGGACAGATAGCCTTACATTCTCCTGCAACATTGGGATGAGGTTTTGATGTTGCTGTGCTGTGCCTTTTTTTTCTCCACACACAGTGTTGTGTGTTCCTTCCAAACAACTCAACTTTAGTTTCATCTGTCCACAGAATATTTTGCCAGTAGCGCTGCGGAACATCCAGGAACATCGCGAACTTCAGACGTGCAGCGAAGTCCCATGAACACCGTTCTTGTTTAGTGTTTTACGTATCGTAGACTCGTCAACAGAGATGTTAGCATGTTCCAGAGATTTTCTGTAAGTCTTTAGCTGACACTATCCTCATTGAGCATTCTGCGCTGTGCTCTTGCAGTCATCTTTGCAGGACGGTCACTCCTCAGGAGAGTAGCAACAGTGCTGAACGTTCTCCATTTATAGACCATTTGTCTTACCGTGAACTGATGAACATCAAGGCTTTTAGAGATACTTTTGTATCCCTTTCCAGCTTTATGCAAGTCAACGATTCTTAATCTTCGGTCTTCTGAGATCTCTTTTGTTCGAGGCATGGTTCACATCAGGCAATGCTTCTTGTGAATAGCAAACTCTAATTTTGTGAGTGTTTTTTTAATAGGGCAAGGCAGTTCTAACCAACATCTCCAATCTCGTCTCATTGATTGGACTCCAGGTTAGCTGACTCCTGACTCCAATTAGCTTTTGGAGACGTTATTAGCCTAGGGGTTCACATACTTTTTCCAACCTACACTGTGAATGTTTAAATGATGTATTCAATATAGACAAGAAAAATCCAATAATGTGTGTGTTATTAGTTTAAGCACACTGTGTTTGTCTATTGCTGTGACTTAGATGAAGATCAGATCAAATTTTATGACCAATTTATTCAGAAATCCAGGTAATTCCAAAGGGTTCACATAATTTTTCTTGCCACTGTATTTCGATTATTATTATTATTATAATAATTATTATTATTTTATTTGTATTACTTTAATTCTTTATTTTAACGTTTTTTTGTTTGTTTTTTTGCTCTGATTTTCGGGGTGAGGGGGAGTGGGAGACATTGGGATGGGTGGGAAACAGGGAGGGGGTCAGGGATCAATAGGGAATGTTGTGAAGGATTAGGGGAAAAAAGAAAAAGCAACGTGCAAATAATTGTATGTTTATCTTTCGTCTTCAATCAAATATTATGAAAATTGTTTAAAAAACATCAAGGTAAGCAGACTCATCTAAGCTGACATATGGAATTGTTTTAAGATGGGCATACTATGGATCATTCAGCTTTTTGATTTTGAATTTTAGGACCCCTTTAGGTATAAACAAAATATATTACAAAATATTGAGTTTGGCCTTTACTACTATAGCCCAGAGAAACGCATTGAACAACACATTCATAAATGGCAAAACAAGACAGTCAAAAAAGAAACCATGAGAAACAAGGTTATTGAGTGTCTGTCCTATATCTAGGAGATACAGTACCAGTCAAAAGTTTGGACACACCTACTCATTCAAAGGTTTTTCTTTATTTTCACTATTTTCTACATTGCAGAATAATAGTGAAGACATCAAAACTATGAAATAACACATATGGAATCATGTAGTAACCAAAAAAAGTGTTAAACAAATCAAAATATATTTTATATTCTTCAAAGTAGCCCCCCTTTGCCTTGATGGCAGCTTTGCACACTCAGCCAGCTTCACCTGGAATGCTTTTCCAACAGTCTTGAAGGAGTTCCCACATATGCTGAGCACTTGTTGGCTGCTTTTCCTTCGCTCTGCGGTCCAACTCATCCCAAACCATCTCAATTGGGTTGAGTTCGGGTGATTGTGGAGGCCAGGTCATCTGATGCAGCACTCCATCACTCTCCTTCTTTGTCAAATAGCCGTTACACAGCCTGGAGGGGTGTTGGATCATTGTCCTGTTGAAAAACAAATGATAGTCCCACTAAGCCCAAACCAGATGGGATGGCGTATCGCTGCAGAATGCTGTGGTAGCCATGCTGGTTAATTGTGCCTTGAATTCTAAATAAATCACAGACAGTGTCACCAACAAAGCACCCCCACACCATAACACCTCCTCCTCCCTGCTTTACGGTGGGAA